TTCCGATTCGGACGATGGAATGAACTCATTTTTGAAAAGAAGGCTTGAGGTGCGGTCTTCTGAGAAAACAATAAAAGTAATTTTAATAATGGAGTACTACTTTGGTAAAATATTAATTTTAGTCAGAAATATTGCATTACAAAGCAATACTCTCAACAAATCGGCCATCGGCCAAATCTGACCCGCTTTCTTTTTGGGCCGGTCAATCTGCTCATTTTCCCATATTAGGAAATTTCGCAAAGGTGTATCTGAGTTGCCCAGCTTCTAGTTCCTCAGCGGAGCGACTTTTTTCGTAAGTTATTTAGAAATTTTTTATAACTATTATCGGTGTCTACTACGTAAAATTGGCAAAATGCCAAAACAATGAAGAATATATGTGCGCTTTCAACCTATTTTTATGCGTAATCCGTTCCAAATTTTTTTAATTTGAGAATTTTCAATAGTCGCTCAACGCCGACAATATGTATGTATGCCGATTTATTTTGCAAATGAGTGTTTACTATTACACCGATTATATTTGTCATAATTTCAGAAAATGTTCTGATATTTTGCGAAACAAAAAACGCAATCGAATGAAACCGGACACAGTGTCCAATATTTTATTAACTGCTGCTCTCGCGAAAGAGTAAGTGCAAAAATTTAGGAAAAAATTGATTTTATATTTCAGACATTGGGAGGATAATGAAGAAGACGTAGATTCAAACTATGATATTCTTGATTTCGCCATAGAAGACGACGAAAAAATGCAGGATGACGAGGACGAACTTGAAGACGCGCAACAGCAAAGGGAGGAGTATAGACAAGAGGACGACATTGAAGGTGAACAAGAACTAAATTTCGAAATCGAAGACATTCAGGAAAGCAATTTTTAAAAAACTACACTGCTCCACAAAAGTTTAACCTCACCCATTTTTTTTTGAAAAAATGACATTTTCACGAATTCTATTTCTCGGCTAGAAATGGAGGTTGGACATCCAGATCATGTCGCAGTACCACAATCTGATGGATTCTTCAGATAATTATTGATCACTTTTGGTCTGCGCCCAAATCTCGAACGATTTGTCGATTCGAAAGACCACGATCATGTTTAGGAGAACTCTTTTTAGCCATATTTTAACAATAAAATCGTTTTTTTGAAATTTCGTGACAATGTCATTTTTTCAAAAAATATCAATGAGGTTAAACTTTTGTGGAGCAGTGTAATTGGTTTTAAAAATTTTATAGTCATGAACATTTTCGTTTCCAAAATTCCCTCATTTTTTTTCTTTTCGTTTAATAATTCCCACTCTTATTTTATATTATTTTTGTTCTTCCTCGTTTTTTATCCTATTAGTATTGTACGTTTTCTATTATAATTTATGTATTTTGTTGTCTATTACGGGAAAAATAAATGAATACATGTATACATAGAATGAACTTTAATAGCTTTTTTCTGAATAGAGCTGGTTCGAAACGGAATTATCGATGCAAGGCTTTCATTAAAATTGTGCAGCCGGTAGAAATTAAAAATTTGCGCTTTTTAAAACGTATTCAAAACTAATTTTAATTGCATATAAATTTAAAGATCGATCGATCCCGCTCGATCGAGCTTTTCGAGCGCTCGCGATCGATCGAGCATTTCGAGCGCTCGAGATCGATCGAGCGGGATCGATCGAGCATTTCGAGCGCTCGAGATCGATCGAGCGTTTCGAGCGTTCGAGTTCGATCGATCCCGCTCGATCGATCTCGAGCGCTCGAAATGCTCGATCGATCTCGGGTTCGATCGATCTTTAAATTTTCGAGCAAGATCGATTTTTTAACGATTTTGAGATCGAGCGCGCACACTGATTGTTCCCAATAAGTGAAACTGTTAGAGAACTCACGAAAAAAAATATTTTTACGAATTTCCACGTTTAAAAACGCTCAAAAATTATAATTTTCCAGCAGACTCTAACGAAACGAAAGTTAGGTCAATACTGAGCGGGAGGAAGCTGATTGGGGGGAATGAGAGGAAATTGCTGAATGGGGGAACGTCAATTTTTTGTCTTGATGGGGGAAAAGACTGAATATGGGTAAAGTTGGAAAATGATATTTGTAAAGGCGTTTAAAGACTTAGGCGAAACCGTGAAATTTTTTATTGGTTTCGTTTTTCAAACAGTTCGCTTTAAGCTTTGAGCAACAACTTGTGCGGGTTAAGCCCAACACTGATTTACCTAACAAAGCATATTACTTGATAGCCTAAAGCGCGCAAAAACACTCATATGAATCAATGTTTGATATAACCTTACCCCCATTAAAAGGTTCATAAGAAGCGTCATCAAACAACGTTTGCATTAAAAAAATCATTTTTCGATTGTAAGTATTTGTAAATCGGGAGAACAGCGACGTCAATAAGGCACAAATTGCAAAGAATAAACAAAAAAAAACAAGAAAATTTAAATCAATAAAATTAAAACAATAATACCGTAATTTCAAAAGAAAAACGACGCACAGCAACAAATTTCCTCATGGGTCTCGAAGCTTTTTTCATTATTTGATAACAGTACTCATTGCATTCCTGCATTAGGAGAATGTGATTTTTTTCTAATTTTTAAATTACATGAATGGGTAGGGTTATGCATATTACGTATGGAGTTTTACAGAAGCATGTTAGTATTTTAAAGCCATCTCTGATAAATCGTTTTGAATCGAATATAACGCTTATCAAAACGAATACGAATAAATTAGAATCGTATTGCAAAAAGAGCAAAACATGCAGATAGCTTTACGGCCATACGTCTTTCGCTTCTCGCGTGAATCTTACTATTTTGGTATTTACTCAATTTTCCGTAGCACATCGACAATATATTGTCACTAGACATTTTGTTGCTTACTTTCAGATATAAAATGTCTGATGTGTCAATTTTTCCGTTTGAAAAAAATTCATATTGGAAAAAAACGATATTATGACGTTCAATTATCGAAATAATTATCATGACAAATGCTAGACCATTATCGGTCTATTAGAAACCACCCCAACTTTTTAACCCCCACCCCTGCTATTCCACCCCGACTTTTTAACCCCTCGTTTTATTTATGATACCACCCCCACTTTTTCACCCCCAATTTTTAGGTTTCACCCCTACTTTTTCACTGCACTTCAAAATTTGAAGTTTCTAACAGTAATATTTAGCAGTAAAATTTTTTAATATTTTCAATAATTCAAGTTATCAAGAGGAGATTTACAGAACTGATGTCTAAATTAGATTTTTCAGAAACTATGTAGCGTTCTTATGAAAGGTTGACGTTTTGACAAAAGACGAAATTTTTCTGAACCGGGTTATCCGAGAATAGTTAATTTCTTGTTAAAATTGTCAACCTTTCATATGAACACTACATATTGAAACCTAAAAATTGGGGGTGAAAAAGTGGGGGTGGTATCATAAATAAAAGGAGGGGTTAAAAAGTCGGGGTGGAATAGCAGGGGTGGGGGTTAAAAAGTAGGGGGGTTTCTAGTAGACCACAATTATCGGGTTTAAATGGTATGTTTCATTTTAAGAAATAATATTTCTAGACATTTTTCAGGGTAATACAGTATCGTAACTTATACTTGACTATTGGAATGGATTAGAATGACTATTGAAAGAGTGGAATGTGGTCGGCTCATGCAAAAATTATAATTTCAAATGGAGCGACAAATAGGCTTTCGTTCGCGCATTTTTTTTTGAGTCCATTCTTCCAAATTATCACGACAGCTTATAATTCTCCAACTTTTGGTGTGGAAATTCAGATTCTCGAAGTGAATGGAAATCCGTTAGTAAATCAGTATAATCCTCTTGATTGCCAGCTGGAATTGTCAGATGTTGTTCTCGTTGTTTCGGGAAAGCGCTTGAAAGTAAATAAAAAGTTGGCAAATTTCCCGTTACTTTCACTCAATGTTTTTCAGCTCTTTTAAAGAGAGAAATCAAGAAGCATTCAAAATCAAAAATGTCGATTATGAGGAATATGCTCATGCATTAAACGTTGCTCTTCCATCAAATGAGCCTGTTACGCGCACAGTGAGCACCGAGACCTCTTTTTGAAACTTTTGGCGTTTAGCCAATTTTCCGCAGTCGACGTCAACAATACACTAATTTGGAAAAATTTCGCGTCACCGATCAGTCAGACGCCGAAAATATGAAGTTTATTTTTTGACATGAATATTTCGTGTAGACAGAGAATGTCCAAATGTGATTCATCCAGATTTAGGGAATTAAATGACAAATTATTATGTTTACAACTGCTAAGATATTTTCATAAAATGTTTATAGATTTAGATGAATAAAGGGCATGACCTTTCTGAGATTCTCGAATATTTGATCTACTCTGACAAGTATAAATTGGCCAATACACAGGTGAGCTTTTTTACACATCTATCAACATTTTCACGAAATGTCAAACAGGGGCCAACTAAAGAAGAATGAATGAAAAATCGATTTCGACGATTGTTGAATTCAAATCGAATTAAATCACTTTCTCACTAGGATCAGGTGAATGTATATTTCATTTCTACTCGAATTCAATTTTCTTTAATATACTTGAGTTGGTAGAACAATTCTTAATTATTCGAGATTGTCCGAAAATACCAGCTAGGATCAACAACACGTCTTCGAATTTATTATTAATATCCGAAAATTCTACAATTAAAATAGATTTTCAGATTTTTGTCCTGAATATTTCCCTCTAATTTCTCTGAAAATTCGTTTCTAAAATTAAATGGATTTTAGAAAGCGTGTCTGGAAAATATTTACGAAAATAAGAATACTGTCGATTGTCTCAGAATTCGATGTGAAATGCCCAATATGAGTAACGAGACGCAAATGGCAGTGATACATTTATTTTCAGCATATTATAAAAAAATAATATACATAACTGATAAAGGATATCAAATTTTTAATTTTTTTTGCAAAATTCGACATTTGACGTGATACAAAATGAAGCGGAATCTCAGTGTGTTTTAGTCATTTATTAATCGTTTACTAGTAGCGATTCGTTAGGGACAAATGGAGGAAATTCAAGCGCTAACCGAAGGAAAGGTTTGTGAGAGAAAATGAGAGTCGAAAACAATGAATAGATTGTTGCAAAACGATGGAAGATCATCGAAAAACTAGGAGAGGGAGGTATGGGAGCCGTGTTCAAAGTGCGCGATTTAACACGTTATCAGACGTACGCTGCAATGAAGGTTCGCGCAATTTCTTGTGAGGACCATTATCAAATCTCAGGTGGAAAGTGATTTGTCGGACGGCGGCGTTTTGAAATTGGAAGTTCATGTTCTCAATCAGCTAAAGAACATGTCGCATTGTGCGCGTCTATTGGATTCTGGTGAACGCGGGAAATATTGGTTCGATTCTCATAATATTTGTGTTGTATTGGCTACAGTTTCATGGTTATGACACTTTTGGGAAAGGATTTGATGGCACACAAAAGGGCAGCAGGTGTTCCAATATTCTCCGAACAAACCACTCTTCGTCTAGCAATGGCCACCTTATTCGCAATCAAACAGGTCTTTTGTGTGTGAACCTGAACAACAGGAATGTTTCTTAAAGATTCATGAAGCCGGTTTTACGCATCGAGACATAAAGCCTGGAAATTGCGTGACTGGAATTGTTGGAAGCGATGCAAAAAATATTTATCTCATTGATTACGGTTCAATTTATGTCAATTTTCAAACAAGGTCTTTTTTTTGGTAGGAATGGTTCGACAATTTACGGTTATCAAAGAAAATGGAAGAGTCGCAATGAGAAAACCGAGAGATGGAGACCAGTTGTTCAGGTTTTTTTTTTAATTTCTATTAAATCAAAAACAATCGGATTCGAAAATTTTATGGACAGTCTTATCTACAGAATTACCAATCGGAACCCTCGGGAAGTCTTGCTGAGCTTGCACAGACTTTCAGTTGACTCTTATTAGAAATTGTGTTAATCTGCAGAGACTCTTAAAGTATGCACAAACTAAACTCTGTGCAACTTTTTCGAAAAGTCAAAACCGCTAAATGTTAAAATAATTTGAAACTTGTGATTTCATTTACAGACATTTTCAGAGGAACTCCTCGCTATTGTAGTCTGAACGTGCATCAGCGAAAAGAGCAAGGCCGAGTCGACGATTTGTGGTCGTGGTTGTACATGCTCGTCGAACTCCATTGTGGTCTTCCGTGGCGTCGACTCACCGATGAAAAACTGATCTACAATATCAAGTCGACGACATCACCTGATGTTCTTCTCAAAGTTGGCCACTTTTCCGATACAATTCTCCGTACGTTTTGAAATTGTAGAATTGTCCGAAAGAGTTTTTGAATATTCACAAATATCTCGAAACTCTCCAATATAAAAGTCGACCTGATTATTTCGGATTGTGGAGTGAGGTTTGAATCGATTCCAAATTAATGTATCAAACGAAAATACAGTGTTTCGCGGGATTCAAACGAGTAAAGGGCTCATTCTTCGGTCGATTCGAATGGGAAGTTAATCAGGGTCCGGCTGATCCGATCCAGACTGCCTTGTCGATATCCGAAAGTGAAGAACCAACCAAACCCAAAACGAGTAGGCAGAATGCATTATTTTGATCTACTCAATAATTCGTTCTAGATATGCAGAAGGCGAAGAAGATTTGGCCATATGCCGATTCGGCAAATTTCAAAAAGAAGATTCTTGATCTGTGAAACAAAGAAACATTAAAATTGAGCAACCGAATTCATTAATTCAAGAAAAATAAACTTCTTTTACTAAAATATGGGTAAACGTGTTTTTGGGCAGATTTACGATTGAGGAAATCTACAGGAACAAATTTTGCACGATTTTTAAAGGTTTTTTTTAGATTGACTTGAATCTAATGTTATAAAGATTATTAAATTTTGAATATAATAAATAGTTGAATTCCGAATTGCTCAAAAAATGGTGGTCTTGTTTGAAACCATTATAAATCGTGCTGTTACATTTCGAATTAATCAACAAAAAGTGCAAGCGCGAAGGAATAGTGCAGAATCTCGCGACACACACGTCTCAAATGTGTCGATTCTGTTGAGATGTCAAATAAATTAAGATTTTGGTATATAATGAGAGGGAAAAGTGGAGTGAATTGAGTATTCTTCAATGCTGATTAGAATCGAATCACAAAATTTGACATAGATTCGAAGCAACTAGAAAAATACAATGATTGAGGAATTTTTTTTTTGTATTTTTGAATAAAACTGCACTTTAATCCTAAAGATTGCCAACAAGAAAATATCGAAATTAAATTAAAGTAATTCGCAAGTATCATTGATTTAAAAAAAAACCAAAGGAATTCTAGTGGCAAATTGCAAATTCTCTGTTTGAAAGAAAACGAGTGAACACGTTTTCGAGAAATATTTGTCTGGGGAAGGATGGGAAACACATAAAAATTGAAGAAAAAAGGAATAGTAAAAAACACGAATAAATTATAAGAAAGAATTCGAATAAGGCGCCGAAAATTTTTTGAACAACTTAATTGTTGCCCAATCCCGATTTTTGTTTGATTAATTATTGTCCTTGTGATTGAGCAACTCCTAAATTTTGCAGCTTAACTCAATTAGTTCGTTTTTCATAAACTAACCAGACTGCTGTTGTTGCTGTTGCTGTGGTGGGGGAGCATTTGAGTTATTTCCCTGTGTCTGTGGCTGTTGCGGATGTTGTGGTTGTTGTTGGTACTGCGGAAGAGAGTTTTGTCTCGACATTGGTCCTCCGTGTTGCTGGTGTTGTTGTGGGGGACCATAATACCCTAAACATTATTATCAAATATATCGCCAACTCCGTAAAACACCACTACCTTGGACGTAATTTCCATAATTGTCGAGATAGGGTTGCATCATATTTGGATCCATATTGTTATCTGACGGAATCACTTGACCCATTGCGCCATGTTGAGCCATCTGCATGTGTGGTTGCTGGTACATCATACTCGCTTGGTAATATACTGGCTAAAATTTAAAACGTTGGTTCAGGATTACAAAAGTATTTTGGATTTTGAGCGATTAACCCAAGACTTAAACATGAGCAGTGAGCAAATAAGAAGACAATTACGACAACACTGAATAATATCAAGACATGCCTGTTGGTAATAATGTTGACTCGGATGCGCTGGATGAGCAGCAATCGGCATCTGCATATAATGAACAGGCGCCTGCTGAGTTGGTTGGTGTGGTGGAGGAATGCCCACTACATTCGGCTGAAGCACCGATGGCTGTGGAACTCCTTGTGGATTTGGCGATACGCTGCGTTGCTGTTGAGCTCCTGATTGCGATGCGGCCGATCCACTCAAGCTACCGCTGCTGCCGGTGTCCGTACCCTGGCGCATTCCACCGGCCTGCAAAAAATTACCAACATTCACAAATAATCCACAACATTCAACGGTACGACGAACTGACTTATCATGCGACAACACACTTATTCATTGCAGACTATATGATTTTTCACGTACCGGAGCCGATGAAGCGACGGATTGAGCCTGCGAAGGAGGTTGCTGCTGCGACTGTTGTTGCTGCGAGTTTTGCTGTTGAAGATTCTGTTGTTGTTGTTGTTGTGGTTGCTGCTGCTGCTGACCAGACTGTTGCGGGCCAGGGGTTGGTGGTTGACTGTTTGGATGTGATTGTGGTGCGCCTTGCTGCTGCTGCTGATTCGCATACTGCTGTTGCTCATGAGAAGGTGGCGGTCCTTGGAATCGTTGGCCTTGTTGTGGTTGAATCATGTACACTTGCTGCGAATAGCGCTGCTGTCCAGCTTGCTGAGTGAAGGCCGCTGTCGGTGCTCCAGATTGAGCGCCGGCTGGACCAACAATCATCTGACCCTGGGTAGCTGGAATTTGCTGATATTGTCCGCCATGCATTTGACCCGCATATTGATTTGGTGGATAATAAGCCTGAAATATAGCATTAGAATAATAGAGATCTATTGAATGAAGCTCACTATATTTTGATTCATTGGTACAATTTGGCCATGTTGCCACTGCTGTGGTGGTTGAGGTTGATGCGGCTGTTGAGACTGTTGCTGCTGTGCTGCCGCCTGCTGTCCAGGAGCAAAGCTTCTTCTGTTAGCTACTTGAGCAGCTTGTGCTGGAACCGCGTTAGCATTGCTAGCGATGGGAGCGCCATAAATTTGTGCTCCGTTCTGGGCTTGCCCACGATGAATTGGCATCGCCTGGATCTGTTGCGGAACCATAGGATACGGTGAATACTGTTGCGCGTGTTGTGGCCACATAACGTGCTGCACTTGCATTTGTGGGACGATGGACTGCGCGGGGATTATCGGCTGTCCTTGCATCTGAATTGCAGCTTGCTGAGCATTCGGCGTGTGAATCTGTTGCGGATGAGCGGCGACGAATTGCTCGGACGCAAACTGTTGCTGCTGTGCAGGAATCACCGCAATCGGTGCAGTAGGCGTCGACGGTGGAAATCGCGGCTTGAATTCTGGTGCATTGACGTTGAATTTGAACGAAGCGACTTTGTTGGTTCCTTCCGCATTCGACGACGTATCGGATGTATCAGTGTGTCCGAGAGCATTTTCATTTCTAAACAAATATTTCAATCAATCCAAAATTAAATCATTCGATACTCACCCATCGCTTGATTTATTCTCATTCTTATCGTCGGACCCCGAGATAACACCCGATGTGGCTGAGGTGCTCGCACTTTCCGTATCATCAGTCTTTGCCGATTTTTGACGGACTTGCTGATCGACATTGCTGGCGGATGTTGATGGCGATGATTGAGTCGTTGACGTCACCGATGGCGCAGCATTCGCCTTTGCGTTTGAAACCAAAGAACTCGGTGGACCGTGATTCCAAGCGCTCGATGTCGATGTGCTGGCCGCCACCGGTTCCTTCTCTTCAGCGTTCAGCATAATTGGATACTCCTTGTTCCAATGTTTCAAGTCGGCAACGCGAGAACCTTGTTTCTCACTCTCAGTCGGTTGTCTCTGACTGTTTCGTGATTCGAGCATCTGCTTCTGGAACTTTTGATTGTTCGGTGCAGACGATCCATCGACGATGCTATTGTTCGTACTGTTGTTTCCAGCGTTCGACTTTTTGCCTTTGCTCATTTGCCAATCTGAAACAAAATACATAGTTAATTTCGAAATCACATCCAAACCAAAAATATAGGGCAATGTCATAAACCAAATATATTTGAAAGTTGCGCTAAAGCAACGTCAGCATTGCTCATGTTATTCCCACGACCAATACAATTATTAGTAGAATTTAACAGGTGTCATGCGCAACAAAACAACAATAGTGTAGATTTGAAGAAACTTTAAGAGAATATAATCGAAAAGGCCATCTCAACCCTGACTAATTAGGACGATGTGCGAAAAAAAATAATTGCAAAAAACTCGAAGAATTAAAAAAAATAGACAAATTTGCCGACAAAGAATCAGTTGAAACCATTCACAAACCAAAATGAAAAATTGTCGCAGCGGGCGGGAAAACATACGTGTCCAGTTTCGGACGAGGAAGAAACCACAAAAACGGCAATAACTATTCGGAAAAATATCAAAACTTTGCTATCAACGAATTCTCCCGAGCTATTCAGTGTTGATAAATTGCGGTTCGTTCAACTGATATCATAGTCGGTGATAAATAACGAACATTAAGAAATCGGTTTATCACTTTTTTTCTGCAAGGAACCTTGTTCATGAAACTACTCAAAGCCATACATTGTGACTCATACAGACGCCCCCGTGAACACAGGAAATGTTGAACATTTCATCGGTATGTGGTTAATGTCTAAAAAAAATTGAAACTGGAATACAATTGTAGTTGGTCGAGAGTACTCTCGCACTAAAATCGAGTCGACAAATTCACTATCGGCCCGAATCTTAGCAAGACTGAAAATGAAGACGTTAACGCAAATTGTTACCAAATAGTAAGTAGTTAGCTACTAACTGGTGAGAGAGAGAGAGAACTATGAGTATCGTGCACACTGGTGCACCGACAATGGTTTGATCACTTTCACCCGTCCATCCATGACATTCAGAACACCGCAACACACTCTACGCACACTCATATACCGGGCCGGCACGGAGAACGAAAGCAATGAAACGCAACACAATAAAAAACGGCCGACGGACGAATCGAGACAGGCGAAAAAGCAGAAAGCATTGGTAAAGTGTCGAGAGATTCGAGACAAACAGAAACGAAACGCACAGTAAAACACAGCTTACGGCAATCACTGCAACAACGGCAGCAGCAGCAGCAACGGTGACAAGTTGGGCAAAAAAGTGAAGTGATGAAACCGAGAGACTGGCTGCCCCGTCCCGCGTCCTCGCGCGCTCGCAACTATCAGAAGAGGTTTTTAGGCGAGCAGCACCAGTTGCCGGTATCGATGCGGGACAGAAACGCGTCGAGACACAGTTCCGAATTATTCTGACAAAAACTGTTCCTATTGTCGATGCCGCTGACCGAATCGTGGCGGAGAACACCAGAAAGAAAAGCGACGCAATACTTTGAACACGGGGCATCAAAAAAAAAGTTGGCTGTGTAATTGATTAACATGATTCACGGGCGCGCCGCTCACATAACTATTCCTCAAATGGGCCAATGAGAGGAAAAACGCTACGCAATTGAAAAGAAAAAACGGTGCATCGATAAGACTGCGAAGGAAGTTGTCTCGAATAGAAAAAAAAACTCACCGTTCTGATATTCTTCGTGGCTACCCTGTCGTCTGTTGTTGTACGAGTTATTCATGTTCTTCGACGATCCACTCGACTGCGAGTAACCTTGCTGATTGTGTCGATTCTGATTTCCCGGTACACCACTGTTTCTACGGTCAGTCGAACTCTTTAACCCGTCTGCACGCCGATTAATTGGCTGCCCATTCGGAGCCATATTGTTGCTACGACGATTTTGTTGCTGATTATAGCCGCTTCCATTTCTGTTTTTGAAAACTTTGTAAGTCATTTGTTTTTTTTTGTCACAAACCTATTATTATTTCCACGGCGGTTATTACTTCCAACTGCTTCAAAATCATCTTCGCCAGTCTCTTTGTCGAGATCGCGCTCAACATCGTCATTTTCGAGTTTGGCGTAGAACTTCGATGACTGATTCTGTTCGATTTCGCGAGCTAACTGATCAGCACGTCTTCTGTCTTCTTCTGTTCCCTCAACACCAACACTGAAAAACAAACTCAAATAAGGAATGAACAAAAATGGAAAATAATCACGTTGTGTATTGGGTCAAGTCCTCTTTGAATGTGGATTTGACATTGAGCTTCTCGTTAACTTTGAACATTTCGTCAACAGACCAGCCGTTTCCGCGACGATTGCGCTGATCCGGAAGATCCTGAAATCAAAACAAAAAACGTATACTTACAGTGGCCCACGCGAAAATGATTAGCCGTTATAGCCACATCACACTCTGCTTCTTCTCGCACCACAACAATTATTCCGGTGGATTTGAAAGAATAATAAAATGATAACAGAAAATGAGCTGTCCAGGGTTTTAAATTCACACTCATCCCCCTCCCATAAAAAAGCGCTCAAATGGGGTCTACTCTCCACAGTTAAACATTTAAAAGAAATAAATAAATGGGAAATAACTTAATCTCAGAAAAATAAAAGAAATATTACATTACTGTTCTCGTGCTCTTCAATTGAGCCACCAACGCCTTCGTCTTCATCGGCATTCCATTCCTCGAAGTCAGGATCATCTAGATCGTCGTTGGTTCCATGATAATCGCGGTCGGTGGCGAATCCCATGGCTGCAAATTTATTGGTGATTTGAAAGTCAAGTGATTGATAAACGCGTGAGAAACTCGAACTTGTGTTAAACATATTTGAGATTAAAAGTGAATATATAAGAAGAATAACCTCTTGTTCCCGGCTTCTCCTCGGTTGCGCAAGCCGACACTCCGACGATATCAGAAAAATGAAATTGCATCTTGTCTTCAATTTCACTTCTTTTCGGCAAAAGGTTTCTTTGATTGCTTTCAGTGATTTTGTAAGCGAAACTCAAACCCAAATCCATCTGAAAATGGAGAATACCAAATGGAAAAACTGAATTTATAATTTACCTCGGGGGAGCACGCCGTCAAAATTCCAGTATATTTACTTCCATCGCGACCGGTCACTGTAACATCCTTTCCCTATAAATGAACAAAAATAACATTTCAAAATTGGCTCTTTAAAACATACCAGCATGTCATTGATGGTTAGAAGAAGCGCGCTAGTGTTCAAGGAAGCCTGCAAATTTAAGTAATTAAAACATAAATTTTATTGATTTTAAAAATATTCTAAACCATTGAGAATAATGAAAATTTAGCATGAATATTTGTTTAAAACTATTATAAAATAATTTATTCAATATATGAAATATGCGTATGTCCTTAAAGGTGACTCAAGAGTGAGAACCATGTACTTGCGTCATCTCAATCGCACTCTAGAAGTTCGAAAAGCGAAAGGTGCAATTTCTCAAAGACGCAAGAGAATTTTTTAAAACAAAAACATGAATCAAAAACTAACCATAATTTGCCGATTTTTGCTGAAAGTAGATAAGATAAAACGGAAAAAGTTCGATTTGGTCTGCTGATTGTTCGCAGAACTTGATGAGCACAGCTGATGCGGAGTAGCTTGTTGCGACTACTATCCGCCTGTCTGTAAACAATGGAAACAATTAACCCGCTACTAATTATGCATTGAAATAAGTGAGCAATAAAAATAACTGATGACGATAATCGCTGCCGAAACAAGAGGTTACATGCGGGAAAACTTGCAAGATGACGCGGGTTTGTGTGGTGCCGAGCGAGAGAGACACACACACAAACACACAGACCACGCCCAAATGTGCGATGGAGCGCGGTTGGCGCACCGCTCGCGCAACGAGCAACTGACTCATTATTGAATTTTCCAATCGAAAACAATATCAATTTCGCGATAACAAAGCAAATAAAGAATATGGGTATCAGCATTGAAAAGGCAATCATTAAACTTGTCCAATTCTCGATATGACAGAAGAACATTTCGGTGAAAAAAATTGTGTCATTTAAAATTATTAATTAAAATACGCAATTAACACTATTGTAATTATATTTCATTCGAGAATTATTAATATAAAAGACATATTTCATGATCAATTCACACTTTTGATCTCAACTTTTACATACTTGATTTTTAGCCGATCTGTAATGATTCATGAATGCCTAAAAATTGATGCAAAACAACAAATTTGAACAACGCGCAAATATTTTGGCGTACTGTCAAGTGTGACGTATTGTCTGCAAACACTGACCAACGGGAAACTAGATAAATAATTTCAAAGGCTTGTGAGAAAATGTAACGAATAAAAACCTCTTCTTGAGATATATGAGAATAAATCGAATTTTTGAAAAATTCCCGATTTCAATCTATAAATTACCAATTTCATTTAATTTTATTGGCTAGGAATCTTAAAAATGGTGATCATTATTCCGAAGTTTTTTTTTTTTCAATTTTTATAATTTTCAAAAAAAAAGAAACAACTTATTGTTAATGCAGTTTATTGCTGTTAGACTATTCAATAGTATCTAATCGGTTTGAGGAAATAAAATATTGCTTGGGATTCTAGAATTGATTGCTAGCTGCGTAAATATTAATAGAGAAAATTCTCTACTCAACATTTTTGGTCGCGCTTTTGAAACGCGGCAATTAGCAATATTAGCAATGAAAACGAATAAGGAAAATGAAATGTTCATGGAACGTGGGATTTGCGCGAGTTACGCGATGATCTGGCTATGCGACGGAATTCGAGCGCAGAAAGCGATGGCATGTGGGGGCTCATATGCCTACTGCGCAATCAAAAAGACCCAAACCCCACCCCTAAATCACCAAAACCGATTTGGCATGACACCTGGACAGACGTATTAGTGTTATAAATGTGCGAAAGAAACGCGCAATTTGTGGACAATAGACAAATGTGCGAAACCTAAGGTGCCGTGGACACCATTAATGTGACAGAATCGACTATATTAATGTTCTTTCTCGCTCAAAACATATTTGGGCGTCTTTAAACAGAACATTAAGAATTTCTAATGGGATGCACATATCATGAAAATTCGATTAATGCTATAACAAGCATATTGAAAAAGAACATGCGAAAACGAGAAAAGGAGGAGGAAACTAAGAAAAACGAATGACGCATTTAATATAATCGTTAATGTGAGAAATTTTAGATTTTGAAAATTAAGACATCACCTTCTCGGAGTTTTTTGCCTATAATAGTGCTGTATTTGACGAAAAATTGCACAGATTTGTCTACAGTCTCACATATTTTAATTTTTTAAATCAAAACATAACAATACGAAACATCATTGAACACTTTTTGTAAAGATCTTTTTTGCTCATAAGTATTTCGAAAAACACGAGTGTAAAGTTAAAAATAAGAGAATGTGTTTTCTATAGAAATATTTTAGACGTAATGCGTGAACCTAGATAATATTTACACGTCGCTTTTGAATTATTTTCGTATTAGTAAATATTGTCCAAATGTCCGGAAAAAGTGGAAAATCAAAACGGATCGAAAAAGTGAAATCACGCTCGTCGCGAGCTGGACTTCAGTTTCCTGTCGGACGAATTCATCGCCTTCTTCGCAAAGGAAACTATTCTCAAAGAGTCGGAGCAGGGGCACCGGTATGTTTTAAGTTTTAAAAAAATAGAATTGTCGAAATCGCGCGACTACGGAGAATTTTCAAAATTCTAAAAAACGGCAGTCTTGGCACAAAACTAACCTTGTAGATTTACGGGCTGTTCAAATCGCCCTAAGACCTTTATCGAAATTTAGTTTTGGAATTTGGCCAATTTTCAGCAGCCGCGCGACGTCGACAATAGTTGATTTCAAGTAAAGCACAATTTAATGTTTAGGTGTATCTGGCCGCGGTTCTTGAATATCTCGTTGCCGAAATTCTCGAACTAGCTGGAAACGCGGCACGCGACAATAAGAAGACTCGCGTCAATCCACGGCATGTTCAGTTAGCTGTAAGGAATGATGAAGAGCTGAATAAACTGCTTGCCGGGGTAACAATTGCACAAGGTGGAGTTCTTCCGAATATCCAATCCACACTTTTGCCAAAGGCCGACAAACTGGAATGATGTTATTCCTTATTGAAACTCTAATAAATATTCGAGAATATGTCGTTTTCATGTATTTTCGGAGTCGTTAACACACACAGATCCGGACGTCGCCCGTTTTTTCCTCGTCTGTTTCAAGTCCCTTCGAATGAACGAAGGTGTTACAATTAGCGATTGACCTCGAAAATGATTATCGCACTATGAAGAAGATGTCCGTTTGTATACAATAAATACTAGTCACCCATTTTATAACTAGTTTCTCAATGGCCGTTTTTGACTGATTGGCCATGTTATCCTATTTCAGATTATTATCTTTATCATACATCTGTAATTCAATTATTCTGACATTTGTAATTAATGTTATGATCAAAATATTCAACAAAAAAGTAAAGTTCGATTTAAAAAAAGTGATTTTTTAAAATCCCTATTGGTGTGAAATTTTGGATGAGTTTCGTCGCGATTTTACCACAAAGATCAAAAACTGCGATAAGAGATGTAAATTGGTAAATGTCGAACTTCTTCTTCTTCCCCTAATTGATCAATCAATCTCGATTCGATCACCTCGCAGACATCTCTTCTTCCAAGATTGCATTTCGAGATACCCGCAATGAAAATTTCACATGTTGCCACAATTATATCAATATGTTTGTATGTATATATGTATATGTGAATGTTCTCGGATAGTATATCAAATGTTCCACCGTCGCTCCGTGCATTATTTAGGTCAATTATTCAACATATCATTCCGACACCGCAAAACCGCCGCCGCGCACCGATTTTATCCGTCATATCCAGCCCCACCTCAATTGTTTCATTTGATCATCGCGTCCGGAATTATCAATAATACCAACCAAAGTTGTACATTTACTCACCGCTTCGAAATATTTTCTCACAATAAACTGATATGCCGCTTTTTTTTCGTCTTTTTTAAAATAAAGATCGCCTCACTGAAATATTTTTGTTAATAATTATAATTATGAATCTGATAGGTTTCAAAATATAAATTCTGCACCTTAAACGAAAATATTTAATAAAATTTGCCAATGCTTTTCGCGTTGATATTCTCACAATAAAAAAAATCGAAAATGAGAATAATTGAAAAAATTCCACTCGCAACCTAATTTTATCAATATTGAAGGTGTTCAATTAACCTGAATATCAGTGGGCATTTGTCCTTCAAAAATTGAGTCATCTCTACTCATTCAGCCATCTTCATCCCCATTGTTCTTCTCATTCTTTTCAATTTATTTATTATCACGAATAAGATACAGTCTGTGAACCAATTTTATTTGTTTCCTGCGCTTTCGCATAATCACCTTTTCATTCTTCCCCCCCCCCGTTTTTTTCATCGTTTGAGAATGTCCTCGTAAAATCGGCGCTCGTCAAAATGCTGTTTTGTTTCTTACACCCGTTTCAGATGTCATCATTTTTTGGCGCCAATTCGGGCGGCGCCAACTCGATGGGTCTCGACACGACGCCCAAACCGAGTCCGGCACCGATACGGTTTCAACGGAAAGCTTCAACGGGATCAGCGCCGGTTAGTCGACTTGATTTGTATTTGCAAAAATAAAATTAATGTTTGATATTAAAAGAGTAGAAGCTATCAGACTTGTGGTGTAGTTCCCACAGCTCCGTTATTTTGTTGCCAAATTCGAACGGCGGTCTACCGAAGGCCGGTAGACTTTTTGTCTCGAATTCTCGCGGCGACATTTCCATTTTGTCACTTCCTGCATTTTGTCGAACATTTTGCGAAACCAATCGACAAAAAACATAAGGAAATGAATGAAAAAACGGACAGTTATAAATCACAGAACATCTAAAATTTACCACCATTTCCATATAAAGCATCAAACAAAACAATATCAAATATCTATCTATTAGCATTTTTTTTTAGCAAAGAATTCAAGCCAAATGTTTAAAAGTGCATGATCCGTATAGAAAGTTCGTGAAAATTCGAAAGTGAAAAAATCTGTCAGGTTGCGGAAAATCAAGTTTGCCATCTGCTTCATACTCAAAATAATGTAATTCACGAAGGGTTATCGGAAATACAAAAAAATTCACTTGAGCGTATATAATGAGAGAAATAAAAGCAATAAGAAAAAAATAATGTGATGTTCAACAATTATGTACTATCATTGTGTTTCTCTCGTTAACTATACAACAGTTGAATTTATGCTGGTTTAAATCAATTTTAATTCGATAATAGATCTTCTATTTATATGAGAAAAACGGAATAAAGTAAATTAAAAACAAGATTTTTTCTCTTCATTATTTTATGGTTTCCATTAAAGTATTCTTATTTTCATAGTACGCAGTCTCGCTATTTTATGAGATCTATTCTGAGAGCTGGGACCAAAAAAGACCTGGCGGAAAACTTCTGAAAATTAATTTGGAAATCCTATCAAATGAGACCAAATTATAGATAATCATGTTAATCTCGGCTTCCCAAAAAAAAAAAATGAAAATTCGTTAACCTGATTCGATATTCAAATTTTTTATGAATAGTTAATTCGAGCACGTTGCCAAGTTCACATTTTAAGCCCGAGGTCTCATTTAGCAAAATGGGGCCAAAGTGCTTTTAGATGTTGGTTCCTTTCGTCCAAATTTAGAAGATTCCATTTAATCATTCAGGGCTATATCAAGTGAAATGCGTAAAGTCCATATAATCATCTGCAATTTCGCATCGTCTTATTATTTTTTGAGTGTTTTTTGCACTATACATATAGATGTTGATGAGGCTGATGATAATGATGATGATACGCTTGTCCATCGGTTCTGCGACGTCTTCGTTCGTGTCGTTCATTCATATTTGTTTTAATAAATCATTGGAATCAACATTGCACTTTTAACGCATTTCACACACTGGTTTTTTTCTCCCAAATGATAAATGTTGCGATTTGTGCGAAACTCCGCCCATTTTTTGTTTCGTTCATCATTTCGCGCGCGGAGAAAAAAAATGCATTTTTTTTGACAATTCCGACGTCCCGCTGATCAGCCTCCGAAAATTGCTCTAATTTTATTGTTTTGTTCATTGTCGAAATGGTTTCGAACTACTTGTTAATTGATTCCGACCAATTTCATATAGTTTTTAATGACGGAATAATTTTAAAAAATTTTATATTCAAAATTATTTAAAGGACAGATTTTTACATAAATAGTTTGTGTAAGTTTTAAAAATCAAATTAATTTTAATTTATTTTGAAAAGCGGGTTTTTTTTTTGAAGAAAATATCATCAAAATGGAATTTTCGTTGGAATTTTGAAACTTGTTTCAGACTTGCTTTGTTTGATCATTTGAATTGTTGATTATGAAGATATTTCAGCTGAATTATTTCCAAAATAAGGTAATCTCATCAGTTTTGTTGATTTCTATTTATATTTTCCCACGTTTTCTTCACCAATAATCCATCATTTCGCGCTTCTCTATCATTCCACTTCTACCGAATCCGAATTCGACGATTCGAACTTTCGACCGTTTTCGTTTGATTACATGTATGAATTTATCGGCGAATTGTCACAACTTTTTTCCAAATATGTCCTCGTTGTCGTCCATCAACACACAAATTCATTCATATTATGCATATAAACGACACGAAACTGCGCACTGTAAACGAACATCGGAACACGGCGAAATAGTGTGCGCGAGCGGCGAGACGCAGACTGATAAAATGATCTTGACCTAAATTAGACGCACAGGCGGTGATTTTAGGAAAACGGAGAAGATATTTTGAATATTTGTGACGCAAATTGAAAATGACGAGAGAATTGAGAATGAAGGAAATGAAGAGAGTGATGGAGAGAGAGAGAGAGAGAACGGCGTTCGAAATGATCGTCAAATTGAAGAATGTATTCAGCTGGGTTTTCGTCAGATATCTTTGAACAATAAAACGGCAAACTGCAGCGAATATCGTGTTTTTCCGATTTCAGGTTGTTCCTCCTCCAGCTGTTCCGCCTCCTGAGAGCAGTGCCAGCGAAGACGAGCAGCCGAATCAGTCGAATCGTAACGCATCAGTGGCCTCTACAGTTCCTCCGCCATTGAGTCGTGAGCCTACGAGAGTTTCCACTTTAAAGGTGTTTTTTATCACAAAAAAGAAATTGGATTTAATTAAAATTGATTGAATTAAAGCGGGAAGATAAAGAGAAAAAGCAGAAGGAGCGAATGGAAAAAGAGCGAAAAGAATTGGAAGAGCAACGAGTTAAAGGTTGGTTGAGCTGAAAAAACGCACCCGCGAATGATTGCGTGTGGTTAGTTTTTATAGAAGACGAAACAAAAGAAGATATGGATGCAGCGCATGCATCATTAGCGGGAAGAACGAGCTACGTTGAAGAGCCGCCGTCCACGACGACCACCCTTGATCGGAAAGAGAATAAGGCGGAGAAGGCGCTGGTTCGCCGAATCACCAACGAGATGGCAATGGCCACTTACGTGCACCAAGTTGATCTTTCGAATGTGAAACACCCCGTTGGCGCGTACACACCCGGAGTCTATCGGATTCGATCGTTGAGATTCTTCGAGGCCGGATTGAGAAGAGCAATGTGGGGCGTCGGAAAATTCCTCGCCAACCGCAGCTTCTTCGCCATTCTGTTGTCGATGCTCTGTTTCGTGATGGCACTTTCGTTGCCAATTTATAATCGCGATCTAATTTTCATCGATCTTCCGTTTTCTTATCTTCTCGGCACCGGGAGTGACGTCATCACGAACGGTGTTGGCATTTTGCCGAAAACTCAAGAATTCAATTACACGAATCCCGCATTCTCGTGCATTAATTGGAGGGATCCCAATCATTTTGCTGTCATGCTCAAAACATTGTAATCTCAAAACCAATTTTGATTCACCGAAACAACCATTATCTTTTTGTTCCAGATCTCCGCGAGACTCAATTTTGAGAAAAGACGCCGTTCTCGCCTACACCGCTTTGAAGAAAAAGCTTGATCACTTCCCAGTGGAGAAGCGAGAAGTAACTCATTCAGACATTCTCATTCTCATTGTTTTTTGAAGTTCTTGGTCCAATGCTCGGCTGATTGCGAGACCGACAAGGATATGGTTGATCGGATCATCAAGAAGAGTCCGCAAGTCGCACTCATCTATCCGGAAACATTTGTGAGCATGAGCAAAGATTCGACGAATTTGACACGCGTCTACCTGGGAGCTGCCATCGGCGGTTTGTGTGTTCGGCAATTTTTCCGCGTTAATTGATCAATTCTAGGAGTTGAGACCGATATTGATGGCGCGATTTCGAAAGCTTCGTCGCTTTTGATGAATTTCGAAGTTCGCGGAGAACTCGGAGCCAAAGAGCAAGAAGCGTGGCACAGACATTTTGAGGAACAAGTCCGACTCACCGCCGCTCCGAATATTTCGCTGATGTCGTGGTCGCCGGAATCATTCCGAAGTGCAGTTGTATCAACACTTCATGATCAATATTGGTTCGAAGATTCCAATTCATAATTCCTTCTCACGATGTTCGTTTCAGGATTTTGTTGTTCTGCGCCGCAATAGTTTTTGTCTTCTGTCTTCTGGCCTCATTCGGAGCCAATGCATATAAAGTAAATATTTTTTAAGCATTCAACAGATTGCTATTAATTGCATGATTCCAGTCGAAACCATGTGTCGGCATCATGATCTTCGTAACTCTCGTGATTGCGTCATTAACAGGTGTGTTCTGAAGCCCTAGTTTTCAAACCAAAAAAAGAATGAGAGACGAAACCACGCGGGATTTGTTGGTCTCACAATTTCTAGTATTTCGTTTTTTTATTTTCAGGAATTTCCATGCAATTCTACCGCAATGAGCCAGTCGATCCACTCATTTATCCAATCTGTTTTGTCACTCTCGGTAACGATTTTTCATGTTCATTTTAGGCAATTGGCTCATGATTTATTCAAATTTGTCATGGTTACTCAACCATTGTTTAATAATTAAAAGAGGCGGACAAATTTCGAAAAGATATCTTCCATTTTCTTTATTTTATTTTTCATGCTTCTCCCTTCTCTTTTGATGCCATGAAGCTTTTGGGAAATCTCAAAAAAGTCGTTTTCTTCGCAACCTTCTTAGAGATTTTAAATGATAATTTAAACCGATTTTTTTTTGAGTTTATGCAAATAATTCCAATCGGAAGAAAGAATTTCTATCAGATCAGAAGAGTTAAAATAAATTTGAACTAAAACAAAAAGAAGTCGTCGAATATTAAAAAAAAATTGGTATGAAAATTTAACAAGCTTATCCGGAGACGAATTCTAATAGATCTGCATTTTTTGAGTTACCAAATAGAACTTTTAATTCATCCAGAATCAATCCGATCCGACGAGATTTTAAAGATGTCCGATCACATTGTTTGAATTGAGATTTTTAAAATTTTTCCAATTCAGATCACGATTAGTTTTGAATTACCAGAAAAAGACACCCCTTTCTCTCTACTGCATTTCAAAAAATTTAAACCATTAAAGAAAATTTGTTAGCAAATTTAAAAGTGAAAAAAAAAATGAAAAAGAATATATAAATGAAAAATTCCTTCTTCGGTCAAAATCTCCGCGTTTTTAAATTCATAATAAAATGTTAATTGGAATATGCTAATAAAAACGCGAAAATAAAACGTAAGAGAGCGATTTTACGACGAAACTCGCATCGAATTCGAAACCAATTAGCTCGTTTATACATGCCTAATATGGCCTCACAACTATGTTTGCAGGGATCGGACTCTTGTGGCTATTCCAACTGCATTTCAGCTGGTCGCGATATTCGTCGGCGGCCGTTCATCCCACCGAGAAAATCGCGTTCATTCTCTCTCACGATGCTCCCGGAATCGCCGCCAGCGCCGCGATTATTGTCATTACATTCGGTAGATCACAACAGCAAAAAAAAAATATTTCGTCGACAACATTCATATTCAGTTTTGATGGGTTTATTGCTCTCCAACGCCCACATGGTTTCTTCGTTCCTCGCAATCGCTTCATCAGTCGCCATTCTATTAATATTCGCAATTTTGTTAGTTTTGATTCGTTTTGAAATTGAAATTTGTTATTATTCAGATTTATTTCGGTGTTTGTTTTTATCGGAGGTCGACGAGAAGCCAAAGGAGTCAAATGGTATCAATTGTTTAAGACTGGCGATACTCATTTCACTGGTATTTTCTTCTTTCGCTTCTCGACTTCTTGAACACGAAATTCAGCTCCTCAATTGGCATCGTTCGATTCGTCTTCTCTGTTCTCTTTGCACGATCGTCTTCTCGATTCTCGTTCATCTCCGTCGCGGGCGATCGGCTCATTCTTGATCGGAAGAACAGTGCGCTATCCGATTGTTTTCTTCTGCACCGCCTATCTTATTTTTGCCGCCTTCGGATGCTCCCAAACAAGGTTGTTTTGAACCGCGATTTTTTCCCCAATATCTCCTTTTTTAGTGTCGATATCAGGGAAGAATATTTCCTTCCGACAGGATCACCAGAAAAGACATTCATCGAGCAATATCGAGATCAGTTTGGAAAGACCACTCAGTTTTTGGAAATTCAATTTGAAAATGCTTTGGAATATCACGATCGTGATGTGCAGAACGCAATTTTCGATCTTTTGGATTTCACGATTGTGAGTTTTCGAAAAACGCGTTTCTCCTGGTGACTTTTATAAAGATCTCTCGATCTTCAGTGAGCCAACACTTTTCCAACTGAGCTATATATGAGCTCGTGATCTCTTAATGAGCTTGAGTTGTTGCAGAATGACGGATACGCAACGCGCGCTGTCAATTGGCTCGCCGAGTTTGTCAAATTCGAAAAAACCATAATCTACGATGTGAACCCGGTAAAAACGAAAACGAAAATGAAAATCGAATGGGATTCCAGGAAACTTTTGCACCGATAATCAAGCTTGTCTTCCTGACATCCGAACCATATAGAAAGTTTACATCGGATATTATAATGGATCGCAGTCAAACACAGATTACCAAATCGAGAATGTATTTGGAATTGACCCAAAAAGGATATATGCATAGGTGATTCAGTTGATTGGAAATGAATCTGAGACCGATCTATCGAATTTAGAGTATCGCTCATCGAGAGTCTACTGACAAAGGCAACAGCTAGAGGTCTTCCAGTGTCTGTCAGTGTTCCAGCATCGATGTCGCTTCGTCACGATATCGGGGTATTTCGTGTGATTCCTATACTCATTTATTTGGCACATTCAGGTGCTTTCATCCGGTCTCTACGCCTTTGGAATTGCTCTCGTATCTCTTCTCATCGCTTCATTGCTCCTCCTCGGCCAACCAGCCCTCACTTTCCTTCTCCTCTTCACTTCAATCGCAGTTCTCGTTGAAACCATCGGATACGCTTATTTCTGGAGTGTTCCGATCAACATGATCACCCTGACAATGGCGCTCGCGGGAAATGCACTCACGTGCACTATCGTGATCGCCTTCTGTTACAGCTACTCGATGTCTGGCAAATCGCAAATCCGCGCTGGTGTCCGTGTTCAGTACACTTTCCAAGCTACTCTCGTCCCAGTGTTGTTCGCCTGCTTTGTGCCAGTTGTCAGCTACTTGCCATTGCTGATGGTCGACGTTCCGCTGGTTTTGCATTTGTTCAAAATCACAATTCTCAGCGCGACCGCTTCATTGATTCATTATCTCTTCTTCCTTCCAAAGTAAGAAACTCTTATGCTCAATCAATAAGCTCAATCATGTTCAGTCTGATGCTATTGTTCTCTGAGAATCTCGGAGTTACCTGCTCATCACTGAACTGCGCCGAATGCTGCTGCGACATGGATGATGAATCATCGATCTATTATATTCCAACGGGCGGAAGAGCGATCCATCCCGAAGGGTATCTATCTATCCGACTAGTTCGAACAGCTTGAAATCGACATTTTCAGATTGTACCAACACGCATCATACACTTATACAGTACCGAAACCAATGATGAATGCTCCGCCCCCGCATTATTTGGCAATTGCTGCGCCACCAATCAATGGAAATTATGGCGAAATCTACGGAGAAGCGAGGCATGAAAAAAAGAGGGAATCGAGAAGAGTCAGAAGGCACAGCGAGGTATTGAAGGTTTTCCATTCATTCTCTTCTCATTCTTCGTTTTTTAGTCGTCCATGGGAGCCTCCGAATCAGGTGGAACTCCGCGTCGTGATCGCGAATCTCGTCGAAGGAAGCAAAGAAGAGCAGTGAGTCGAGACAGCGAAATTTACGAGGCTCCGCCAAGTCCAGTAAGCTCATTGCCTTTTTTGAGAATACAATATCTGATAATTGGATATTCAGCGAGGTGGAATGACGTCGTCTTCCCGCTCGAATTCGCCACGTCGTCATTATCACCATCAGAATCCATATGGAAGTATGCGAAGAAATCAATCAAGCCAACCAAACAGTGCTCGTCCACAAGCTTATCATTATGACGAAGGAGCTCAATGGAGACCGTATGTGCAACCTTCGCCTTATGTGTATTATCCGGGAAGTCCAATGTACGGCGGAGCCCCAAGACGATCTTAATTCTTCAATTTTTCGATTTTCCACGTATTCTCAGGACCATTATATTTATCTCCTAGCCTCTCAGATTTTTGTTCGAGTCCTTCAATATTTTTCGATTTTTTTTGTTGAGATTTGCATACGGTTTCCAAAACCACGCCCCCTCCGCCCCCCATATATCTCCCAACTAATTGCCGTGACATTCATTCAACTCTCGTTCTTTCATTCAATTCATCGAGGTGCTTTTATTTGCATTTGTTTTATATTTATTTATTTATTTACTTAAATATTTCTAATTTTTATTGTCGTCATAAATTATTTCAAACTATACCGAGTCAAATATTTCATTTTTTATAAATATATCAACAGAAACATTTTATTTCACATTTACCAACTAATTTTAGAATTTTTTTAAAATTTTCAAATGAGTACAATTTTACGTCAATGAGTATGATTTTTTTTTCGGCAACCATTTTTATAATGAAAAATGTTTTTTAAGCCGTCTTGTAGATTTTATTGTGATACATAAAAATACATATTATGATTACCATAATTAGGTATAAACAGAAGAAATGCCAGAGTGTTATCAGTTTTTAAGGTCAACTGGCTAGAGTCGAGTAGCAAAATGTGGATTGATCTCGAGTAGACTATAGTATGATAAAAGTGTTTGAAACCTGACATAACTAAGGCCAATAATTATTAACTAAATTCACTAAATATGATTATTAACTAAATATAATTATTAATTAAATAAATACTTTTTAACTAAATTCATATTTTTCAACTAAATAAAATATTTTTTAACTAAATATGATTTTTAACTAAATAAACCAACAGTAAAAAGATACGAAATAATTAATTTTCTTCATCGCTTTTGAACGAAATGGTTCAATCGAGCTGAAATTTTTAGCACTTATTTTCATTGAATGAATTATGTTCAAAAAGTTTATATTATGGAAATTAATTTTTTTCAAGTACAGTGCGTTGCAGAATTACAAGGCCACCCTCAAATTTGAGCGCCGCGCAATGATTTCGATACTTTGAGACCAACCAGTCTTAAAATCGTGTTCAGCATGAAAAATAACCTATATGTCCCATATTTCATGTTGGTATTTCAAGAAGTAACCGCGCTGTGGTCCAAAATCGTTTTTCGAGCGGTGCAGAATTATAAAGTCACCCCCATGAAATACGTTATAAATTCAAAGATAACAACAGTCTAATGTATGATGGCACCTCCATTCGAGGTTATAACATCGAAAACACAGTCTGGCATAGATTTGAGAAGGTTCGAAACATATTGGGTCGATCTAGATTTGAATTGCTGCTCTAACGTCTTTCACTCGACTACGATTTCGGTTTTGAGCTCTCCAACTCCCCGAAATTCCTTCCTTGGCCATAGAGACGCCGTACTAACTCTCCCCAGACGTTCTACATGGGACTCCAAAAAGGAGAACATGATGGCCAGTCGAGAACGTCTACATTGTGAGACTGAAGCCAGTCCAAAGTAGACCGACTCACATGAATGACCGCATTTTTCTGTTGAAAAAGGACAATAGTGACGTCGGAATGGAAGAAGATGGCTCTCAGGGTCATTTTGATAGTCCGAAGAGTCCACCTTACTCGTCAGAAAAGCCATTTGCAGAAACCAGGCTGCCGAAAACGCTTCCAAATACTATCACGCTTCCTCCTCCAAAATTGCGTTTTGAAAGCAGGAGGAGATTCTTTCATAACTCGGGCCAGCAACTGTTATGGCCGTCAGGGCCATCCAAATTAATTGTTTTTTCATCGGAAAAAATAACCTGTTGAAATTTGAATGGCTATTATTCACAATATTCTCGACTATAAGCACATTGTTCCAATCCGTATTCATGTTTTTGAATGCGAACTCAAGGCGTCGAATTTTATAATCCTCTGTGAGTCGCGGGGCCGGCTTCATTGTTTCTCTAGCGATGTTGGGGTTATTCTTGATGGTTCCCCAAACTGTCCACTTGCTTTTGTCGAAGTTTAGCTTCTTCTTGATGTCATTTGTAGACTTCATACTGCTCGAAGGTGCTCGAATCAATGCTCGTTTAGCGCGATAGTCCAGTTTTCCTCTGCCGCCTGACTTTTGCGACATGTTGACACGAGTTAGATCCTTCACAAAGATGTCTACGAATGTTTTCGGACCATTTAAATTCTTCGCAACCCAACGGTTCGACCATCCTGCCGTTTTGAATGCGAGAATCTGAGATTGCTCAGAAGCACTAAGACAGCGACCACGTGGCATTTAAAAATGATTTAAAAAGAGACGAATAAGGACCACTGTAGGTTCTCAAAGCCACACAACAATTTTTATGCACACTGGTCCCGCCAAAGTTTCAAAAAAAAATGCGAAAAAGTTCGTTTCATGGGGGTGGCTTTATAATTCTGCACCGCTTGAAAAAACGGTTTTAGACCACAGCGCGGTTACTTTTGAAGATACTAACATAAAAATTGGTACATATAGGTAATTTTTCATGCTAAACACGATTTTAACACTTGTTGGTCTCAAAGTATCGAAATCATTGCGCGGCGCTCAAATTTGGGGGTGGCCTTATAATTCTGCAACGCACTGTATATTTCGCTAAAAATTTCGATGTTTTGAGACCAACCAATGGGAAAATCATGTTCAGCATGAAAAATAATCTATATGGAAATTTATGAATATTGCCGGCATCGCGCGATTGCTGAAAATTGGCAAAATAATTAGGGAAAATTTTCAATAATATGTGGGAAATGGTGTTATAATAAAATCTCTGATCATATTTATCAATTTTGTAGCGGAAAATATGAATATAATATTGGCAACTATTCCCTTTATGTCATTAAATTCACTTCTACTTTATTATTGTCGAGACTGCACAAAATTGGCTAATTGCCAAAAAAAAAACCATTGGGAACGGCATTAATGCAGAGCTACCAGTGTATGTATACCAACCGTTTTTAAATTTGCGGAAAATTTTAATCATACGCTTAGATTAACACCTTAAGATTTAGAATTTTTTAGGAATTTAGCAATTTTTCTGCAGTCGTGTCAATGCTAAAAATATGTGAATAAGAAGAAAAAACGCTTGAACACCTAATCCTTTTCAAATAGTTCAAATATCAGTCGTAGTCAATTTCTAGTCTACTCAACCAATTGATACCACCGCTCTCATCGGCCATTAAAAAGGGCGGGTTCGCCAGGAACGATCATACGCAACCACATTCACTTCTTCTCAACGACCTTGCCACAAATCGCTTTTGATAATTTTTGTTTTTCGCGAAATGGCCGAGAAAAAGAAGATTCTTGTTATCGGAGCTGGAGCATCTGGCCTTCCTTGCCTCAGGTATTCAACGCATTAGTCATTTTAATAAGTGATTGGCAATTTTGAAATTTGCATGTTGAGCTTATTTTTATCAGATTTATTACAAATTACATATTAAAATGTGCTATTGTATGTAAAAAAAATATGAATTTCTTTTCTGCCCACACCCACCCCTATCTACCCACAACCCTTATGTTCTTTTGTTTCGTGCGAATATAGCTTATTATTGATGAAAATTAAGTTTGGCTTTGTGGCGAATTGCCAAAAAAGAAAGAAACATTGTAATGTGGTCTTTTGAATGGTTTGGCGAAGAGAGAAACAACAACAATCGGTTGATCAGGGAACAAAAAACGAAACATTCAACCTTTTATGGCGATGCGCAGATTTTGGAAGAAAGCTTAAAAATAACTATTTTTTATATCTGAAAATAGGATATACAGCGATATCCTATGCATTGTGTGCGTACACCGAGTCGCATATCTCGATCTTACCTACAGTAATATCAACTGAAAATTATTTTATTAATTATATAAAACAATTAACTTTGAATAATATACAAAAATAATTACTATTCCACTTTTTCAACACAAAAAATATATAAACCGTAAATTTGCCAAGAAAAAACAGAAAAATAATATTTTCTTAAATAATTTTCAGTTGAGATTACTGTAGCTAAGATCGAGATGTGCGACTCGGTGTACGCACACAATGCATAGGATATTGCTTTGATATTCGTCATTTTTTTTTGACATTCGTCATTTTTTCACAATATATTGTCGGCGTCAAACGACTGAAGGGAGGCGGAGCCTTCAAATCCGTGAAATCAATGTAGATTTAAACTAATCCTAGACTGAATATTTAGTGCGCGTACGTTATAATGCAATGTACGCAATCTCACTGCCTCGAGACGCATTGGCACATAGCCAATAATTTTGTAAAATTCGTCAAGTCGTTTGTCTTCGACAATAAAAAATAATAAAATAATAAATATTATAAGTTATTGTTGAAAAATGACAAATGTATCCAGGTTTCGTAGGATCCTGCGTTTTGTACGCAATGCTAAGAGACAGTTACCGTAATCCTCGCAGCGATTTACGGAGGACTTTTTTTTTAAATTTCGCATATTCATTTCTTTTATTTTTCGTTCAATTTTTTAATTTTCTTTCGAAATTTTTTAAATTTAAATTTTTAAATTTTGCAGAAACCGAGTTTAATAATTTATTTAGCAGAATAAGCACTTTTAAACGACATTTTTTTGGTAAAACCAGCAGAGATTTAAAAGAAAACATTTTTGTCGTTAATAAAATTATTTATTCGTGTTTTACTTTTTGTACGCGTTTCTATTTCTTTATTTTTGTATTTTTCATTTTCAAAATAATTTTTAGAGCGACAAAATCTTCACAATAATTCCCAACTCATCTGGACAAATGGAAAAGTGCATATTCTGATAAATAAATAATTAAACTCGGTTTGTACAGGTTTTAAATAAAAGATTTCTAAAAAAAAATTAGAAAATGCAGCAAAAAAATTGAAAGAAAATTTAAAAAAAAAAAACTCCGTAAATCGCTGCGAGGATTACGATAACTGTCTCTTAGCATTGCGTACAAAACGCAGGATCCCACGACACTTTGAGACATTTGTCATTTCTCAACAATATAAAATATAAAATAATACAATTTTGAAAAACCATTCAGACATTCGCAATTCTACCCAAATGTCGATGTTGTGTGCTTTGAGAAATCGAATGATATCGGAGGATTGTGGAATTACAAACCATACGAAACTGAGTGTTCGTTTTGAATATTTTTTGAAATTGAAAGAAGATTGATTGATTACAGTATCGTCGGTCATGAAATCCACAGTGATCAACACATCGAAAGAAATGACCGCGTATTCGGATTTTCCGCCCGAAGATGATATGGCGAATTTTATGCATAACACTGAAATGTGCAGGTTTCTCAACAGTCTTTTTAATGCACCGATTCCATATTTGGCATTTTGAAGATATTTGAAAAATTACGCGAAACATCATGGTCTGTTGGAATACATCAAATTTAATCATAGTGTCAACAGCATTCGGCGAGATGAAAACTACGCGCAGAATGGAAAATGGATAGTGAATTATACAAATGAGTACGATTTTGATGGATTTTGACAGAAAAAGAAAATTTAATGAAATTGCAGGAAACGAGAAACAAAGGAAGAGGTTTTCGATGGTATTCTATTGTGTTCGGGACATCATGCGATACCATATATTCCCAAAAAATGGCCGGGACAGGATGAATTCAAAGGAAGAATTATCCATGCCCATAGCTATAAGGATCATAAAGGTGTCTCAAAAAATCTTTAGACATAATATGTATGTATGTACATGTTCGACGTTTTTAGGATACGAAGATAAAATCACAGTTGTTGTTGGAATCGGCAATTCCGGTGGAGATTGTGCTGTTGAATTGAGCAGAATCTCGAAGCAAGTGTATTTGGTGACCAGACGAGGAAGCTGGATATTCAGCAGATTGGCTGCGAGAGGGGAGCCGCTTGATTTGTCCGTCAACACGTAGGTTGCCATTTACGAACTGTTCGCTTGTGTGTGTAATCTGATAAAACAACAATAATAGAAATATTGGAACACAAAATCGAAAAAAAAAATATATATATAAAAATCAATTTTTATAGAAAATTTTCAATGGATTATTTGAAATTCGTTCCATTGCCGATAGTGAATTTCGTTTTGGAACAATCATTGAATGCCAAATTCGATCATGAACGTTATGGTCTGAAACCGAAGCATCCAGTCACCGCGTAAGTTTAATTCGAAATTCACAATTTTGATTCGAATTTCATTCAGGGCTCATCCGACTTTGAATGATGAACTTCCGAACAGAATAGCCAGTGGAACGGTCCGTGTGAAACCGGGTATCCGCGAATTCACCGAGAATGGTATCATATTCGATGATGGAAGTGTTGTGGACCATGTCGACGAAGTGATCCTCGCCACCGGATATTCTTTCAATTTCAATATTGTGGAAGACGGTGATTTGATCAAAGTCAAGGAAAATGACATGGATGCTTATAAGTACATGTTTCCTGTGACGACTTGCGATCACAACACCATCGGAATCATCGGTCTTGTTCAGGTAAGGAAGCAATAGGCATGTGTACTTCCGAATCGGATCATTTTCAGCCAACCGGTTCGATCATGCCTCTGTCGGAAATGCAGGCGCGTGTTTTCTTCGAAGCATTTGTCGGAAATATCGAGTTACCATCGAAGGAAGAGGTTAGTTCTTTTGATTCGAGAATCTTCGGAAACGAACAATTCTAGATGCAAAAAGACATTGATGCGAAGAAGGAAGAGATGAGAAATCGATATGTCGCTAGTCGTCGCCACACGATTCAAGTCAATTATCTAGATTACATCCACGAACTCGGCGAGTTGATCGGAGCAAATCCAAACATGAAGCATTTATGGACGACTGATCCACGATTGGCAATGAAGGTCTATTTCGGACCATGTCTACCATATGCCTTCCGTCTGAATGGTCCGAACCCTTGGGAAGGAGCGAGACAAGCAATCATGGATTCGGAATTCAGAACTATTCGTTCAACGAATCCGAAGCTTCAAAGAAAATCGAGAAACTAATTTTTGTTCTCCTGATTTTACATATCTCAATTTGATATTGATGGCTTTTTTTTAAATCTAAATTTCTATCCAAATCTCAATTGAATTTCGAAAGTCGAGTTTCGACGCAATTTTATTAAAATTGCGGGCCTAATGTAAGCCAATATTATGAAAAAAAAACATGAAAATAAATGTATATATGCTCATTTATTTGTTTGACGATCATTCATTCACTCATTCGACTGTTCGCCGTCACCACGCCGACAATGCTTGTTGTCAGGCTTTCATTCGATAGTGCTCCGATCATTCGAACATGCCCATTAATGGCTTCTTATTACGAATTGCCGAGACGAGCTCATCGCTTTGCCTCACAAGATTTAAAAAATATATTGGGCGCGAACTAATGGAGCCTCTTAAATAAAATGGGCTCATTGGCTATAATTCCTTGTGGACAATCTTCAATTCTCTTTTTTCTCGCGTCAAGACCCTGGAGTGTTTCAAGTTTTATAGATAAATAGTTTGCTGATTACTTTTGAGAAGATTTCCTTTATTGAAAGTGCGCGTTCGTTTCCCGCATATTTTTGATGGCATCTGTCAGAGTCTTTGAAATTTGATACGCACATCTCGAGATTTACATTTATTTTGTCAAAAATTCTTTTTTTTTTGTTCATTTCTCCGCCATCTTCGATTTCATTTTCCCCCCTCTGTCGTCGGGTTTGTTGGGACCAGTTCGGTTGGCGAGTTTTTCGAGTGCAGCGAGCGAGCACAAATGGAATTTGAATAAATTTGAATGTTTTAACCCCGCAAATGGTTTATTTTTTTTGCGGCTCGTTCATTGGCAGAAACAAATTTGATGGAATCCATGCACGTATGCATAATCGAAGGCGCGCAAATTTTCTGATCGAATGCGTTTCGCAAATATTGAAATTACTTTATTTGGGCAAGCGTTCCAAAAAAACTTCCATGTTTTCTTTTTGAAGTCGTTCGACAGTGAACCAAAAAAAAACGATTACACATTGCAAAGTGACAGCTGGCACGTTTGCAACCCGGTCGGATCGCCCAGGAAATTACGAGCTGTACTAGCTTCGTCTAGCTTAAACAAACAATCAAAACCGCTGTGATAACAATTGAATGGGACCATTTGTTTCGACGTCGAGATTGCGCTTTTTTTTCTCGGACCATTGCTCTTTAGATGTGTTCTTATCCGATGATTATCCGCTAAAATGTGTGTTGTGGTGCATGATTGTTTTTTTGCTTCTTTCTCAATTGTTCCGTTTTTTCTCGAATATGGCATGGCGCGAAAAAAAAAACGCCGAAAGTGGGTGTTTTGGGTGTGAGAAGCACGCAAAGCTCCTTCGTTTTTTCCATTTCGTTTTTGACCACAAATACCTGGATTTGCTTCGTTTCACAATTTTCTCTTTTTTTTTCGAACATTCATAAATCAAAAACAGACACTTTCGTCTATAGTTGCGTTGACAAATTTCGTATATTTTAATCGAAAGAAAGCAAAAAAAAATTTTCGAGAAGCTAATCTTTCGCCATCACCTTCTTCTATTCTTCTATTCAAACATAGAAGACCACCCAATAAACAAAACGCACATCCAAACAATTCGGCAGAAATCCCATTTCTGAGGTTTTCGATGAAACTCTGCGGCTTTACCGTAATCCGTCAAAATTGTGCGTTCGGCAAAACAAATATTGCGAATCATTTTTCCACTGAGGAAATCTATTCTGCCAGTTTCTAGAGAAGCATCACTTGTTATAATCAATCTCGTCGGAATCCAATTATTTAAAATATCCGTCAATTAATTTAAATTGCATACCACACCAGAGTTGTAGGAAAATAACTGGTTTCCTTCCGGAAAAGGAACTAAACTATTTTCTTCGGTTTTTTTGCAGGAAAGGCTGTCCCTTCTAGGCATCCCTCGATCCTCCATTATTTTTTTTTCTAGAAAATCACCTTGTCATAATTGTGAGAATCAAAAACCCTCATACGAGCATCAACTCAAAAATACGGTAGTCAGGTCTCGTTTGGAAATGTTTCCGGCATTCTCGAAGTGCGTAAATCTTAATTTTTCGCCGCTTCCGTGCAGAAGAGTAATAAGAAAGCGAACGTCAAGATTGATAGCATCTTCCGTTATACTTGATTGAAAATCTCGCGTGGAACAAAAGAAAAACGAACGAAAAGAAATACCTTATTAGGCAGCCGACCAATTTTTTTCATCTGGTTCTTCTTCCAAAAGTTTCGGTTTCATCAAACAAAATTTCACAGATGTTTTTTTTTTTCTTTGTTTCGTTCGCATTTCTTCTCCTTCTTCATCTTCTTTTGCTCCATTCTCGTTTTCTACTTCATTTTCGCGTCTCATTTCCAATTTCTTTTAAAAATTGCTCTCGTCAGATTGCCGATCACTTTTTTTCCTTCGTTTTCTTCTCGTGCAGTCCAGTTCGTTATTGTTCGGTTTTTCGAAAAGAAAATAGCGTAATGAAGTGTCCATTTGAGAATATTTTAGCACGGGTCTTGAGACGAATCATTTCAGTAGCACTGCCATTCAAATACCATTTCTTTTGAGAAATTATCCATTTGAAAATTGCGGCTTCAGAGGTTTTCTAAATCGAATTTTTTGATATCTGATAACAAAACAAGTTTGATGACAGAAGCTCTCAAATTAGTTTTCCAGTCTTAATTTTTTTTTTAAAGCACATATTTAGGAATACATACTCAGCGATTTTATTTGGGGCGAGTCGCCCTTGGCCTTCCGGGTGAAGTTGGGTGAAGAAGGGTGCAACCATCGACCCAATCCCGTTCCCAATAAATTTGCTGAGGCGAACATTTCGCATTGAAAGAAAACCTAGTAAATGTTGTACACTTGTCAAAAGTAATAATTGTAGAAGAATGACAAAAATGATGCTCACTAAAACCCTCATTTTTCGGGCTCTTTTCATTTTTGAGGCGACAAAAAAAAATAATTTGTTGACTCTTCCCATTGAAATGAGAACTTGTGTGTGTTTTTTAAAAACAGATTCATTTTCGACTTGAACGGCTCGAAACCAAAGAAAATGAGCGATGAATAGAAAACGCGAAAAAAAACAAGAAAGTTTTTGTTAGATAAAACAAAAATAAGACGAAAAACCAATGAAAATTATTGGAAATTAAAAAAAAGTTTCTCATTTTCAATTCTTTTTTTTTGTTCTTTTTAAGGAGTTTGCATAATCGTGTGAATATCGACACTGATTTTTCTTGGCATTTCTCGAAAAACGTGAAAAATTGTTTTTTTTTTGTTAATTCCAGTTAGTTTTGTTTGTATGATCTTTGCAACTTTTACTTCCTGGTTTCGTGAATTTTAAAGGCGCATTATCACAATTCTAAAGAAATTGGATTTTTTTTTTGAGAATTGTGTATAGCGCCAAAGTGTGTGGTTTATTGAGTCAAATATTATGAGAAATTCAAAATATTGGCTTGATATTTCAATACGTAAGAAAGTCTTCTCCTGATCGTGACAAGACCTAATATTGCTTCATCTAAAAATCAATTGAAAAAGAAGGCAAAAATCGTTTGGTTTGTTGTTTTCAAATCTTCATTGCTTCATTTCGCCCTCTCAAAGTACACTTTCCAGATTGAATGGCAAAAATTGTGAACGCATTTAGCTCATCCAATTCTGTTTGTTTGTTTGTTTATTTCTTACGTCATATCTCGAAATTAGGTTTTCAAGTGTGGTCTCGACACGAATATGGTAGTTACTTATTTCAATTTTTATATAATATACATCTGACGTCGGGTGTCAGTTCAAAATTGCACCTGGGGGGTTTTTTTTCATTTTTAGCCTGAAAATCGGTCAAACGACCAGCAAAATACACGTTTTGATTTATGAAATTCACGAGGTTCCGCTCGTCGAAAATAATGCTCCGCCCATTTTTCGAATTATGCATTTCGTGTAGCACACAACACATAGGCATGCACACAGCTACACACAAACGCACGCAACTGGCCAAGTGACCAGTTTATTTCATTTTGTGTGGCAAAGAAGTAAGTTCTTCACTCATTTCTCTTTTTTTTCCTTCGTCGTTTTCTTCATTTTTTTGTGTTGCGTCTTCATCACGTTCTTCTTGATACCTTTTTTTGTCGGTGTGCTGGAAGAACGTGGGACCCCTATTGTGATGGATTTATTTGAGGAGACGAGAGCAATGCCCGTTTCAAAAGACAACCAATTCTGGGATGCGCTAATGGAGAACAAGGTGGCGAAGAAGCTGATAAAGAAGCATAAGAATAAAGTGAAACTCGAGAATGTCGACGAGCTTGCGAAACGCTACGATATTTCGAAAAGCGAAGTCGAAAAGGTACCCGCCATTCGTTTTCTGATTTTCGCGGTTTTTGATCTACAACTAAGTAACCTTCGCGCACATTCGTCTTTACATTAATTAAATGTGAAAGATGCAAAGATTCGTTTGCTCTTGTTGGACCACTATGGAATATGCATTAACAAATGTAGCCAAACTCCCACAAAGGTCTTATTTTGAATCGAGATGCCTATTTTTGGATAATTAGGTGCCGTGTTGTCCCACGGTATAATCCATTTGCGCTAAACGACTCGTGAATTTATTTACCACACAAATTCATTAATTCCGAATTCGCTGCATTTTCCCATAAATTGATTTTTGGAGAAATTCGAGAAATCTCGCATTTCGATTATATCGCAACATTGAAGTTTTCATTCAACTATTTTTTTAGAAATAACTTTCAAGTTTTTTTTTCCGAGTCAAGAAATCGACGGCGTCAAAATCTTCGCAGCTTTATGGGGAAAAAGCATTCAGTTTTTATGAGCTCATAAATTGTTACAGTGGTCCCCAGACGATTAAAACACGCTTATTATTTGTCGTCATGTGGTTCAGTTGGATATTTTCGAATCAGAGCGCGTAGTTTGATCGGCAAACGAACGAACAAAATTTCAAAGCAATTTTTCATTGTGAGCATATGGCCGAGAACGGGCGGGAGCAATTTGAGCCAATACACATGTTTACTACAAAGCGATTCGATTTTTTCGCACTGCTTGCTAGGCACGAATATGTATTTTTAATCATTTTTGAAGTAAAACAATTCATATTGCAGAGTTTTATAGTTATTTTTTTTCGAGATAGTGGACCAACAACATTTTTTGAAAAACAATAACTTTCAGGTTTACACGATCTTTCAATTAATGGATGACGATGGCTCGGGAACAATCTCGTCAACCGAGGTCGCTAAAATGCTCAATGAGCTTGGAATAGACGTCTCGCCAAAAGTGGTTCAGGCAGTGATGAGAAGCAGTGATGTGAGTGGAGATGGACAAATCGATTTTGAGGAATTTCTAGCAGCAATCACCTCGAAGATCAAGGTTTTTATTGAAAAAAATGAACAGATATCCATCATTGATATTTTATAGCTCAACAATTGCAAGGCAGATGTGAAGGTGATGCTCTCGAAATTGGACAGCAATCGAGATAAGATTGTAATTCTTAGAAATAGAATGATATGAAGTAAATAAAAAATTGTTCTTTAGCTATCTGCTGAAGAATTGGTGGTGGCTTGGAGCGAAACCATCTCAACCAACATCACCGTCAAAGAAGCTTGTGCTCTTATTCAACAGGCCGACACGAAGGGAAGAGGCGTCGCGACCATCAATGAGATCATCACAATGTGCCAAACCGTTTAATCAGTCAATCCAATTCCGTAATTTACACGTAATCCCCCCTGAATCACTTTGATATATATTTGGATCTCGAATAATATTCAGCATATTTATTGATTTTCATAATATAGTCGGCGTCCGGCCGTCGACTATTGCACGAGGGGTAGATTTACGCAGTGCGCCTTTCGAAATGGTCTCGCCACGTGTGAACGCTTATTTCGAAGTTTTCACGTGAACTGTTTACTTTTTATTTATGAGTTTGGTGTTTCCTTGAATTTCCGTCGTCATTACGTTTAAAAATTGTCGAATTAGTCCGTACGAGACCAAGAGAAAGACGCATTCCCGTAAATCAACCCGCGTACAGCAGTCGCCGGTCACCGACTATATGAATATATTGGCCAAGACGGACGAATTTGGCAAATTTAATGATCGAACACGTTTACAATTATTTCGTCTTAATTCGTCCATCTTCTGCAATATTTATTATTGTCGGTTTCAAACGAGTCAAAATTGGTGTTATGCGGCGAAGATAATTACGAGAAACTGTGTACTTCACATTTTAGCGAACGCATATTTAATATTTTGCCATCACAGAAAAATTTACTGATTTCGTGAGAGAGAGAGAGAGAGAGAAGCAAGGTTGTTTGAATTGCCACCATAGCCAATTTCACGTGGCAACAAATAGGCTCTTGCGGTGAAGGTCCCGCCCCGATCAGTCGTTCGAAATCGACAGTAATGATTTCAATTATTCATGAAATGTCAAAGTAATAATAAAAAATAATCCGCAGAAAAAACTTTTATTAACAACTTTCATTAAAACTATAAGAGTGAAACAAATATGCAACAAAAGAAGGACTCTCGTGAAAGGTGGACATGATAAATGGTACATAACGCAGAAAATAAACAAGAAATTTAATCAAAATGATAAATTTTAGGCTTTTCTTTGGCTTTTCGAGATGGGGTAATTCGACGGATTGGAGTTGGTGGGTACACGACTGCTTCTGAAAAAAAAAGAAACAAGATCTATAGAAAAAATACGAGACAAACTATTGTTTTTTGGAGTTACAGGCTCAACAATAACCTGCGCTTTTCGTTGTCGTTTCGGCTTCGTAACATTTTCACTAAAAGTATTTAAAAACACTTAATAAAAATATTACTTATTTATTTATAGTTAAAGTCGACGTCGCCGCGACTGCGAAAAATTGGCTAAATGTCAAAAAATTCTCGATCTCGATGCGGAGTGCGCGTCTTTAACAAATTACACACACAGACGTAAATCTTCACCTCTAGTTTTGCGCAAAGACCACTGTTATTGTTTTTACTTGGCATTTAACCAACTTTCCGCAGTCACACGACACCGGCAATAAATTAATATAAAACATACAATGATTTCGTTGAAACTTCGCTTTTCAATTCTTGATTTTCCAATTTGTGCTTCTTGTTTTGAGATCGAGATCTTAATTAGGTTATTGAGAAATTTTTTAGTTTAACGAATCATACTTTTTTGGAATTATCTTCGTTGGGTCATTCGAATTTTTCTTGATAACCTTAAAAAACAAAATAGTAAAACTAAAAATAAAACCTTTTTCCTACAGTGGGACTTTTAAAAATTTCATTTGGTGCCTGAAATAAACTGAAAATGCTTGAATTATTATAAAACTGATTACCTGATCCTCCTGAAGTATTTTATTATTTTTGAATATAAAGTTTGACTCTTCTGAATCAGATTTTGTTAGCGGTGTATGGATAGAATCCAAATCAATATCTCCAGTTATGGTGCTGTTGAAAATGACAGTAGTATCATTGAATGATGTGAAAAACAATGGAAAATCACGATCAGAACTTTGGGGATTTTCAACTTCTTCGTTTAGTTCCTCATCACCGCATTGAGTTTCAAGTTGAATAATTTCGTCAAGAAGGTGCTCTTCAGAACTTCGCTGGTCGACAACATCCGAGTGTATTGGGCGAAAAGCTCGAACGTTATCGAAGTCGATACTGAAACAAACAATGTTTTGAATTATGATTTTACTGAAACTGGTTGTTTTCAAAAATACCCAAAAAATGGATCCTCGTTCGCATCTGGGCTGAGCATCTCTGTTTCGCATCTTTCTAATGAAGATCGTTGCTCATAGTTAAATATTTTCTTTGTATCTTTATCAGACTCTGGCGGAGAACTGTCAATTTCGGCGACGGGCAACGTTTTCGACGGCTAAAGTAGTGAATAAAAAATTATTCCTATCTTTCAAATTTACAGCTTTGAACTGTGGCGTGAAAAATTCATCACATCCCTCGTCGGTCTGAACTTCTTCCTGTTTTAAAAATTAAAAATTCAATATTTTTTTTTAACAAACAGTAATTTCCACAGAATTCTCATCATCGGGTACTGTTCCAAAAAGCCACCAAGGTATAGAAAGCATGATATGACTGAAAAATTACAAATTACAGTCATAAAAAATAACGAGAGAAAATGAAACAGTAATTGTCCATTTTGCAATAATTATTTAGAGTTACAGTATTCCTTTCTTTTCGAGACGAATTCATTTTTCCTGAAATGTTCCTTAAATTTTTTTTCTGTATTAGAGAAACGATTTTATTTTCAAAATTTATGAAAAATTTTCTTGTGAGATTTTACATAAATTGAAATATAAAAACATCATTATAATAACTTTAAAACAAAAATAGGAATTTTATTTAAAAATAAACATTGATTCAAATTCAAATAGTGTGTCATTTTTATTTTTAATTTTTAAATTTTTTTTGACAGTTCTCTTGATTTCTCTTATTTCTTCCGTTTCAACTACTGAAAAGAATTTCAAATATTGCGTTAAGTGTGCTCTAGCGCACAACTTGTATTTTTTTAAACCAACATTTTTTAAACAAATTTTAGGAAAACTATATTTCTGTATCCCAATTTTTCGGTTTCATTCATATTTCTAATTTCCTATTTCATAATATGTGCCGTGTGTTATATCATTCCTGATATGTCTATCATTCCTGTCAGCGATAATGGCAATTATCAAAAGATGAGCAATATTTCGATTTCAGAGCAAATAATGAACATGAACTAAAAATGAATTTAAGCAAATTAGGAGCTTACGAACTCTCTGTGATAGATGTGGCGATTGTTAGCCTCGCATGTATTGCTCTCTACAAATACTTTGCGAAGTATCTTCGGCCGAAAGTTGAAGTTCCAAAACGGATTGAAGTAAGATTGTAATATATTTGTTTCGAAACATTGTTTATCAATTTTTCAGTTTGAACCTCTAAAAATGCAAGATTTTACATTAGATCAGTTCCGAGATTTTCAAAGGAACAACGAAGATCGTTTTTTAGTTGGAATTAACAGAAAGGTAAAAATATTCTTACAATATTCTTAGTAATATTCTATTATATGTATTCGTAGGATTAACTTTTCGCACCTTTTTTAATGTTTACTATAAATGTAGTTGCAGATCTTCGATTTGTCATCTTCTCAAATAATGTACCGCCCTTATCAATGTTTGTTTGACTCTTATATTCAAAATGTATCTTTTTTTTTATTTTTCAAAATGAATCATTTTTTATTCAATGTTTCAATAAAAAATAAAAGTTCCATTCTTTTTCAGAATTACCCTGAATCAAAGGAATGGGAGTCACTTTTTGCTCGAAAATTTCCTTTCGTTGGAAATTTGATAAGCGATAAAGAGGAAAAAACTGATTACAATGATCGTCTGGCATCATTAAATTCTTTACTTTAGTTTATTTAATGAAAGATTTTTACTGCTATTATTGTTTATCACTTGGTGTTTATAGTTCTAAGACTATCTTATACTTTCAAATACGTCTCATTTTCTTAAGAAAATTATTTACTCCAGATATGGCTCTTCTCTATCCATTCCATCTTCCGAATCTGCCACTCAACTGGGCTGAACATATGTGGCTTCCGGAGATTTCTCCAACCAATGAATCGTTCATCACTACTGTTTTCGACCATAGAGAGACAGCGACGGTAAGATTCTTACAAGGAAGGTCTTTTTTTCTGTCCATCTTAAATTTTTTTTTCTTTTTTTTTGTTTGCAAAATTCAAGAGGGAGGGATTAAAATTTGAAGATCCATATATCGATAACTAGAAGTTTTCACAATTAGTTCATTCGATTGAAAATTTTTTTAAGAATCTGTATGCAAAAATAAAAAATTTCAAGACGGACAGCAAAAAGACTTCCCTTATTAGCACATATTAAAATAGTTCGCATTTTTAGACGAATGCAGAATTATTAAGACATTTATCTGACAATGTCGCTAGAATTGCACATGATGAGCCAGAATACGAGATTCAAACTTCGACAAGAATCCGAGAATCGTCGTGAATCGATTATTATTTTTGTATTTGAAATAAATTATTTCGTCACAGAAATTGTTTTATTCTCAGTTTTAATAGTGAACTGTCCCAATCGGTTACACATATCATATAAAAAATGTTTCGCTCAATTTCTGTTTTATTTTAGACCGTATTCGGGTATCATCTCGAATTTTTCCATTATGAAAAAATCTACGGGGGAAGAACGTGCGAGAAAAGAAGATGGCACGAGCAATGCTGGTCAAAACGGGAAAAAGAAGAATATACAGAACGGCGGCGCCGATTCGAACGGAAGATATCCGCCAAAAAGTATGTAAATTCAAAAAATTTTCATGAATTTCGAATATCAATGTTTTGTGCTACTTTATTTCGTTCATTGACCAAATTGCCAGACAGATTTTAAAAATTTTTGTCTTATTTCATCTGTTTCCTTCGTCTGTTTCATAGTACAATTGCGGTTTATTTCTGACATCAATTTAATGGACACAGAACGAAAAATTTGCACGAGATTTGATGAATACCTTTATTTGCATCGGCTTGTAGTGGAACCGAACTCTCGGTTAGAAATGAACTGAGATTCGCGATTTATTCCTGCTTTATAAATAAAACACCAATTTCACATCTACCAATGAATGAAAGGACGACAAGCTTTTTATTGGGCTCAAATATTGTGAATGTTCGTTTTAGACGGAAAGAAACGCAAAAATGATCCCGTTGAAGTAGTTGAGGTTCCTATAGGAGAACCAAAGTCGAACGGGAAGAAAGTGGAAGTTAAAAAGAATGTTAACAAGAAGAAAAACGAGAAGGTTAGCGGAAAACCAACAAATTCGGCAAATCCGTCGCAACAACAGAAACCCGCAAATAAATCTGGTATGGTTAATGTGTCCGTCCATTGATCCTTAAATGCTTCGAGTTTCGAGTATTATGATTTCTGTAATTCTTACCTCTTTCAATTTCAGTTTGAATAATATTTTTAACAGATTATTTTCTTTTTAGCTTATTCACATAATCGGTCAAAAGAAGGGAAGAAGCCAACGGATAATGAGTATACAAATGGAGTACGGAATCAGTCGAATTACCAGGAATCGAATTCCTCAATGATGAACGTGTCGCAGCATGTTCAAGAAAAAATGGCAGTTGCCGCCGAACAACAGAGAACAACTTATTACTTTTCGAAAAATAAGGGAGTTGCGGTATCTCCGGAAGAATTCAAAAATAACATTCAACACACGTTCAGTGCGTTTCCTGTTGATCAGAACGAACAGATTCTTATTGCTTCCAAATACAGTGTATGTTTCTTTTACCTATTTTCGTTTCGGTCAAGTTCTGTTTTCTTTTTTTTGCAGCTTATGATATCAACGGCAAGCACGAAATGCAAAGCGTTGTTCATTCGAGTGAAATCACAAGATCATTCGAATAATCTTGTCGTAAATGCATTGATTTCAATCCAATCGACACGAGAAGAGATTTTCAAGGCATGTCAAGAATGCATCAGAACTTTTGATCAATATCCAAGTAATTTTACATTTAATTTCAATTTTTCCTTGAATTTTGATTTTTAGATACACGGAAAAGTGCGCGGATACCATTTAGCATAATTTCTGAAAAATATCTAAACAGTGTTTATATCAGCCGACTTAACGAGCCTTCTGATAATTTCCCGGAAGCGATTTACTATTGCAATCGCTGCGATTTCCATATTAATTCCATTAATCATGCCAAGGATCATTTGGAAAAAAGCTCACATTTTGACGATATCGAGGCATTTTGTTTATTGTTTAATTATTTCTCAATGATTTCTGGTTTAGCGTCAACAATTACGTGATGAATTGTTCGAATGCATTCCGAAGCCGACAGCAGCTCATTTGAAAGCGATTGGAATCTTATTGAATTTTCAACACGAGAAAGTGCGCCAAAATCCGTGTATCACATCCTCTTTTGTTGATGATGTCGTGAATTTCATTCAATATGAGCTTTTCAACGAGCTCAGCTTAAAAGTCGAATTGAAGCCATTCGGATCAACTATTTATAACGCAGATATCAATGATAGCGATCTGAATCTGGCATTTTCGGTGAAAAATTTTGCGAATGAGAAATTGTTCGAGTTACTGAACAACGTCGTTCACTTTCTGCAAAATTCAAGTAGGGTTTTATTGTAAAAATGAATTCAAATAATTGATAATGTAGAAAAAATGGTTGCTTCTATCGAATCTGACGGTTTGAATTCGTCGAGAATTGTGTTCAAATACAAGAATGTCGATGTTCGATTGTATTCGTTGACATCTTCGCGATCGCAGATTCTTCTCTCGGAACTTATGAAGACATACACATCATTGCGCCCGGAAGTCGCCGTGTTTTTAAAATTAGTCCGATTGTGGGCTAAGGTTTCATTTTTGGTTTTAAAAATCCATTAATCGTTTTGTATTCAGATGGCAAATATTGACTCAAAGAATAAGTACAAGAGTGGCCTTCCGCGCTACGGATTCGACCTGATGGCAATTCATTTCCTTCAACAATCAGAAATGCTCCCTGTCTTACATGAAGTATGCAGAAATTGTGCAATTTAAACAAATTGATCAGATTTTTTAGATGGTTGAAGAGAATGAGAAGGAAGTACCGAATGAAGAAAATCAGTCAAGAGGTGTTTATTCTGTTCCCGAAGAAGCTCGTGAGAGGCGAATTCGAATAATGTCGAATTATCTCAAAGATCGCAAAAAAATTGTGAGAAACCAATGATTTCAGTTAAAAAAGACGCTATGTTCTAGGCTGAACGGTTTGATATGAAGAAAGAATGGAATTTGCCCCAACTATGGATTGATTTCTTTAAATATTACGCTGAAAATAATCGCGACGTCGTCGTTCAAATAACGCAAAAAAATCGAATGTCAAAGGATGCAACAAAGTGGAACAGAAAGATCTTACACGTTGTAGGTAAGCACTCGTAAATCCATTTTCGGTGGTTCTAAACCATTTCACTATTCAATGAGCAAAGTGCAATTAGAGGAAACAACTTTATCATTTTCAGATCCATTCCGAAGTGATAACGTTTTGTCGGTTACCAAATCGTCAGCGTTTCTTCCTTATTTCTTCAACTGCATTTTGACGGCATTCCTTCACTTCGGTTTGCCTCGAACCAGGAGAGGACCAATTGTGAGGGTCGAACTTTATCAAAAGGTTTTTTTTTTCATTTTATTGCTTGATATTTTAAACCACGAAAAATTCTTTAGAAACAAAGCTCGCCGGCCAAAAAGGGGTCGAGGGCAACTGTGGCTGTCGCCAAGAAAGCAGTAAACGAGAAAAAAGAGGAAGATGAGGAGATTGAAATGGTAAGCTTTACTAATTTAAATTGAAATTAAACAATGAAACTAGTTAAACAGAGGATTAATTCAACAGTTTTTAGAATAAAACCTATAATGAGGTGGTCGATGAAGTTGCAGAAGAAAATGAAGGCGACGATTATGCCTCGATTTTGACAAGTTTTTTAAAATTCGACGGAATCATTCTAAAGGATTTGATACATAATGATGTTGAAATCGACGATAGCATCAATCAATTGTATAGTCGACGAACGTTGTTACGCCTCCATAGAAAATTTCCGATTAATTTGCCAGTTTTTGTGAGAAATAATCCAAAATTCTGATAGATTGATTCATTTTTTGTTACAGGACCAACAAAAGTTGGATCTTTTTGGATTAGCGGTGAACAACAGACTGAAAGTTGCTGAAAACTCGCATCTTAAGCGAATTAGGAGCTGTAAATTGATCAAACGATGTAAAAAAGAAATTGAAAGCGAAAAACATGAATTCAACGAGGTAAAAATCATACAGTTTGCTTAGAAAGTCCAACCCGCGATCAGTTTTTTGGATTATTTCAGAAACTTTTTGAATTTATTTCGAAATAAAAAATTTATCAAAAATCTATCATCGGAAATGGATTAGGCGTATGAAACAACTCCGTCACCAAATTGTTGGTGATGTACCAATCCCTGCATGAGAATGAAAAGTCTTAAAAACGGCGGTAAAAACGTTTAAGTCATTCATTAAAAAAAAATTCGTTAATACTTTTATAATATGTACGTTAATATTGTCAAAGTCGCGCGACTACGGAAAATTAGCTAAATGCCTAAAAGTGTAGATTTACGAGACATAAGGATTGGTTACCTGTTTTATAAGGATTGGTTACATGTTTTGGCGTTTAGCCAATTTTTCAAAAAAAAAAAAACAAAAATTTGGTTTCGGGGGGTTTTTCATACGACTGATCGATTGGGTTCAACTTTTTTTTAGCGAAATGCATATTCTGTTTTGTTTAAAAACTTTTTTGGCTTTTTCTCTAAAAATGTATATAAAACTAACGCTTCCAGTTGAGTATAAAAATTATAAAATAATAGTAAATTTGAAATTTGAGTTTTTTTTAAGGAATCCAGTTTGATGTATTGGAGTCGTCTGAGCCCTGTGAGAGAATTGGTTCCAGATTGTGTATGATAAGCGTTTATTAATTTTTTTAATGTTTGGATTTAGCTGCCATCTAGTACGGCAACACCAAAAGATGATCTGACTCTTGAATTACGTAAAATGCAAATTCGGGATGAGGAGGAGGACGAGTTGGCAATGCCATCCTCATCAAAATCCGTATCGAGAATTTGTGAACATATCAGACCTCAGGTATATTGTATACAACATGTGCAACTCTAAAAATGCATTAAAATGTTTAGGCAGCAGTTGATGAACCGACTGATTTGATAAATTCGGTCACTAATATCGATGAAAAAATTTGCCAAGAAGAATTCTACATTCGACAAAGCATAAAAAAAGAAAAAATTATAAGGAAAGCTGAATTGCTGACCGAAAGTGATTATTGCTTTAAATTTGACTCGGATGCCTTCACCTTGGGATATGTAAGAGACACTTTCGATTTTTCGATTTTTTTTGAGGATTTTCGAGAATATTATGAGATTTTTATTATTTCAGAAATTATTTTTGGTAACCTTATGTTTTTTTTTTAAATTTGAAATCTCTATTATGAATTATTGTCCGAAAAATATGCGCAGACAACCGATTGGTTTAAAATTAATTCTATGTAGAGATACTCAAATCAATTCTAGGATTATGTCGCCAAGATTGAACAAGATCCGTTTATATTGACCAATGCAAAATTGTAGAGCTCGAAAAGCCTCAAAAGTCTTTCACACAGAACTGATTTTAACTTAAAGGAAGTCCTAATGAAATGCTCATCGTGCGATGGAAGCCATTGTGTTGACGACTGCCCAGCGCTGAAAATGCCGCCTATTGAAAATTATACGAAAAAACGAACACCGGAGGAGCTCAAAGAGTTCGACGACATCATTGAGAACTATTATAGTAGGAAATTTATTGATTTTGCATTTTTATCATTTGCAATTTTTAGAGAAAAATATTATTGATAAAAAGAGGCTTAATTTGCTTCAAAGCAAAGTTTCGGCTTTAAAAGATTTTCTAAGCGAGAAGTTCAAAAGGAATATTTTTCTTACGGTATGAAAAATATTAGTGTTTGGGGGAATATTCTGAATATTTCAGATTTTCGGTTCTGTAATGACTGGAATGGGCGTTAACAATTCAGATGTAGATTTGTGTTTCCGATTTGACGATGAATTAGAACCACCAAAGGTATCTTCATATGCTCCGCTCACTTACAGTTTGTTTTTCTCGTATTCGGTGTTTAGCTGAAAATTCCCAATATTTTAAGTGATGAATTGCTATAATTCAATACATATTAAATATGTTATGTTTTTTTCTAGAACGAGGACGCAATATCTGTGATAAAAAATATTCAAATATTTTTGAAACAATGCAGTTATGCACGAAACGTGCAGGCAATTTTGACTGCCAAAGTTCCGATTGTCAAATTCGTCCTTCAATTGAACGCCTCTATTTTTGTCGATGCTGAGTATGTTTTTATCACTTTGATTTGAACAGCAATCACCAACATTTTCAGTATCAGTTACTACAATATTCTAGCACTATACAATACGAGTCTATTGAAGCAATATACGTTGTGGACCCCAGGGCAGAAATTCGCGAAACTCGCGCTTTTCATCAAACGAGTATTATCATGCGTTTCTCGGTTTTTAATTCATTTTCTTGATTATAGTGGGCTAAAATGTGTGATATTGGAGATGCGTCGAAAGGTTCGATATCTTCGTACGCTTATATTTTGCTTTTGATTTCCTATCTACAACAGTGCGATCCGCCTGTTTTGCCGCGTCTTCAAGAAGATTTTCGTGACGAGACGACTCCGAAGAGAATTGTTGAGAGTTGGGACACATACTTCTACGAATCGGACGAGCAGACTGTCAAATCTTGGGCTAAGAATAAACAGTCGGTATCTGAACTTCTCATTGGATTCTTCGATTATTACTCAAAGTTTGATTATCGAAATTTGGTAAATGAAAAACAAGTGTGTGTTTTTTTTAAATTAAATTTTTTGGAATTCAGGTAATACAATGTCGACGAGAAATGAATTTGTCGAAACTGGAAAAAGATTGGAACAACAAATCATTATGTATTGAGGATCCGTTTGATTTGCACCACAATCTTGGATCTGGTGTTACCAAAAAAAGTAACCATTTTCAATTGCAATTTGATTGAAAATCCAATTCGTCACAATTTTTTATAATTTCTATATAATCAAATTGCAGTGTTCGCTTTCATTCACAAGACATTCATTTGCTCACGACAAGTGTTCATGACATCTCAAATTCGAGATCAAATCCCAAAAGACCAACAATTTCTGGAAAATTACACGGTATTCTCGCAATATTCCCTAAAGATCAGAAAAAAGAAGTAAATTTCGATGAAGAAAAACAAAGAAGGTTTTTTCTACATTGAAATGTTCTCTACTTTTCTCTCTCAGGGAAATCAAATAAAATATTTTGAGAATCAAATATTCATTAATAAATTCTAAAATATTTTGAGAAAATCTAAAGTTTAATGATACTTTCTAAAACTTTTTGAGAATCGCTAAACTTAAAAATATTTTTTTAAATTTATTGAGCAAATTCTAAACTATCTCACTAAATTCTAAAATCTTTTAATAATTTCTAAAGTTGACTGAGAGAAATCTGAAATATTATAAGGACACGTTAGTTTCTCAAAGAATCTCAAAATATTTTATTCGATTTACCTGAGTCTATTTTAATTTTCTCTGCATTGCCTTATTATGAATATGATTTGTTGTGTATGATAGACATGCTTGTTGAAACATTGCTGTCAAGGAAGCGCGCCGACGGATCGCCAATGTCACAGATGCGGCAAAATAGGACATTACGCTGAGAGTTGTTCAAAAAGGTGGAATGATTAAAAATATATCCTAATATTTGCGTTTTAGAAAAACCGATGAAAGAAGAACGAGCCGCTTCTCAACATCGTCAACAACTACATCGACGGCTGAAGGCCATAACGAATCGGATGTTGGGGGGCCAAAATCAATCCAATTCTATAAAAGAGTGAGTCTTGAATTGATTGAAATCTATTCGCATTGCATATGAATTCCAACAATTAGTGGCCTAATATTGTTATCGCAAAAAATCGGAAACTTGAGTAATTGTGGACCATCGTGTATGTTCTGGGTGGTAATGCGTGTACATAATTACGGATAACCGTGAATTAAACTCACGGTAAATCTACGCATGGTGCTCGTTTTTTTTTTTTTGCGACTGTAATATTATTCATAATAAAACAACATTATTTGCTTTCTTTCGCTGGATTCTTTCTATCTGAAAATAGATATTAAATGCGCGTACGCTAAAATGCAGAGTACATTGCCTTCTTTGCATCGAGAAACCGAAACACATAGACAATTTTTTTTTTATTTCGATCAATTGGTTGTTTATAACGCGATGATTATCTCCCAGACAGGAATTCACTAATTTGGTTTTGCATATACATTTTTTGCCTATTTATTTCAGTCTCAAAAATTTTCATCAATAAGGACGAAATTACATCCACAATAGCGTATTGTATTTGCCAATCCGTATATGATACTATGTATAGTAAATCTAAGTGCATATTGTGCCAAATCTTCATTTTTTGCATACTGTTGAAATCGAAAAAAATTAGACAAACCACCCATCCTCTACATATATCAAAACGACAGGCGACAGTTTTTGCGCTGAAGTTTCCACGTAATTCGAAAGTGGGCAGTTGACGACACAGTCCATGGCAATCGGCGATAGATATTGGGCGTACGCGAGGTTTCTCTTGCAGACTGGTGTGTGCGTGTGTGTATATGAAACAATGAAAACGAAGCGCGGCGAAGGGAGACCGAGAGAGATCAAGCAAGTCTTGCGAGAGCAGTTGTCCCTTGCGTCTCTTCTTCTCTCCTCCCGTGCCGTTCTGTTTTCACATCCCATACAGAACTTTTTCGTCGCCCTCGCACTTCCCAGCACTTTTGGGTCTAAAAATCCATGAGAAACTCAGAATTTTGCGCAACTATAAAATGAATGCGACCAAGTTCTCAGCAAAAAAAACCACATCGAAATTGAGTGTCCCGGACAATTTCTGACCAGTGCTCCGCCGGTTTCGTCCCGACGGGGTAAACACAACTGAGAAAAATGAAAAAATGAGTGAGAGAGTTTGTGTTATCACGGTTTTCGCGATCTTTCTTTTTTGATCATAGACATACTACAATTCATTCTGGCGGTGGACATTCAATTCTAATTTTAAAAACATTCAATACCATTTATTTTTCTTTTTTGGGGTTCATTCCCAGGGAAATTTGTCTCTGAGGTAATGTAATTTCTAATCTGCAAAAAATATTAAATTTTGAAATTCAAGAAGTTGATCGTCGTGGTTTTGTAATTTCAATTTTTCACTTTTTCATCCTACAGTATTTTTTTGTAAAATTTTAGGTTTGGCGCATTTTTGTGTGTGTGATTGATTCACTGTAAGAAAAATGTCGAATTTTCTTATATTAATCACATGTAACTAATCGTATGGATGTTTCCCTTCATGGAATCCAATTTTCTTTCATTATATCCCATTCCCATACTGGATACCACCACTTTCTCCATTTGCCATTATGTTATTCTCTGTCGTTCGTAACATTCGCGATTCTTACTGGAAATGATCTAGTTCTTTTCTATAAAAAATTTATAGTCGGCGTCCGGTGACTGCTGTACACGGGTAGATTTACGCGCATGCGCCTTGAAAAGGTCTCGGTCCATAAAATTTGAAATAACCTGTTAGTCCGTGCGAGACCAAGAGAAAGACGCATCCCCGTAAATCTACCCTCGTACAGAAGTCGCCGGACGCCGACTATATATTCTCGCTTTTCTAGGTATTTGTGTGATACATACATATATACAAAAATTACATTTGAAACACAATATTTTGTTCATGAAATCTTCGATTCTCATAATAAACAACGACATTTTAAGACCATTATTGAGCGGAAAATTCCTTTTCAATTTTTTTGGAAACAAAATTGCATTTTATTTGGAATTGCTCGTAATTGGTTTAATAGTTTGTTTATCAAATCACTTTCTAAGTATTGTGATATATTTGAATTCCTATTATCGATAATAACTATGCTATGGAAGTCTATAATTACGTCCCGCGCAATTTAGTCACATTATCCTCGAATTTATTAAAGCGAATTCAACTTATCCGCCGGTTTTTAAGTGCTACGTTTATCGATTTTAAATAGAAATTTCAAATGTTCAATTAAATACGCATAAAAACTATCATTTCCATTCTTTCAATATAATTATTTGTATATTCGGTTTTTGTGCAAATATTGAGCTTATATTATTACGCGTAAAAAAATTTAAACAAAAAAAAGTGAATACCGTTTTTTTGCTGATATTTATCCTATCATTTTCGCCTTGTTTTTTTACTTGTTCGCGATATTAGATAATCGAATGTTATTTGATGTTGTCCTGCTTTTGTTGGATAAACGCTTAAAGCGTGACCATATTATTAAAACGAAAGTATAACACGTTTGTTAAACTATTTTCGTTGCAGACACTGAAAAACCGAACGAACTACGCGTGAAGAGGAGCGGCCACTTCGATTTCGTCGACCTGTCATCATTCACATCTGTTATTCATTCGCTGTCTTTTTTTCTGTTGCATTTCAATTTTTCAATTTTAACACTTCACAAACACACAGACACGAACATTGTTCATCGTGATTTTTAGCGGCTTTCTCATATTTTTTGGTACCGTGCTGCCATAATGTCTAACAGTTTTGCCTCTCCTGCATTTGCAGCCTACCTCGGACCCGCGGGTCAATGGCAGATGTTGACGCGGTGGTGTTTTCGAGAATGGCACATCCCAGTTGCATGGTTAACGTGTGCAACATATGCGATGAGCCTCCACAACTTGGTTGATTCACAAAATGTGCTTGGAGAGTTTTCATCGAAAATCTGCGCTCGAATATTTCTCGCTTTAAAAACAGTTAATCCAATTTTTCGTTTTCCTCTTCTTTTCTTCTTCTCTCGTTTTTCTTGTTGTATATGGAATACGGTCCATTTATTCTTTATTCGAATCGCAATTTTTATATCAAAATTCTTGAATTTAGGCGAAAAATAAAAGGAATTATTCGATATTTTCTTTCTCACGCCCCATTCGTGTTGTTCGCACTATTGCAAATTTATTGATACGAAACTTTCAGCAAACTGAAACTTTTTTTCTGTTTGACTACTTTTTTTTTCTTTTTCTTGTTTTTTTTCACACTTCCACAGTGCGAGCATCGCGTATTGTTGTTGGTCTTGTTGTTCGTAATAACCGCCGTGTTCGGTTTTTAATGTCTTTTTATATTTCTAACCATTGTCTTACATATTCTTCTCTTTCAAGTTTCTTTTTTACGAAAATGCAAATGAAAATAGGCCCGTGATAATTAAAATTTTATATTTTTTGATCTCCATTATGGAATTGCTGATACTGAATGAGCACAAATTCAAGCCTGTATCATGTTCCAATCAGTTTTTTTACACTATATCGGGCCATTTAGTGCATGGTAATAATAATGGTTCTTTTGCTGTCTGCGTACAGAATTTGCGCGAAATAGTGGCGTATGGGTCAAAGTTTGCGCGAAGTTTGGTGAGACATTGAACGCGCAAATGATGTGCCACATTTGCGCGAATTCTGTTTCGCCAAACATTTTGCCCAAGTGATTTTTTTTCGACTTCTGCTGATCAGAAATATATTATAAAACTGTTTTTTGTGTTCTTATTACAAATTAATTTCTCTTAATTCATTTCGAAATGAGCTGATTCGAAAGATTGCATATCTGGATTATCATGGATGATAATCAAGTATAAGTAATAAAAATGGCCCTTCTAAATATCCCTTTTGAGTATTTTCAGGATTTTTGAACATTTGTATTATCAGAAAGAGCGTTTTCGAAAAATCTCCCATTTTTTGTGAACTAATGTTGAAAAACATATGTTTCTGTCCGTTTTTTACTCATATTCGTAGTGTTCGAATATCGAGGTTTAAGAAAGTGAAATCGAATATTCACTTGACAAATTTTTTCACGAATCTATGTTTTTCACTATTTTCAATTTCCTTAATATTCATTTCAAAACGATCACGGCCTTCTTCTGAAAAATGCCAAACAAAATGATATTTATAATACTATTTGATTTATAAAATAGTTCGGAACAAAAAAGTGGCTGCAGAAGACAGGCGCCGCAGAGACTCACGATTTTTTGTGAAATGAGATTGTTTTGTGGGCGGCTTTTAATGTCTCATCCAAATTTGCTTTTTTTTTAGTTTTCAACATTGAAAAGTGATTTATCATTATCAGTGTACAGTAAAGTTTATTTAGTAAGAATAAAAATTTCCTCCATCGTAACTTTTTTTCGAAACCGCCGAACTATTGTAAATTTTTATTTATGTTATTTTAAACGTTCGCGAGAACCAATTTATCTTAGTGAAATATGCTCAATTCGTACCAAAAGGTCGACTTCTATTCAAATATTTATTGTTTCGAGAATGTCTTCGCCGAGACATTAATTTATGTCCTCAAAAGGGCAGCTCCCAATTTTTGATCCCTTTTCAGAAAATGTGAGTCGAGAAAACTCCAACAATTACCATTTTTCTTTTCGTAAATTTGTGTAGTGTGAGTATGAGAACATGACAATTGCATGCTCGCCTTTCGTCACTTTTTGTAATGTCTAAAAACTAAAGTTTTCGAACATTGAGCAGGTGTAATAAAAACACGAAATATTTGAGAAGAAGAAGAGAGGAGGGAGTGTAATCTTGATATATTTTCAAATTAGATATGCAAAATAGTACGAATTCGCCGTCTCGTTTTGGTGTTTTCAGTGCCGGGGTGGGCTGTTGTTTACTAGATGACTGACACGTCGGTGACAACAATACTTGCTGCTCCGAACCCTTGCTCCACTATTAATGTTGTTGTTCGTGGATGGGCCTTTTCGAACGACCAAAAGCGGGCTGTCCGAATATTAATCGACGAGTTTTGCGAATGTCTAGACTTCAATGAAACTTGACTGGCTCGCATTCCGTTTCATCCGTGGTAATATAATTGTTTCACCTGCTGGCCGATTCGCTGAAATTCCTTTCGTGTCCGATTAAAAATCTCAAACGAAAGCAGTAAACAAAGTTTTTTTGAAAAACATTTCGGCAGCAGCATTAGTATTATTCGAGTTCCTGATAATTTCTGATTGCTCGCATTTTGAATTCCGTTTTGTTTACTGCGAAAATTGGTGTGTTTGCAAATTGGTTTGATCTTCCTCTTTTGCCCTACATGTGCATCGATCGCGTTTCAATATACAATGATAAGGAAAACGCAAAACATGCTTTTTTGACGTTTCGGAATTACTGATAAATCGCATATTTCGGCTCCGCAATTTCCCGCTGCTTTATGCGTTTTTACGAACACGTTGCCCTTGATAACACCAAAAAGTGACCATAAAAAGAAGACGAATTACACGCATCGGTTTTCGTTGTGCGTTTTCCTTCCTCATCGATATATGTCGATCTGTATTATTGTTCAGAAATCCGCGCACTTCGATTTTGCTAATTAAAATGAAAGCCACACATTCGTACATAGCTTTCCCATGAATTCATAATGTTCTCATTAATTCTTGGGCCTTGTTTTCTCGGCGGGAAACTCGAAAACATTTTTCATATGAGCACTTTTTGTTGTTTGGCGATTCAATGTGTTGTTGTTCGCATTATTTTTCTTCTTCCAAGGATTCCTTCAATTATTAATGACAGACAGCGAAACAACTACGAGATTCCTCGACCAACATTTTATATAAGAAAACAAGTGCCCAATTTTAATTAAATTGCGTAATTTCTTTCGTGCGATTGAGACAATTAAAACAATGGTGTTACTAGACGTGACCAAATTCAATTTCGGTGCGTATTTTCAACTTGATTAATTTAGTGATTCGAAGTCAATACAGATTGAGAGATGATGAATTTCTTATGGCCATGTTTATTTATTGTCTTCTCAGTTTTGTGCCAATAACAGATGTAGAATTGAATGAAGCTTTTTTTTATTTCTCATATGAAAAGGTCGATTCAAGAACTATTGCCTCTTGTTTGTTTGTTTTCCATTTTTAGACAAAAAAAAACAGATTTGTTGATTTCCATGACAAAACCAATGTGTATGTTTCTTCGTCACCGTTTTCGACACTCGCGAAGTGCGAGAAAATCACAAATTTTTTTCGCAATTGCTTTAAAACGTGTCAAACACTTTTTTGACGTGCCACATGGTAATCATATTTTTCTCTGGCGCCATCGTCGCATTTTCTTTCCATCGGCCGTTTATGTTGTTCGTTATTGTGTGTGGGATGGCGTCGCCATCAGCCAGTGCTGCTCTATAATACAATGTTTTCTTTATTTTTCAACGCCTTTTCCCATTTTTGTGGTTTTTATTGTTATTGGTGTCGCTGTAGTCCTTGGTCGCATATTTTCCCCCGAGAAACCATTTATTATAATATTTTGCTCGTAGTGCATATTATGCTGTTGTCGCGGTGTTCGTCAAAGTGCCCACGTTCGCTCATTCCATCCTCCTTCGAGCTCCTCCATTTTTAGTCGCTTTAGTATTGTGGGTGTGACTCACGTATGCACTTTGCGTTGCGAATATCTAAGCCTACCGCCTCCCACCAGCGGCAATCCCATTTTATTATTCATTCAATTTTTATCTGGTTTCTGAACTCACCGAGTTCAAAAATTTCATGGTTTGTATTCATCTTGTCCTCTTATTTAGTACGAGCTCGCTCGTTGTCAGAAGAGAACGTTCAAGCGTTTCAAATACCAATTGGTGCTTCTTTTTATTTCTGACCGTCAAGGCTTGCCCATTTTTTCTATATAAAGTGGACAACCGAACAAACATCTTTGAAAAGTTTTGTGCGACAAAAATGGTTATGTTGCTATGCAAAAAGAAATTTTCTCAACATATGCAAAAGAAGAAACTTAGTGTTTTCATTTGAACTATTTCGTGTTGAAATTCATGAAAAATTTTAAAAATTGGTTTAAATATTGGGAAAAAAGAAGAATAAAAAATGTTCACGTCATCACGTGTCGACCTAGTTTCGAAGCATGTTTTGACCTATATTCCATTTTTGATCTTCCGCGCTTCTTCATTTGCTCTCCTCATTCTCTTTTGCCGCGTTTTGTCATTTTTTGCGCTCGTGTGGTGCTTCTTTTTTTTAAGATTTGTCCATCCGTCTGTTTTGCCTTGAGTGTTTTTTTTTCGGTTTCAAAACTCGTTCATCTCAAATTGTTGAATGTTTCAGATTCCGCCGATTGTCGCACATCCGCAATTGCCGCTTCGAAAAATGTCGTCGATCGGGAGTCCGACAAAGGCGAGTCTCAACGGCAGCAGCGGCTATTACGACGAGGAAGAAGTGATGGTGGCGATGCCGGAACGCGCGCTCATCGAATGCATCGTAAACCTGGCTGTCTCGAAACGACCGCCGCATTTAAGACCGCCGGCTGCATTCTGTAAGTTATTCATTTTATACTGAATTAATTGTTATATTTTGTTTGAAAATAAAACTGTTGAAATGGTTTCTAGATTAAAATCTTGCGCTATTTCGTTTCTCGTGAAAATATTTACGGGAACGAATTCATTATTCGAGAGATCCTTATCAACAATTATAATTTGCGATTCGTTCAAACCAAATTTCCAGGTCTTCCACTCGTTTCGATGTCAAACGATCGAAGTAATGGGCATGCGTTGCGTCAAATGGTAGTGACGTAAGAGGACATTTGAAAAATTTGAGAAAATGAAAATAGAAAATAATACAGGTCTGTGTTTGATGTGCTCCATCCGTATGTCAGTTTGATACCTTCATGCAGAGACGATATGGCGAATGCGATGCATGCCTATTATTGTGAGTTGTTTTGTTCTTATGCGAATGGTCCGTTTATGAATATTTTACAGCAAAGAATTCGATAGAACAAGAACAACTCGAGCAAGTTCATCGGTTTGCCTTGGAAATGCAGGTTCATCTGTCCGCTTGCTTTGGATGCCGAGTCATTCTTGATGTAGTGTAATATATTGGTTCGTATTAGAATTTTTAATTATTTAGATTTACGGCTCAACTCGAAATGGGTTTGGAACTCGTTTTTGCGATGTCGACATGAGCCTCTCATTCTATCCGACTCCTCCGATGTGGGCGACAAATGCAGATCGAGTGATGCGTGCCGTCGCAAAAGCTCTCGTCGATTTTCCGAAAGCCGTTGACGAGCGTTACGTGAACGCGAAAGTACCGATTGTTCGATTTCGAAGTTCCGATATGGATCTCGAAGCAGAGTATTTTTGATTTTTAATCCGATCGCTTTGTTTATTCCTAATTTTAGTATAAGCTACTGCAATGATTTGGCGATACATAACACAAAATTACTTCACCAATACTGCAAATGGGACCCTCATAGGCTGCCGACTCTTGGTGTCTGGGTTAAAGCTGTAAGCATTCATTATTGTGTTTATTTTTTATTCTAAACTCTTTGTTTTTTTTAGTGGGCCAAACGTTGCGGAATCGGAGAAGCTTCTCGTGGTTCTCTTTCGTCATATGCATGGATCGTCATGCTCATTCACTACTTGCAGCAGATTGAGCCATTATCAATGATTCCATGCCTACAAGAAGTATTGTTCCAGTTTGTTTGTCATTTTGATGTTTATGATTGTAGTCGACGCATGATGGTAGAGCGGATCCAATTTACGTGCAGAATTATAACGTCTACTTCTGGAAGTTTGTCGATGTGGGTCCCTAGTTAAATCCTTTTTCAATAATTGAAAGTTTTCAGCCATCGCGTTCTCGAAATTGTCGCGCAACAGTGCTCGATCTATTTGTCGGATTCCTTGAATATTATTCATCGTATTTCGACTATGTAGATCATGTTATTCAAATCGCGTCGAAAAGTATCAAATTCAAGCCGGAACGTTGGCTGAAATTCCCGATGTGCATTTCGGATCCGTTCGAAACCGATCACAATCTTGCGCAGGGTGTCGATGTGCCGAGTATGCGATTTTATCGAGATTTTAGATTTTTTGCTTGATTTTCAGTGTTCAACTACATTCGAAGCTGTATGAAACACTCGTATCATGTGTTCACGGATCGCGAAGTTCGCACCTCGTTTCTCTCGAGATACGGCACAGACGTGGACGACTACAGTTCGATGCTGAGATACAGAATGGACGAAGACACGGCAGCTGATTTTGCGGTAAATTTTTGATTTTTCAAATTGTTTTATTTTCGCATTCCGTAATATTTCAACAACAATTGAAAGACTGAGAAATGAGGAATTGAAATTGTTTTAGGAATATTTGCTCGATAAATGCGTAATGGTCGAGAGAGCTCCTCATCGACAATTTCGAGATCGAAGCATGAGCCAGTCGACGAGTACCAGCAATACCTCGATTGGCTCATAAGTTCTGTTTCGACATGAACAATACGAATATTTGGTTTCTACCGTTGTTTTTCTACGAACATTGATTTTGAACAAAAAAATGCCAAATGTATTTATTTGTATTCATAGGCTTTTGTGATTTATTCGCTCGACTCTTCCCTTGTTCATCTATATTTTTCTCTATTGAATTCATTGTAATTATAACAACAACAAAAAAACCGAAAAAATCTCAAAAACCCTTAAAAATCTGTACTATAATCTCAGTGGTTTTGCTATTTTCGTTTATTTCTTCTTCCATCTTTTTTCCTAATTATTTCTAATAATTAGAGAATTTAAATTACGATCAAACTCAAACTCTCCCGACCACTAAAATTGACTCTTCTGAATTGTATCGAACTCTCCGATATTTCTCCTTTGAATTCTCGTAATATATGTACATACGTGAAACATTTGTATTCCTTATATTAACTACAACTAGCCAACAGTGTTGGATTCGATTCTACAATACTTGCATAGTTATGCTCGAACTTTATGTGTGCTGAAGCTGGTCTTTTGTCATATTTAGGTCTTTAATTGTAATATTCTTGATAAAAACACAGAGCTGGCTCTCGCGTCGTTGTTTGTCGCTTTTATTTACAATTAAGTTGATCTTACGATGTATTGTTCTCCTCTCCATACAACGCCCCCCGCAAGGAAAGTAAATTTTTTTTCTATGTGTTAATTTTTGAACTCACTTCTTTTTTCTCTCCCTCCCTCTCTCATATCCTCTTTTTATGTAAACGGTCCGGATAATCTTTTTTTTTATTAATCGCGCACTAATTTTGTTTTTCGCATCCTTCCCGTTTAAAATGTTTTGTTTTACCATTGAATTTTTCTTTTTTTGTTTTTTTGTTTCTTGAAGTGACCACTTCTTCACATAAAATTCTTAAAAACGTAAATAATGAAAACAAATAAAGGAAGTTTACTGGTACTGCTGATAAGAAGAGAAATTTGTATGAATCATGACGAGTAAATTGGAATGCGTGGAACAGAATATTGGAAAAAAATTCATTCCTACGATTCAAATGAAAAGAATCAGCGACGAGCTAAATGCAAAAGTCGATATCGCTGATATCGAAAAGGTAGATATTGAATGAGAAAATATTGGATTTTTGATCCGATTCCAGATATTCGCAACTAATATCAGAAATACGATAGAAACTATTGGCCTATCAGCTGCTTTACATTCGGCAATTACGAATGGAAGATCATACGAGATTGTAATCGGATTACTAGAAGAATATTCGGAAACAATAAAGGATGCACTCACTGATTTTCGAAATATCGAGCCGACCCTTCCTACGCAATCCTTGTGCACTTCTCCGTTAAATGATTCGGTCCAATTGCATCGCAGCAGATTATCCAGGTTGACATTAGAAATTTTCGACTACAAATACATACACTTGAAGATCATCTCGTTCTCGATTGGCGGTGAAGAGAAATAGTCCAGATGCTCATGTCAGCAAGAGTCTCGATTTCTCAATGATTGAATGCGATCGCAAAGCTTCTCCAAGAGCCGAGGTACTTCAAAACAAGCAATCCTTTGGTATTTTCAATGAAATTCAAGATTTTGGAGTTTCAATCATTTGTTGATGATACGATTATGATGGACGAATCAACGGTATATTTTTAGTTTTTTTTTTGAATAAATAAGACCAAATGATTGAATTTAGAATAATCGAGGATTTATGGCAGATATCTCTGGAAATATTGAAACAACAATTCATCGCAGATCTGATTCCACTTTGAGTTTCGGCTCGCTGTCGACTGTGTTGTCTGTTGGATCCGACGACTTGAGAAATCTCGATTTCCAAATTGAAAAGGAAACTACTGAATTTGCACAGCTGTAAGAAAACAACCAAATTTTTGTATTTCAATTAATATTTGATAGATTAAATGGAGGATCTTCTAAAGAGAACGCTCAACAACAAAATTCATTAATGGAATGGAACAGAATACGTCGAAATTATCCGTTAGAGACATTTGTCAACGATGACGAATTAAAAACACCGTAACTTATTCGGTTTCAAGAATATTTAACGAAGAATTCTAGAAAACCAAGAAAAAACACAATGAATTCTGATGAAGAAATGACACCACGAAATATTTGGAATGTCCAATTGCGTTCGGGAAGCAATCGAAAAGTAAGTCGCCAGATTTCGAACAAATGATTTTTCTGCTTTTTTTCCGATCTCCGAAGAAATTCGCCGTGAATTGCAAAGACAGTTAAACGAAGATGATGTTGAATGCAAAGTCATCTCATTTTGAATTTTTTTTATCAGGAATAAAATTTTTATCATTATTAGGGCGATGAGAATTTCAAATCGTCGTTTTCTTGGCGCGCACTTGCATTCTGTATTGTTAAACGAGACGCAGACAGCTAAAAAATGTTTGAACTTATTTTTTCGTGTTTTACTGATTTTTTTTGTATGGAAAAAGTATTTGCTTTTAATTAGTGTTTCGAACATTTTTGAATTAATTCTGTAATTACTTCGAAAATTAATTTTCCCAATTAAAAATCGTCAATTAAAAAATTAACGTTTAAAATAAGCAACTATATTAAATGTTAACAAAGAAAAGCGAAAATCTCAACCGAAATGACTCGAAAAAAATAAATTTCACATTGCGTAATTCATTATTGTGCAAACATCTTCACGAACTATTACACCAATTTACTGTAATATATATTTAAATTGTCGTTAATTTTATAATTATTCAGATTATTCCGGTTTTAGCGTCTTCTGTTATGTAACAAGATTTAATATTACTGATAATGGTTTTTGTCCATATTCCATCATATATTCATCATGACAGTGAGTTTAATAATAGTGAACTAATTATAATCGTTCAACGTTTATAGACGGAGCAATATATTCAATAGACGCTCATCCATTCGAGGATAAAATTATTACCTGTGGACAGGGAAATGTAAAATCTCATCAAATTTTCTAAATTCTCAATAATTTATCAGGTTGGCGGGACGGGTCTTGCAATTATTTGGAGTAGTGTTCCTCTTGAATCACACAAATCAAAAACGGACAAATCTGGAGCAAAGTCATTATGTCAAATTCGTTTGCAAGCTGGTGCGAACTGCTGCCGCTGGTCGATGGATGGCACGAAATTCGCAATTGGATCCGATGACTCTTCTGTGTCTGTATATACATTCTGTAAGAGATTTTTAATAGCAAATCATATCACTTGTTTTTTTACAGTAGGACGTGTGAATTCGGCTGGAAGTGTTCTAGGCACGAGTGGAGGAAGTGTCGAAAGATATAAAGAATGTGCTATGCTGAGAACTCATAACATGGAAGTTTTGTGTGTCGAATGGTCGCCAAACGGCAAATATCTAGCAAGTTCTTCGATGGACAATACAATTTGCATTTGGAATGCCAAAAATTTCCATGGTAGGTCGTTAGTTCCTCTTTTGTTTTATCAAAATCAAGAATTACAGAGAAAATTGCTGTTCTCCGTGGACACGACAGCGCTGTGAAGGGAATTTCTTTCGACCCGATTGGCAAATATCTTGCCTCTTTGTCAGCAGATAAATCGCTGAAACTATGGCAAACTGATAATTGGCAATGTCATACAACTATCACAAAACCATTTGAAGGAGTAAGTGTTGTTCCTTAAATTTACAACAATTGTATTAAATGAACTTAGAGCAGCCAAACAACGATGTTCTCTCGACTGGATTGGACTCCTGATGGAAAATATCTTTTGGCGCCAACTGCGACAAACAATGATGGTCCGACAGTCCAGATAATTGAGCGGCAAACATGGAGTATCGAGCGTGATCTTGTCGGTCATCGAAAAGCGACAACTTGTGTTCGAGTTCTGCCAAGAATAATGTGCTATTTGCATAAAAACAAAAAGATCCAAGTTTCGTGCATCGCCGTCGGATCCAGGGATCGAGCAATCAGCGTTTGGCTCATTCCAGGGGTTTTTATATCCTCAATCAACCAAAAATATAGGGAGTTGCTTCCGTTTTCAGCTCGACCGTCCCGTTCTCGCGATTACCCATCTTTTCAAGCATTCAGTTATGGATCTTTCATGGTGCGACAACACGTTGTACGCGTGCTCCCAAGACGGCACAATTGCCGTTTTGTCGTTCAAAGAATCCGAAATTGGACAGGCTTTAACATCGTCGGCAATGGTTGGTTGGCTGTTTTGCAGTTGTTGGTTGTAGACAAGATTCTTCTAGAGCGATCTTTGCTACAAATCATACTGTCTTCGCCCGCCACAATATGAAGGAAATTCGTCGATGGCTGTCGATGACGAAACAAACGGGTTTACGGGTCACGATTCTTCATTCAATAATTCGTTTGTGACATGTCCTGAGGATGTTATTGCAAGAAGAAAGGTATTTTGTCGGCTCATTTTCAGTCTTGCAATCGATCTTTTTTTTAGAAAGAGGAAGAAGAAAAGAAAAAGAATGCTGAGGAGCCGAATGGGAAATCGAAGCCTGTGGAAGACGTCCCAAAAAAGGATGACGTGAAAGCAAACGAATGTATTCTAATAAAAGAGAGAAGCAAACAAGTCGAAGAACGAAAAGACGGAAAACGGAGAATACAGCCGATATTTCTTGGATCAACATGCACAGATGAGCCTTCGTCATCAATTAAATCAGCTGCCGCGCAAGATATTCAACAACAACAGTTCGTTTTCAATTTTCATTTTTTTTCGATTTTAATATCATGATTTAGGGCAAAACGAAGGCGAATTGATGAGGAAGATGGCGAAAGTCTTGAATCGAGTAGTAGTGAAGAAGATGAGGAAGAAGAGGAAATGGAAGTTTCTGGAGATGATCGAACATCCAGCAAAAAGAAAACAAAACAGTTGGATAATAAGCAATCGAAAATTTTAGCGGTCGATTTCAAAGTAATAATTGTTCAGTAATATTTGAGTTAATTTGTTGTCAATCCTTCTAGAAACCGACACTACGGCCAATCGAGCAGCGAACAATGAAAATAACTGAAGGAACTGTTGTCATGGATGCACCTGAACCGCAATCCGCATTTTTACAGCCTGTACTAAATGTAGGTTTTTATTTCAGTTTTATGTATACAAAACAGATTAAATGGACGTAGTCTCGAATATTTGAAATTTAAGAAAAAAAAAACAAAATTATTTTAGCGTAAAAACTTTCATTTGGATATTGATAACAAATGGAAACACGGAGGAGTCGAAGTCACAAGTGTTCGATTGGTGAAACGGAAAACTCAGCCACCTGCAAATCACGATTCTAGCGAATCGAACGCAGCCCCAAAACAGATCAATGATCAGGTGTGGATGATAGTTGTTCCTTCGCCCGTTATCGTCGCAGCAGCCAACAAGTATTTATTTTTGTTTATTCATATGGTCGATCTATTCTTTTTTTTAAAGGAACTATTGCATCTTTGGATGTGGAGATCGTTGTTTGAGAATATATCGATTGAAATGTGCTACCAACATCGCATGCCTTTTACTCGACTCGATTCCAATTTCTGTTGGCATTCGCGAGCATGCTGCCTATGCTCTGACAGAATGCGGAAAACTTAGTACTTGGGACCTGCGGAAACCGACTGTTGTTGTAAATCGGCAGCCAATTTTCGAATGTGTCGTCAAAGATAGTTCTTTGTCGACCCTTGACATTAGCGAACGCGGTGTACCACTAATGTCGTTTTCGAATGGAGCAGTTTATACGTACGGACTCGAATTCGGCTGCTGGGAACGCGTTGATCTAACCACTCAAATGTATAGGCTGACCACATTTGTTGATGCGAAACAATTCCCCGATGGACCACTCGGACGACTCCTGAAGAAAGCACGAAAGTACTTGTCAAACCATTCATTATTAATTAATTAATTGTCTCCTAATTCCAGTAATATTGGATCATCTCCGAATGTTGCGATCAACGTGTCGAGAAGTATCAAAGAAGCTCAATTGCATCAGTGGCTTCATTGCGCGGATATGCTAGGAAATGCTCAAGATTATAAAGGAATTTTAGCGATTTACGTGGAACATTTATGCGAACATGGTGAGCTTAAGAGATTGATTGTTTTCTGAGTTATAATAATTATGTCTTATTAGGAAATGAGGAGAAATTGCGAACTGTGCTCGATCAGCTGTCCAGTAGTGTCACTCCCATATGCGGACTTCGTCGTGGAGCACTTCGAGACGACGTTGCGAAAATGATTGAAGCACGTCATCCGGTGATTGCTGCTCGTTTACTTACTTCGTATTCTTCAGATAATTTGCCCAAAAAGACCTCTTTGTTTTAGATGGCATATTTTTGATATTCTTGATCTATAAACTAACGATCTCATTTGTCAGTATTTTTATATTGGAAATAAATCGGTTACATCTTTAAACTCCTTTTATTTGAAATCTAATGACGCACCAAATTCGTATAACCGTTATTTCTATATGAATATAACAATTTGGGACAATTGTTAAATTTTTTAATTTCAAAAAATTTGTTTTTCAGGATGACAGAAACTGTGAAAGTAATATTGTGTTTTTTTGGAGAAGCAAAAGAATTGGTTGGAAAAGAAGAAGAAGAGGTCGGCATTTTCAATTTCGGAAATGATATTAATATTGTTTTTTTAGATTGAACTTCCAAAAAGAATAACATATGAGGAAGTGAAAAATCGGATTTTTGACGAGGTTTATAAACTTTTTCCTCTTCGATTTCTCAAAGAAATATTCCCATTTTCTCACAAAAAAATACAATTAGTCGAAACAAAAAAATCGGTAAATCCTCACTTCATTTCCACATCGTCCTCAACGGAGTGTCGTACTGATGTTGTTGAAAAGTTACAGGGTGAGCCATGAATACGGAGCCGCTTTCAAAACGGTGTAAAAAGATTAGTTTCAAAGATTTTTTTCTGAGATTCAACCAAAATGTTTATTAAACTATAAGAAAAAAAGTAGCATTAACAGTTTTCGAATCTTCCGCCTTTCGCCGTGATCACAGCTCGGAGTTTCTTCGGGTAGTTGTCGATGACGAGAGCTTGTGCTTTGTCACACGGAGAGCCTTATTTTTCTCCGTAAGGAGTGCTCCGTTTTGAAAACGATAAGGAATCATACGAAGCTTGTCTCTGACCACTCTTCTCATCGAACTTTCACTCATTCCAAGCTCCAGTGCCATCTTTCTCATGCTTCTTTCCGGATTCCTCCGAATGCGCTCCCTGATAACTTTCACCACCTTCGGAGTCGTCACAGTCACTGGGCGTCCAGATCTCTGCTTGTCTTTCAAAGTACCAAGCTTTTTGAACCGATTGAGAGTTTTGTTCACCACCGATTTAGCCACACCGAGCTTCTGAACGATCTCTGCCGAACGCATTCCACGCTTCGATAACTCAACGATGGCAGCCCTGAACGGGGAAGCTGCTGTCATAACCTTAAAACGAATTATATCGAGCTAACAAACTAGTAAAACATGAAATAAACTTTAAAAAAATAATTTTACGCAATTAAATGGGTACTGTAGGCGCCAGAGTTGACGCAAAGTTGCGGCTCCGTATTTATGGCGCACCATGTATGGGACGAACAGCGACAGTTTGAGGAAAGAGCCAACTGTGTTTAGACCAAAACCAACCGCATTTTGTCATTTTTTAATTTCTGAAATGTTTCTTTTTATTTTTTTCTTCATAGACGTTTGGGAATTGCGACTCTCTGGCGGGTTTGTATTCGAGTGCGCACACTGCTCTTCTCCAACCTGTATTGTATTAGTCACGCGTTAACCCTTATCCATTTTTTTCGAATTTAAAAATTGTTTGAGTCGAATAAATTTTCAGATGTTTCCAAAATTGTCAAAAATCAAAAACTCTTCGAATCTAGCCATTGACTGCTCAATTCCGCCACCCGGAAAAACGATTGACCTTCACTACAGTTCCGAGATTGCCGTCATACCTCCAATAAGCAGTGGATAATTCATAAATTTATTTTCTAACACAATACAAAAAATTTTGATTCGATAAATTCTTCGAATACCCGATCAAAAAAAATGATGGAAAAATATTGGGGAAAAAACGTACAAATTATAGAAGGAGATGAAATGTTAGTGTGCAATACAAAAAAGAAAACGACTGTTAGTAGAATATCTTCCAACAAAATTGAAGAAAGACACTAATTTCCGAAAAAAGACAATGAAAAAACAAAGTAAATCGAAAAAAAAACATTCTGCATAAAGAAAAAGGGAATTTTATGACCACACATCTGCTTGATATCTCTTGGATTTTTCGAGATCTTTAAAGAATGCTTGAGCGTCGGATTCGGATTTTGCGCCAACTTCTCGGAATATTTTAAGAAGGGTCGCTTGAACATCGCGGGCCATATTACGGGCATCTCTGAAATTTGGAATCTATGTAATGGTCCCGTTCTGTATCATATTTATATTTTCGGTGTGAAAAGTGTTGTTTAGAAGAATTATATTGTTTTTGCACAACAGCCTTGTTTTCGATTTGTAGGCAAAAAAAAAACAAATCGAGAAAAGCAACATACCCGCAGACATAAACATGCGCGCCGTTGTTGATGGCATCCCAGACGCGATCCTTTGTTTCCCACAATTTGTCTTGCACGTAAACCTGCAACAAGAAAATAGAAGCAATCAATGGAAACTCTACAGTACCTTTTTGTCGGAGAGTCTCGAGAATGCGCATTCGAGGTGTGTCAGGACTCCATCTTTAACAAAGTCTTCTAATTCGTCTCTATAAATGTAATCATGGTCGGGATGACGGCATCCGTAATACAAATGCATCTCGCCAACTTCTTTTCCTGAATGCTTATCAGCTAAATTCAACAGGATCGTGGAAGAACTCACCAGAATTTTTATGGCATTGACGATCTTGCAGGAATCCTCGGAACGGCGCGAATCCAGTTCCCGGTCCGATCATGATAACTGAAGTGGTGATTCGGTGAGGAAGACGCATCGTCGATTTTCTCACAAAAACTGGAGCCTTCGAGTTCGCCATTTTGGTGCTGAGATAATTGGTGCACACTCCATTGATGTGTCTGTCACCAATAGAATATTTCGTGATTACCGCGCATATCGCAATCTTCTCCTCATTCACTCTTGGCGATGAAGCGATACTGTAGTAGCGAGCCTGAAGACGAGGAAGAAGCTCGAGAAGGTACTCAATCGGAGCTTTACAGGATCTGTGCTCGTTGAGAACATCGACAATCGATCGCCGCTCTTTCACAATATATCTGGCATATTCTTTCTGGAAAATTTCGAAATAAAACAATGTACTAATTTAAAAGAAAAATAATAATACCATTCCTTCCTCGGTAGCAGTCGCAAGCAAGTCAAGATTCTTCTTCTGAGCCTCATCGGAACAATACTCACTGATAGCTTTGAGCACATGCGATTTCACCGGGGCACAGATATCAACATAGTGAGAAAGAGCTGTGCGGAATGTGGTTGGACATGGGAACGGGTGTCGCTTTGATGCATCTTCATCGACATTCACAAGTCGGAACGATTGATCTGGATCGAATTCAAGAAGCTCGATGAGTCGATCAACGAGCTTCGAATCATTCGTTGGAAACACGGCCAAATGATCTCCAGCTTCATATCGAATTCTCGATCCTAAAATTCATTTTCGGTTTGTTTTTCGAGATTGCGCAATACCTTCGACAGAAAATTCGATGTGCCGACAACTTCTGTCAGATTTTTCAAGGTGAAGCTCTCTGTTTTCGGTAATTGTCGCCAAATATGGATTCTTGACATCGAACGGTGGACGCGGACGCTCATAGGCTCCAAGTCTTCCAAATTCTCCCTGAACCATTGGTTTACGAGAGAACTGATAAAAACCGATACCTTGAACAACGCTTTTCCAGGTTCGACTGATTCTAAACGATACTGTCTCATGGTCTCAGCTTCAGCGTTCAGTTCCCATCCGAATTCTTCGGCAACTTTTGGTAAAAAGGCTTCTCTCCATCTCATAAAGTCCTCTTCCAAATTCGCGTCATCATCTCCAAGCCCCATCTGGAATATTCTGGTGGCACCAAGCTTCTCAAGCTGTTTGTCCATTTGTTTTCCGACTGCATTGAAATGCTCGTAAGTTTTGTTGCCGAGTCCAAAAACCTAAAAATCATACATTTTTTTTCGTGCTATTATCGAACTTTGTAGTCTACGCGGTGTTGTTTGAAAACATGATACTATCATGTGACGAAAAGAATGAACTTACCGCATAACGAACTCCGGATAAATCGCAGCTGTCCGAATTGAGGTATTCGACCAATCCGATGGCATTGTCGGTCGGATCTCCTTCTCCATACGTCGCCAAGCAAAGAACAAGAAGTGCATCCGGAACTTCTGCAATACCGACGGTGATTTCGGAAATCAATTTAATTGACAGTCGGTTTTTCCAATTCTTACAAAAAATTTGTGTTCTTTATTATTTGATCCATCGAATTGCAATCAAAAGAATATTTTTGAATTCACAACACATACTTGAGGCTACATAAATATCACAAAACAAATAATTGCGATGATTATCGCATTTTTGAATATTAAGATATTGAATTATGATAAGGTAAACGTGCAATGCAGCCTTTAAAAGATCAATTATTTGAAGAAAAACAAAACAAATATTTTTCGCTAAATGTTTAAAAGTTCAGAAGTCCGTTAAAAAATATTCAGTAAATACACGCACCTGAGAGTCTGTTCAAATCCTCAACTTCAATGTCTTCTGGATCAACGACAACCGCTTTTTTCGAATATCTCGACAAATCCTTGGCGAGACGTCCGGACATTTCTTCAGCCGTTCCGGTCTGCGAACCATACATGATTAAAACCTGTTCAAACGGAATTTTAAGTAAACATTTTATGGAAACTCCAGAAAAAAAACCTGTCGGCCCTCATTCTTCATTCGGTCAATAAACGATTGATTCGATTTGGAAACAGTTGCCGGCGTCGTCGTGGTGACAGTAGGAGAATATCTTGACGAGCTCGACGATTGATTCATAAACTTCATCACCAGAAACACAATGGCACCGCCGGCGAGTATCGTGAGAACTATGAGATCGCTCATGTCAAGACCCGAATAGATCCACGACAGCATCTCTGAAAACGAAAACAAAAAATTAAGAGTTTGAATTGAGAAGAAGAAAATGCAAAAAAAAACGAGAATCTAAGCGCGTGTTATCTACACAATATGAATGTGACCTCCTCTTATCATGTTGGGAAGCCGACAATACTGAAAAACACGCACACAACCTCGTATATTTCGAAGGGGAGTGGCCAGATTTGCGAAAGAAACCAACTAATTGGTGTGCGAGTGACAAATTAAAAAAAAATGAAAAGATGGACAACGTGTGATTTGGAGAACCAGAAAAAAACGAGCATTCAAAAAAAAATAATTGAGAGAAATATTGTGGATTGAACAAACTCGGTGAGGAAGAGCACAATTCGCAATGTTTACTCACTTTCAAACATTTCCAACTTTTATGTTTTTTTTTTTCTTTAGTGAAAACAAGGAATGGAGAAGACGAAGAACACCCGGTGAAATGCGTATGAATAAAGGAGAGACATCTCGCAGAACTAGCCGGCATTAAATCCGAACTGTCGTTTTTCCCTCTCTCTCGCCTACTCGGACTGTTTCGCGTTTCGCCGTCTGACGCGCGCTACACGCAAATCTAATAACAATAACTAAATCATCTTCAGGCTACCTACAAAAAGCTATATGGCCACATTGTTACTAATTGGTTTTTAAGGTCAAATCAAGATACAATAAGGAGTGTTGGTGAAAAAGAGCACACTGATTGAGTTGACAGTATTATCAATTTGTTTATGCTTGAATCGGGCACAAATCAGAATACAGCAATTTTCTGGTCAGTGATATCATATGATACGGAAAATCGTAATGATGTAACTAATTTAACCGAATTAATGATTGATTTTTTGTGTGATATCATCTCTCATTTTCTTCAATCATTAAAAAAATCAAGTTTCTAGTCAGTTTTTATACGTAAGGTTTCCAAGGAAACCAAAAATTTAGGCCACGAGTTCATTTGCTCGACTACAAATCTACAGCTTCAAAAACTTGTCCGAAACTTATTTCATTCAAGGAGAGATATTAATGTTGGTCACATCGTGGTTTGTAGTGTGACCAATGTGACGAGATGAACTATGACCACCAGACGGTCCATCTTTTTTTTAAAGAAATTAATTAATGGGCCGGTTCCAATCACTATCAAATATTCGATCATAGATTGAGTGATTAACAATTTGTTTCTTTTTATGTTTTATAATTTAACACGACCACATTGAGAAGGTAAAAAAATCGAATTGATAGGTTCAAAAATCGAATGAAAATGATTTCGCTGTTCCTGAAAATATCAAAATTTATTTCTCTCTTATTTTTTTTATTTGAGAAGCGTTTTATGAATTAAGTGTTGGCCTTTTCATATTACAGAATGTTCGAATTTCATTCGAGTCTGTAACCGGAAACTTACATTGGGTTACTGTAGTTGCCGAGTCATGCCAAATGTTTTAAATTAAAATAAAATAATAATAATAATAATTGATTGGTTATTTGATCGAGTTTATTGCTTAATGCATCTCTTTTAAACAATATTTTTCAAAAATTAAAGACGCAACCTCGCTACCAATTTGCGACCTACTCACATTAAACACACGGCATTGTTACAAATAGCAGCAGCATAGTCTAGACAAAAATGAGTCAGATGTGTGAAATTTGAAAAGAACAAACTCGGAAACCGCGCACGGACGGCTTTCAATGAATACGTGCGCATCCGTCGAAGACGTTATCGATCGGATTCCGATTGTTCAGATCGACATTCGAGATAAAAAACGCGATCGAAGCCCTCGACTTCCGAAAAGTCAAAGGACACGCCCTCGTAAAATCATTCGATCAATTAGCTAGAATAAACTACATATTTGATAACGGGAAAAACGCTGCCCGAATAATGACAAAATTCAAATGAAAATCGACGAGTCAGTGAACAAACAAACAAAAAATGAAAACGCTCTTCAATTAACTGTTTTTGTTTTATTTCCTGCCTACAATTGATAAAAACAGAATAATAGAATAAAATTAGAAAATTTAAAAACAAAAATTGCCGAGTTTAATTAGATAAATGTGAAAACCTTATATTAGTCATTAAAATCCAAAAAAAATAGGCAACAAAAATGGTTAAATTTGAGAGATCAACTGCACAAGTTCAAACAATCAAAATGATCTGTTAATCCCAAAAACAAAAACGAAAACTTTGTTAAAATTTATTCAAATAATTTCAAAAATAAGCATTGAATTTCAACTTTATAAGCAAACGTTTAAAAATTCTTCACATATTATATTATTTTATTTTATGTGAACATTATTAACTGTAACTAACATAGAAAAAAAATAAACTTAACCTAAACCATCGGATTAAATTAGCACAAACACGAGATAGAGAGAGAGAGAGATCGAAAATGGATTATTATTATTTTTTATGATTATTACTTATTTAACACCGTATTCTATGGTTTTTGGTTTAAAAGCATAAGGCAGAAATATACAAAAAAAAGAATCAGATTTGTGAAATTTAGGCATTTCAAACAATTTTTGGGTTCTAATGATTGTACAAAAATAATTAGGCAGAGTTATAAAGGACAAAAGAGTCAATTATCTATTAATTGATGTAACAGGCGAATATAAGGAACAATTAAAAGAAAATGAAAATTTTGAATGGAATTGAAAGAGGTAGAATAAAATTATGAGACGATGACCTCATCTTATACTGTATTTTATAAGCGAAACAAATAAATAAAAACAGAACAAAAACGAACGTCGGACAGCATCAGGTTTCGAGCGGACTGTTCATCGCGTCGACATCAATGAAATTTGCAATTTTAATGAACACTTCTGCCACATTTTCGCGTGTTACTTCGAAGTTGTTGGGCTAAAATCGACGAATATTTTCCGCTAGTTAATCGAACACGATTTTTTTAAACATAAAAATCTGTTATTTCTTTTTCTTAATTTTAGAAATTGGAGTTAAGCGGTTTAATAAATTAAGAATCAAATGAACATAAAAATGTAATTAATTTTGGTTGACTTGTTTGAAAATAATTAAGCTATTTCGAAAAATATCTGTAATGCGAACTAAATTTGAAACTGAAATTTTGAAATACGAAATTACCAGTTGAATATCTTGCTGGTAATGTGGAATCATCCATTTTCCAATAGATATCAACGCATTTTCAAGATTCTTCGGTAGTTTCTCAACTTCAACCACTTTTTCGAGAGATTTCCCAATAAATTTATCACGGAAATCAGAACGCTTTTCCAGTATTCGTGTTTCGGCAGCTCGAAGAGGCTAGAAGAGAACGTGTTTCACACTAATAAAAACTACATATTTCAACTAACCTTTGTTACTTTTTCCTCCCAAAACTTTGTTATCAATTCTTCGACATTAAGAACCTCACGGATTTTATCATCGGTGAAACGAAGAAGTCTATCAGCTTCATTGCAACCTTTTTTGGCCAGTTGTTGCAAAATGTCACGCTTCTGTCGTGCATCTTCCTTCTGGAGTTCCTTCTGAAATCACACCAAAAAATAAAACATTTCAAATTGTGAAAACTAACAAGTTTCTGCAATTCAGCGCGCTCACTTCTGTCTAACGGAATTTCAGGAACTTTCGGTTTTTCATCTACAAAATATAGATAATCTTTAAAAAAAAGAATCAAATGTTCGTACTTGTAATCTCGCTCGAAGGTGATTGTTTGACACGTATTTCGGATCTAGGTCTTGTCGAACTTCCGGCTACAACAGTCTTTTTCTGAACAGAAGGCGTAGCAACATGTCTCGGAGGCGATGGAGCAGAGACCCGGCTCGATGTCGTGTTCGACCGACGTTCGCTTTTTCGCGTAACTGGCATTTCGTCGTCTGAATCCTCGCGGTATCGAGGCCTACTAGCTGCCGTCGACGTTGGAGCGCGTCCAACCATTCGGCTGCTGCTTGGTCGAGTCGAAGAACCCGATGGCGCGTATCTATTCTTTTCAGGCGAGAATTTCTTAATTGATTTTTTTACTCGCTTCTTCGTTGGACCACCATCAGCGTCAGAGTCATCTTCCTCATTATTTTCACTTTCTTCACTTTCGGATTCAGCATCGGTTGAATGCGGATATGTCCGTTTAATTGGCTTATTATTCGTTTCCTGAGGTGTGTGATGTGCCGTTGAAATTTCTATCACATCAGCAATCTTTTTGCCGTTTCTCTCCTTTTCCTTTTCGATTTCAACATCGATTGTGCTACGTGGTGGCGGCTGTTCAACTTTGATGGTACTCTAGAAGCAAAGCAATCAGAATAACATGCATACTTTGCTCAAAATTATTCTTACTAGACTTCTTTTCACGACAGGCGCAATTTCCAATTGTTTCTCAGCTTTTTGTCCACCTTCTTTGATTCGCTCGACTTCTTCAACAGCATCACATCTACGGTTACTCGCGTTTGGATGATTTGCGCAGCTCCAATCTTCCGGAATTCCGTAGCTGATGTATTTTATCTGCATCGGTACACGTCGCCATTTCAAGCAAAGATCTATTGAGAAAACGAATATGGTTGAGAAACAATGAATTCAGCCTACTGCACTGAATAAAATGATTGGTTCGATTGAAGCGATTCCTTTTTCCTTCGAGATCATCCGCGGGCTCGGCAGTCCAATCACTATTCGTATATCCGTATTGCTTCCAAAAATGTTTGATTGCAGATGGACTGCTTCCGATTCCAATTTCATTCCAATACTTCATCATTAAATCGTTCATAGCTTTCAGAAGAGACAAATACTCTCTTAAACGGTTTTTTTTCGAAAATATTAACTTATCAATTGAAAATACCTCGAATTTTCAAAACTTTGTTTGTTGTGTGTTGGAGCTAAAACCGAATAAGGAACATCGACAATACCAACAACACCAAGACATGTCATCATTAAGTCATTTTTCTCCTTCTGAGCGCTCCCTTTCTGGTAAGCCAAAATTAAACGGCCATTGTTGTAAAACATGCATCCATATCGGTTTCTAAATTATTTCATAATTGAATTTTCTTGAATTTCAAAATTAGCGAAATGATTTTGCGAAAATGTTTGTTTTACTGTAGTAATAAATTCATTCAAAACTACAAAAAAAATCGTCATAAGACGCATGAAAAAATGTATTCCTTTCGTTAAAGAGAAAAATGTTTAAATATTTCAAACTTCGTAATAGAAAGCTAACAACCTGTGGTGGATGTTTATTCCAAACACGATCGACAATGGCTGAGGATTCGATATGGCCTTAAATGCTCGTAATTCATAAAGAACAAATTGATATTTTTAAATGAAATTCAACCTTTTTTGCTTGAACTTCTCGTTCTTCAGCTGCTTTCAAAGCTTTCTGCGCATCCTCAACAGCCTGACTGTGGACTCTCTGCATCAGGCGATCATTCTTACTCGCCAACTTCGGATCTGTATTGGTAAATGTTCCATAATCCGATTTGGCAATGCTCAATCTCTCTTTTGCTTAAAATGATATAAAGTTTCGAATGCCAAAATTCAAGTGGATCAAACCATCTTTTACGGCCATTTTGCATGCCTCATATTCTTTAGTGGCACATGCCTTCAGGTTTTTGGCCAAATATTGGTATCGATATTTCATAATAAGCAACGAAGTGATACGCGTAGCCGTGATTTTCTTTTTACGCAAATAAATCTTAAATGAACACCATTTTTTCAAATTACGGTTTGTAAAAGGCTTTTAATACCTTCATTCGTGGATTCAGATATAACACTGATAAGTATGCTCGAAGGGAATTGTATTCTTCTTCTCTGAATAAATATGATTTCAACGAGATCGTAGAGATTATACAAACCTTTGAGCAACATGATCAGTAAGACGAATATCATCTTCTGTAGAAGTGAAATCGAGTTCAAGTTGTCCAGTGACTAATCGCCTAAAATTTTTAAAATATTTTTTTTCTTCGGTCAAATCAACTAATTAATACCTTAAATTGAACAATATAATCAACGTTCCGTGCTCTCCGCGAATTTTTTCAAATTGTGCAAACAAAGTATTCTGATCGCTAAATGGTGAATATTTGTAGATAATTGACATTTCGAGCCGATGTTTTTCAATTTCCATGTCGGATTGGCATAACATGTGCCGATCTTCGGCATTGAATGACGGACTCGGCACAAATACTTCTTTCAAATCATGCTCTTTGTGAAATGTGCGAGATAAAAGAAGACACGAAAGGATGCCATCCTTTTTTGTCAATAAAAGCATATCTGTGGCAATTCTCATGGCTCCTCTGAATAAATTATCGTTTCGATTGAGGAGATAATGATGAAACTAACGATTTGAGACCGTTTCCATATTGTCCAATCATTCCAGCAATATTTCGTTTATTAGAGAAACCAAATGAAATTACATTAACTGCCTAAAATAAAGTAAGGATTATATAAATATATATACATATACTCTGTATATACTCTTTTTTTTTAACAAAAGATTACCTCTTTCTGTGTCATACCGCAACCATCATCAAGAATTGATAAATATTCATGATCTTTATCTGAAAAGATGTTAACATATCGGCATTTTGTTCATATTTCAGTTATACCGAAGTCAATGTGAAGATTTTCTGCATTTGCATCTCTTGAATTATCTACGAGTTCTGCGATAGCCCCAAGAAGATATTCGTGTGTTGTACTGGAATTATTCAATATTGATGAAGTTAGATAGCACAAAAAAGTACCTGTTTGAATGAAGATATGAAAATGCAATTGTTGCTTTATTCAGCAGCTTGATCTTATCTGTATCCATCTGAAAAACTGTTGCTGAGCATCTGTAAGTCACTGTAAGAAAAATAAATAAAATATGGAATAATTGACCACGAGAAAAAGAAAAATTGATTTAATCGAAACTATAATTTATTTGGGATGATGAATGTCAGAATTCACCCGTAAATGAACTCTATCACAACTAATATTTCAATAAATATGCGGAGTTGGCAAATATATAGGCGATAATATGAATAAATAAATCAATATCTAAAAGATGTGAATCAAATCAGAAATATTTTAGAATTTTGTGACTATGATGAGAAGAAGCACAATGATAATGGCGATTGTTAGAAGACAAATGCAATGCATTTTCTTATTGTTACGTTGATGTCCTTCAGCTTTAATGACGTCATCGACTGCTTTCTGAACGCGAATAGATGTTTGCTCACAATTGTAATCGATTCTAGATAAATTATTGCAATATTATAAGAAGAAATGGCAAATGAACCTGTCTAAAATTGTTCCCTGATTCACAATCATTTGGGAAAGATCTTTAAATAAATCACTAAGTTCACGAATCGATGTGTTCACAGCTAATATCTCTTTTTCTCGATCGCGAACTTCCCTATCATTGGCCATAAACTGCTCGAGTTGTGACATTGTGAGCTCAGCAGTGGTCGCCGTGTCCAGATCCGCCCAATTCGGCTCATCAATACTGCTTGCGGTTAGAAGGAAACTGTCAAGATTTTTGGAGCGATTCTGAGTGAAAAAAAAATGAAAATTAAAGCTTCCAAATCGATTAATACTTGGATATTATTGAGATATTTCAGCTGCCTTGTTCTAAATTGTTCAGTGATTTGACTTAAAGTCAAACTCAAAGCACTTGACGTATTCTCACGAAGTTTTCTTTCCGTGGCTTTCTCTTTTTTTGTCGGTTGATTCGAGATCATACGAATCAAACGCTGCGAATGAGTCAACATCTGTGTGATTTGCTCGGTTGTCGCTTCCATTTCTTTCTCCTCAGCTTCAAAAGTTTCATCGCCAAAATTTGGCCGAGAAAGATGCCTTTGTTGAGCCTCGGATAACTCGTCGAGACGTCTTCGAATTCTTTAACAAAATTATGGAAAAATGATGGATATGATGGAAACAGAAAATTAAACTCAAACCTCTCGAATTCAAACTCGACTTCATCTGCGGTGTGAATCCAAAACGGCTGAGAGTTTTCAGGCTCTGGCCTGCCATCTTCCAACTCAACTAATGCCATGCGTTCTTCTACAATCACAGAATTTCTACAATTATAAATAGTTTAGCATGCATCATACCTCCAGCATTCGATCTGAATATTGTAGAAGCATCGTCATGGTAGAGAAGCTTACTTTGTTGTGCATTTGCGCGAAGCAGTATGTATACTTCGGTTAAATTTCGCGTGGTCCCATACAATTCATTCTTTTTTGATGTTCCCGCGGCCATATCTACAAAATATTGGTTTTTAATCAATTCATAAAAGTATCAATTTCCAATCTATCGATAGTTGTTTTCTAACATTCATAAATGCTATGAATGAGCTTAGAATAAATAAAATCGGTATTTGGCAAGTAACCAAAGCTCAATGGTCCGCGTTTGCCCACTAGCATTGAGTCTGCTCTAACATTCTAATTCTCTCCAACTAGCAATCTATTTCTATTTGCATGTCAATGTTATAAATCGTTGGAAATTCGATAGATATTGAAATAGCTCTGGAGAATCAAACAAAAATTTAGACAAACCTTCGTTTCATACATTTCGAGAAGAAATGAGTTTCCAATTCCGTCACTGCGTGTTGTTACCGATTAAAATCAACCTGAAAATTAATCGAGCTATAATAAATTAATAAAAGAAAACAATAGAAAACAACGCAACAATCCGTAAATTGAAGAGCAAGCAGTAAAAAATATTTTTAGTTCACAGCAGTAAAAAAAGTGTATCATGTGTTCATTATTTAGAGATATTTCCTTTTGAAACTAATATTTAAAAATGTTTTTAAATTTTTTTATTTTAAATCAACAAAATATGACTTTGAAAAATTTATATTTCCGGCACAATTGTGTACAAAAGAAGAAAGAGATTAAGCGTTTATGCATTCAATCGGCATAGTGATTTGCAAGAATGGGGCACGGTTATATTAGCTTACCGTAATCTGAACGTTAAACTTAAAATATTTCGGGCGAAATATAAAATATTGAAAAAAAAAGCATTATTTTTTAATAAACGGTCTATCAAATAGTTAATTTGATTCTTTTTCCAAAATGAAATTGAAGAAATTCTATTGTTATCGTCATTCGATTGAAAACATTTATTTTTATTGGTTTTGGATGATTCAGAATTGAAATTGAAACAAATAGGATAACTAAATTATTCAAGATGATTCAGACAAAATTTCGAAAAAGAATTACGCATCATTTATTATGTGTAAAAATTAAGAATAATACAGAAATTTGACTGATTAATCACTTCTAAAATTATCCAGTCAGAGGGTTTTTTCATAATACACATATTGGTGCATTGGTGTGGAAATTGTCGAAAAAGCGCAAGCAAAAAAAAAGATAAACGATTACTTTTGGAAATCTTTGAAACCTTATCAAAAATATTTTAAACAAGAAAGGCTTTCGGGTATAATTAAGTTTAAAAACGTACCAATAACGAAAAGCATTAGTTCTAGACGTTTAATATGCTGATAGATGATTAAAAAAACTATTTTTAACATTATTATCATGATATGCCCATCTTCCTCCTTTTTTGGAATTTATCAAAAAAACCCCAATTTTCCGCAGTCGAGTTATAAATGGTCCATACGAACATCAATTATTAATTTCTAAAATTAAAGCCGGACTGAAATATTTTTCAGATTCTTGGCACATTAAACATACATTTTTGATTTTAGGATAAAGCTATAACAATAATTTTCATGCAATAACTAGTCGTGAAATATTATTTACAGTATTACGTCAAAGGTTCAGAAAATTTTTAGATGTTGTGGTCTCGAAATGGAAAACAGGTCACGAGATTTTCCTGTGCGTCGTACAATTTTAAATTGCGATTGCAATTAAAATCTTAATTTTTCGTGTCGCGTTTACATTACATTTGTAAAAAGTGAGCACCTTGTGCACATTCACGGTGAGTTTGATTCGCAGAATGTCTGTAATACGGTGCCCGAATTCCCACTTTTTGAATTCAAGTTTGAATTTCCGCCTTGAATGGTCCACAATTTTTCACATCGCTTCTTAATTGCGTTGGTAAAATTTTCGATTTGAACTATGGGAGTTGGTAATCCGTATCACCTGCAAATCAAACTCTAATGGACCTTTTTGCAAATTTGCCATTTTTATACTAATGTAACCACGTATCATTTCTCGTATTTGCTAAAATGACTTTCGAATATTTTGCATTACGCTGTGAACAGGTTAATAATATATAAATAACATATGCGCGGGTTTTCGTTTTTGAAATATTTCATTATCTTGGTCCTGGCTTTTCAAATTTGAAAATATTGTTTCTTAAATTATTTTTCTCGTATAGCTACAATATTTTTTTAAAGAAAATGGGTGATGATTTGCTTGGATCCATTATGGGAGGTATGTCGACAAGCTCGACGCCTCGTCCAACTGCTGCGCGTGGAGAAAGACCTCCACTTGGTAGTCGGCCACCGATAGGATCGCGACCACCTCCTGCTAATATTTCTCAAACTGGTTATAAAAATGTTAATAATTTTGCTAATGTTTAGAATTTTAAGGTCCTCCGAATGCTCGGCCTTTTCGTATTCCTAAAAGACAAACAGAAGCTAGAGAAGTTAGTTATTTTCCTATAAATGGTTCAAAGGATAGATAAGGCTTATCCAATTCTTTGGCAGTTTTTTTTACATCTACATTGTTAAAATTTTAGGGTCCTGACCATAAAAGACCATATGACGGTTCAAAAAAACGTTCGTTATATGTTATTGCACTATTTATTTTGATTTTTTTGATTTAGCCATTTTTGCTGATGGAAACTCTGGTCGGGATATTTTCACAACTAAATCTGATGAACTTATCCGTGTAAATATGTTCTCAGTCGATACATCCGGAATGCCGCCAGTTATCGAGAAGTTTCATTTGGATCTGTAAGAATTCAACAATTGAATACCTACTTTTCCTCATTATTTCAGCTATGCTGTAAGCAAAAAAGGAAAAGTTTCAATGGTAAACGACATGAAAACAGGCCATGGAGAGTAAGATATTGTGTTAACATCATCTTTTACAATTTTTATTTATCGCAAAGCAACGTAGTTGAAAAATATCGGTTTCGCCTATGTTCATATAAATGCTTTATTTCAGCCTTTCAAACGTTCGACGATTGTGGGGGTTGATGAACATCTGGAAGCATATTCCTGAAAAACGTCGGGATTTATTTTCCAATCTCAGTTACTCGCAATGCGTATATGATTGTGGATCGGCTTTTTACGTAGAAGAAGGAAAATACGTTGGCCAAAGCGAAGAGCAGTTTGATCTTTCACTTCCTGAAGATGTTGAACCATCGGTAAAAACTTTATTCGTATAATGGGAAAACCAATTCGTTTTTAGCGTCTTTCTGCTATTAACCAACTTTCTCGTGGCGTAATTGTTAAGATTATTGTAAAGATTATGCGAATCTCGGATGAAGCGGCAAAGGTGGGGTCCAAACATATTCCTTCATCTTTCTGAAACATTTTTCATCTCCATTTAGATTTCTACACAACCGCCAATGGTATACGAATCTCCAAATTGTAACGAAATGGTAAGATTTTTGGAGGCTGCATTTTCGCAGGCAACTAATACGAGGTATTTCTATTCCAAAACACCAAAGTTTTTTATTTTCGTTAAAAGGGATTATTTCAACTTTGGAAATTCTACTTTCCATCGCTCAAGTGATGTTACGGATGATAATCAGCTTGATAGAAGCTGCCAAATTGATTCCGAAGGAATTGAGATTAAAACGGGATTTACTAAGTCCATTCGATTGGTAAATGGAAATGCAGGTGGTGAGCCGCAATTCGTCATGATGATTGATGGTAGATCAAAAATTCAACCCTTCAAATTAATTTTAAATTTACAGTTCGTCGCTCACCGTTTTATCAGGAATCATCTGTTCTTAAATTCATGGCAAAACTTATCAAGTGCGATTGTTTTATTTTTTTAGTTTTTTTTTTTTAAATATTTTTTTTGTTTTAGTAGTCAAGGAGGTGGTAGAGGCGGAAGAGATAATGGAGGAAATCGGTATGGAGGTGGCCGGGATCGTTATAACAGAGGAGATTATCGTCGTGACGACGACGACGCTGATGTGAGACGGGCTCTTGAAAAATTGCAAAGAATGTCGGCAGATCAAGTTCGAAAAGTTCTCGAACCACTTCGATCGATTGCTGTGTCCGCGAAACACAATAGCGCGGATAGAATGAAGCTTTTCTTCCTATCTGAATTTGATTTTAGAAACCACGAAGAGTTAGTTGTATTTTTTTAATTGAATTGATTATTTATTATTTTAGTGTCACGTTTGAATTTTCGAAAAACGGTGAATCAAAAATAATTACGGTAGACGAGTATTTCCGAAATGAGAAGTCGATTAATTTGCAATATAATTATCTTCCTTATGGAATCGAGCGTAAAAAAGATTCCGTTTCATATCATCCGCTTGAGTTATTGGATATTGAACGTGGCCAGCGTGTAAAACAAAACAATATTCCTCCTGCAGTGGTATTTGATCAATTTGCAATCTTTCAATAATTTTTTTACATTTTCAGCACAAAGAAATGACAGGAAAGTTTTCGATGATTCCAGAAAAACATCTTGAAAGATATACGAAGATTCTTCGTGATGTTTTGAAAGTTCACAATCAAAAAACTTTGCGTGCTTTCGGAATTAAAATTGATGACGAGCCTATCATGACTCACGCCAAAGTTTTGCCGCCACCAGTCGCGCGAGCCGGAATAGAGTTTGTTTAACTGCTCTTAAATAATTAATCCTCTTTTTAGGGCATGTCAGCCAAGGAATGACCCCGAACGACCTCAAATCAAATTGAATAAATTTGCAAATCCTGCAAAATTATCGGCCATCACATTCGTATGCTTTGACAGTGTATCTGAAAAAGATGTGAAGTATACACTACATTATAAAGTGTTATGATGGCGACTTATCGTTGATCTTTGGCAGACATTTTGAAAGCGGCTTGCTTAGCTATATGAACTTTTACAAAATGGAATTATCGAAAAAACCTGTCTTGGAATATTGCGGTGAAAAGGACGAACAAACTTTGAGGAACATAATGTTACGGGCGAAATCTGAAAAAAATTCGTTAGTTCTTGGAATTACTAAAGATGCGAAATCAGATGCACATGGTAAATATTTTTTCTTTCAAGTGTTTCTCATATTTAAAATTTAGATCTTTTGAAGCTGCTAGAGGCTGAAACGGGCCAGCAAACTTACCACTTGTCATTTGCAATTGCCATGAAATGTGGACCAATGGGTAAAGAAGGAAGAATGCCCGAAAAATTACCCGTGGTATTATATTACTATTTTGTTTATTTTTTGTTCTTATTCCTCTGGAATTTCAGACAATTCAAAACGTGATGCGAAAGTTCAATCTCAAGGCAGGTGGACTCAATTTTAAGATTGAGGTTCCATCGCGATGCAAAAACCAAGCAGTTTGCACTGTTGACAACAGATCGTAGTTATAGTTTCTAAGCAATAGTTTTAAGCAATTGTTTTAAGAATCGATGACAAACTATTCAAAAAAACAATGTTTGTTGGATTTGAATTGTCGCATGCGGGGGCTACTTGTCTCTATGATCGTCAATACAACATTGTATGCGGTGTTCCGTCAATTGTTGGTGTAGGTTTCAATATTAAAAATGAAGAATCGATCAAAATTTTGGTATTTTTCAGTTCACATATTCTCTTGGTATCTCCACCGATCTTGGTGGCTTCCCGTATCTTCAAAAGCCAAGAGAGCACAAGCTTCAGTATGCTGGGCTTCTTTTTACAATCTTGTATTCCGTATTGCAGATATCTTACTCGTCATTTTCCAGTTTCCGTTTTGAGTTATTATAAAAAGTCTAAGACGTTGCCTGAGAAAATCGTAATTTATCGATCTGGAACTGGAGAAGGAGGTTTTGAATCCGTAAGTAATATCTAATTAATTGTTTGAAAGTTGTTTTTTATTAGGCAAAAACGGAAATAGAAGAAATCGAAAAAGCTGTTATGAGCCACCACGAAATCACAAAAATCAATGGTGGAAACCCCTACAAACCAAAGTTTTTGCAAATTATCGTTACGAAGAATGCTAAATATAGGTACTAATTATATGTGTATGTATATCTTATTATAATATTTAATGTTTAGACTCTTCCCCTTTGAATTCCATGGCTCGAAGCCAAACGAGCAAAACGTGAAGTCAGGAACTTGTATCGAACATTCTGTTACATCTAGAGGAGTGCAAGAATTTGTTCTTGTATCTCAATCCGCCGTCATTGTATGTTTTCAATTCGTTGTTATCTTCAATATGAAAAAATCAATTTTTCAGGGAACCCTTCGGCCAACAAAATACAGCGTCCTTCGAAATGATATGAAATGGTCTTTGACCGAAGTTTCTCATTTAACATATTTTCTCGCATATGGGCATCAAGTATCGTATCAGCCTCCCGCAGTTCCAGACATTCTTTACGCCGCTGAGAACATGGCAAAACGAGGACGCAACAATTTCAAGACTTATCAGTTAATTTAATGGTCCAGAGAGTATTATATATATAAATTAATCTCAGGAAACTGCAAGCGATTAGCCGCGTTGATCGGAGAGACGCCAACGAGGACGTCGATGGACAAATTATGGACGGTTTGACGGCAAAGTTCGAATCGGTTGATCTTCAGTGCAAGCAATATTGGGCTTAAGTACTTTATTTTTTTTTAATCAATTCCCATTTATAATATCAATTCACCAACTACTACAAAGAATTCTCGAATTTCCACTATCGGTTTTACTACTTCGCGTTCTACTAACGGAAACCGAAATAATTTTATGAAAGTTCCCGATTCCCGATATCGAAAATGTTATTTTAAATTTTTTCTCTTTTATCGATTTTATTGTTTTATTCAAAGTTGTATGCAAGTATTTTTCATGCCCCTAAGCCTTTGAAATCTCAAAATTTTTTTAACGTTAACCTTTTTATTTAGGATGTTTTCGTAGCTATTTGATTTTTTGTAAATTGTGTTCTTTTATTATAGCTACTGCTCGCGTTACTTGTTCTTTTCTTGTTAAAGATTCTATCGTTAATTTTCTCCTTGCAAGAACCGTTTCGATGTCCACCGCGTTGATAAGGTAATTGCAGTTGTTGACAATAATAAAAAGAGTAATATCTTTTTCGTAATTAAACCAATGAATTGGCACTTTTACGGGAAATGGTTGGTGTGAGGATTCGCTTTTAGCAAGCGACGGAAGAATCGGTTCGATTCATACATAGATTAGCATCTATTCGGTCATGAGCGAATACAAATCTAATTCGCCATCTTCATCGCCGCCCAAATTCGCCAAATATTGTGCTTGTGTGTTCACGAGTGTGTTTAAATATATTCAAATGAATCCGGCAGCATGTAAAAGGCAAATGACTCATTTGGCACGCAAAATTCGACATGTGCTCATATTGGGACGCGCGAGCCGAATCGGCGATTGGGTCTTTTCTTCCATGCCCTCGTTTTTCATTCGCATTCTCATCATTTTCAGATATTTCACATTTCCCTTATATTGTTCGCTTTTGTGTGCGGAGCTGCTTGGTACACGCGAACAATTAATATGTGGGCGATGAAAAACATTGGAGATACATTCCTCCGCAAAGAAATCAGTTTCGTTGTTCCGAATTCATTTTCAATGTGTCGGTGATTTTCAGATTCACGCCAAATTATTTTGGGCGCATTTTGGAGGGTTGAACACGAGCAGAATGTCGATGGAAGATACGCAGTCATTCATTTTCTCGGCGACGGACGAATCGAACATCCGCTTTATTGTCTTTCGATCCAGGCGAATAATAAATATTTAAGTAAGTTTATCGACAAATATGTCATTTTGATTTTAAAAAAACGACGAATTGATCTATTTCGTCTTTTTCTTCGTCTTTCTTATCTAATTCTTGTCCTCGAAATGCGCAACAAAGAAAATATCCAAAAAAATGTTTGTGTTTTGTAGTCAAACGATAAAATCCAAATTTTTATGTGGAAAAGTAAACAGTGGCGATTGTCCACATTTTATTTAAGAGATTCTTGTTTTTAATATAGATATTTTATAGTAACTCGGGCGAATGTTCAACGGATACACCGTGGAAAACGAGCATCGTCGGATATTTGCTCATGGGCGGGACATATTGCGGAGTGTGCGCTTGATGTGCATTCATTCAAAGAATTCAAGTAATCGAGTTGACTAATCGAAATCCAATGGTCAAATCATTTTTATCAGAATTAGCACAACTCCGAATATCGAAGACGCAATGCTGATTGCACCAGAAGCCCCATTGAAGTTTGATTCGCATTCATGTTTGAAGGCAACAATTCATATTTTCAGAGAGAAGAAGCATGATATGGTTGTGTGCATGGCTCCAATGTATATATATACGGATTGGGAAATATTAATAACTGGAATTGGTTTGAATTTTGTTCATTTCAAACAATCGATAACCTTCTAGAAATTTGGTTGGCGATGGGCGCCACGAAAATCGTGGTACCGGTGCAATCAGCTTCAGAAACAACATACAAAATACTGCAAGAATACGAACGAATGGGAATTGTGATAATCCGACATTGGCCGAAATGGCCAGTCCTTTCCGACACAAATCCGAATGGACTTGTGTTGAGTCGCGGAATCGAGGAATCGCACGTTAACTGTCTGTTCTTCGTCAAACCATGGGCCGATATCGCCGTCTTTTCCGATATTGATGATTTCTTGTTGCCACTTCAGCCCGACAAATTCAATATTGGTGACAATTTGCAAATTTTGAGGGTGAGTTGTTTCAGGAAAAAAGGATTCTTTTAAAAAATTTTTACTGTTTGAAATGAGTACAATCAATTCTTCGAATAAATCTCTAAATCAAGTTTTCAGAAAAAAATCAGCAATCAATAAACAATAACAATTATTCAGAATTTATTTGCTGAGCATCCACAAGCAGGATCATTATTATTCGAACACCGCGATGTTCAATTTGTGCCTCCGAATCGACAAAATGACCAAAGTCTTTCAAAATTCAACTTTGAATTTTTGAGAAACTCCAAAAATAAAATGAATTGCAATGTTTGGAGGATGAAGACGAGAGTTGTTGTAAATGCAAGTACGTCTTTTATTTCGCTATCTTGGATATCATAAATATGAACAAAATTCAGGCCGAGTTGATAGTGTGAACATGCACGAGGCGGGAATCCATCGATTCGGATACATTCAGACGCGGGTTCCATGCCGACAGGCTCATTTTTACCATTTACGGCATTCTCATAATACAGTTCCTTCGCCGACTCCAATCAATATGGGAGCATTATCCGATTTGCTCAACAAGTGAGCATTTTCGGTTTTCAATGGAAGAGAATCTGATTGATTGCAGACGATGGAGTGAAAGACTTGAACAATTCTCAGAATTCAAAAACCAACTTGTGAATAAGACAAACACGGAATATTTAGAAGTGAGAACAAATCAGAATAGTTTAAATAAATAAATAAATCACAAACGTAGGATTTCGATCGATGTATGGGAGCAATCAATGATGAGCATTGGTCAATGAAGGTTTGATTTTTTCTTGATAATTTTAGGATTTCGACCAAAATAATAATGTTTTTCGACTTCGTGGAATTCGTTTAGAATTTGTGCACATCTTCAGCAGAATCTTATAAAATCTGGCTGAAAGTCGGTGCATTTTTTTAACGTGCCTTAGCAGACTTATTTAAGTTTTTTTTTTTAAATAAAAGCCTGCTAAATAATTGCGCAAACTCTGCACGACTTTTTGCGGAAAATTGAGAATAGTGGACCATCGCGCATTTTCGAGGCGCTAATTCAAATTTGAATTAAAAAAAAACAATGGGCTATGATGAAAACTGCCAATCAAACTCACCGTATATCGGCGCAAGGTGCTCGTTTTTTTGCGAATGTAATATGTGACCGAAAAAAAATCAAAATTTCTTATTTGTTTATTCGTTCAATCATTTTTGGATCGAGCATCCACAAAAGAAATGAAATGATGTGTATTGAACCTCCAGAGATGTACTAGACGATAACAAGGGCGGCTACAAAATGACGATAAAATCGAAATGAGTATCGGGAGATCAATGTTTTTATTTTTCGCAGGTTTCACGTTGTCTCACACCTCACGTGTGTTTCAGTCGAGTTCGTCGACAAGCTGACTGCGTCGCCGTCAGCGCCGATTACGAGTTTTACAGATCTGGTCGCGGGTATTTCATTAACGCAATGAACAGTGAGTTTTCAAACGAAAATCGAGTCATTCGTGAGTTGCTCACTCGTTTTCTTTTTTCAGCAACAATTCAAAAATCGGAAACTAATTGCGAGTCACCTGTGCCAGTTTTCACATCAGGAAATCACTATTTTGCGCCGTAATAACAATTCTGTTTAGTTCTTTTTTTTTGTTGTTTTGTTTCTCCAGAAATATGAATGTTTTTATTGAGGAAAATAGAAAAAAATTAATAAAATAAATACGAAATGAGATCACAATATTACAATAGGTTTTATTTTGGAAAAGAACATTTTTTGAGAAAATTTGGTCGTTTTTCGAAAGTAATTTTCATAAAATTTTAAAGGGTCAGAAGCTTAAACTTGATTTTTTCTTTAAAAAAAACGAGCACCTTTGGGGATTAGTTTGGGGGGTGTTTGGGGATTATTTTCACGTTTTTGACCCAATATTTCAAATTGGAATTTAAACAGTGGAAAAATGGGTACCGTACTATGGATAACATGCGAATCAAACTCACGGACTTTCTTAGATTACAGTAACGGAGGCGCTCGTTTATTTTGCGATTGTTATTCTAATTTTCGCAAAAAATATTTGCTTATATTCTCGAAATGGGCCTCTGGACCTTTAAAATCATCTCAAAAAAACACACACACACAAACGCACTAATTTTTCTCGTTTAACAAATCTCCACTGAATAAAAAAGTGAGCAGGTAGAAAAATGAAAGAATTGTTTTCAAGCGGAAACTAAAAAAATTGAAATAGCAAAAAACGAAAAAAAAAAGAATCCCGACGATATTTTACCCAATTTGGAGATAATCAAATAAAATTAATAATTAATTATCTTCGATGCTGCGACTGATAATGATGATACTTGCGCGGATGGATGTACTCATCATTTTGCTTCGACGATCCCGACGATATGGTTCGTTTGTCCTGTTCCTTGTTTTCGTCAAAATTACGAGAATTGCATGTCACACCTCGTACCTGATCGTTTCGCTCTTCGCTGAAATCTTCGTCGTCCTCCTCAATCATGTCATCGTCAAAGTCCGATTCGGATTCCGACGACTCGTCGCGTACTGAAAACATTCAATTAAGAATTCGTGTAGGGGAAATGCGTCGCTAGTTAGTTTGGTTAGTCAGAAAACAAAAAGCTACTCGAAAGCGAGTATCCGAAGAGGAAGACGGCGTGTTTGGCGATCTCGCGAGACAATTCGAATGGACGAGCTGCAACAGCGAATGAGAGCGGAGCACACATAAGCGGACACAACGGCGAATGCTCAAACACAACAATTTGGTACCGAGGATTCCGATTTTCTGTCCGAGCCAACGCGCTTTCTGCACAACGTCGTCTTGCATTAGTTTGAAACACATCGCTGCAATTTTTTTTGTTGTTTTCAATCAAATATTGCGTTCGCCAAAAAACAAGCAGCCTGCGCCGATTTACGGTATGTTTGACTCTCAGGTTAACGGTATCCGAATTGCGGTCCACAATTGTGCAAGGCGCTCGTTTTTTTGGCGATGATATTAGTACGAAACAATTCATTGATTATAATTGCCGGAGTCAAACGAGTGAACGAAATTTAAAAAAAATTGGCTATGTGCCATTGCGTCTCGAGGCAGCGAGAATTACGCAAGACTACGTACTAGCATTATAGTGTACGCGCATTTAACATTCAGACAACGATAAATTTAAATCAACAATAATTTCGCGAATTTGAATGACCCACCTCTCTTCAGTCGTTTGACGCCGACAATATTTTCTAATAAATTCAAAAAATGGTTACCGATCAATGCCATTCCAAAAAGAAGATAAAGTGCACAGACGACGAGCTTCTCTTGACTGCCTTCATCAAGAGCCTGTCCAGGAACAATATCGCCGAACCCGATTGTGCTGAATTATTCATTATTATCGCAATTGCTGTTATTTTTTGTTCAATTTTTCAATTACCTCAAAGTGATAAAACAATAGTAGGCGCCATCGAACCCGTTCCAATTCTCCCACCAGGCGAATAGCCAAGCGCCACCCGAAATGAATGCGAATACTATGCAGATGCCAACACTAACTGGCATTTTCTCGTGACTACGATGACCCTTCAAACAAATATTCGTGACTATTCCATTAACCGATGTTAGACCCACATTTCGTCTCAACGAATGCAGCGACATTTCATCGGATCGTTCTGATCTGTCCGATCGGTATGATCGACCATCGAAGTCGCGCATTCTGGGACATTTTGTAGCAATTATTGAAAAAAAATTAATCAAGAATATACCTTCTCGAAGTACTACTATCCATACTTGGCTGCTTATGACTCATCGCATGCATCATCATTTCTTTTTCTCTGCAATATTCATTATTAAGGATAGATGCTAACCCAAAATATTCGAGTTTCAATTTTTAGTTTTTTTTTAATTTACTCATTAAATGTTGTAAAGCTAGGAAGTTATCGCAAAAAATTCGAAAAAATGGTCAAAAACTATTTTTTTAACCCCCTATGCAAACTGCGCAAAAAAAAAACTTTTTTTTTTAATTATCGAGTTTTTTTTTAAATCTGCATAGCACTTTTATTGAACGGAAAATTAGAAAAAAATTGACCTGAATTCTCTAGAATTTTTTCTTCCTGGTTGGGGTAACCTTTGAATATCTTCATCATCGGTAAGCGACATCTAGAATTTAGATATTAAAACTAAAAAATGATGATTTTAATGAATACGCTAGTCTCTTCGGTTTTCTCGACGTCGCTTTTGACATCGTCGTCGCGAGATCTTGAAATTATCACATTTGGAACACCCGACTCATCTTTTTTCCTCCTGAATCAATCATTTCAAAATGTTTGTATTGAAATAGCTCGAGCGAATAACCTTGTGACGAGCTCGTGGAACGCCGCCGCTGATCCGCCATAAGCCTTCAGATCAACAACACCTTCATCAGTCGGATGCTGAGCTCGAACCAGCAATCCGCCACCTTTGTACTCTCTCGCAGGACTTTCACTGACTGCATGTCGTGCTCGTCTCCGCTTCTTTCCTTCGTCAAAATACAATTGCTCCATATTTATGGCGGTGTTTGATTTCTGAAGGTGTCCTCCACGGAAACTTCTAAATTCTTTTCCTTCGATTACTATTTCAAAATCAATAAAAATACCTTTTTTGGAAGTTTGACGGAGGTCGTGGAATTGTTCCGTTCGGACTTCGATTCTGTGTACTGATTTTCCGCCGGCCAGGCAACGACATGGTATCAAAACGATTTGTTGAAGTTGTCTCATACCTTGATATTGTTTTATTTCGCATTATTTCAAATCGATGTTCATTATTTGTCTCACCTATTGAAGCTTCGAACACTTTTCGTATCATTGCTTTTTGTTCTTGATCGATTCAAAGATGCATGCCTTCGAACAGTATTATATTTCTGATTCGATCTTGATGATTGCACTGAAAGTGGGCCATTTGATGAAATCGAATTTGTTTTGAAATCACCTCGTCGGACATTGACGGCAGCGTTCGGATGGTATCTGAATGAAAGTGCTGCTCGTCGAACCCGTCGCCGATTCTTTTGCCATCGGCAGTAGGCGCAGCAGAGTTTGAAGTAAATGTAAGTGAACACCTGAGCGAGAGTTTCGGCGATGTTCGCAAGACAAAGAAGCATTAACGGAATGCCGAGCATCGAGTAGAAAATTGTCAATAGACGGCCGATATCCGTTTTCGGGCAAATATGACCATAACCTGCAAATTCAATCAAAATCAATCAATCAATCGAAAATTATTAATTATATTGTCGGAGTCAAACGACTTGGCGAAATTTTTTGGCTATGTGAAAATGCGTCTCGAGACGTCGAGAAGTATAATGCAATGTACGCAGAGACGTCGAGACTGCGTACATTGCATTATAGTGTACGTGCATTTAATATTCAGTCAACGATTAATTCAAATCTACACTGATTTCGCGAATCTTTAGTCGTTTGACGCCGATAAAATGTATATTTTTCTTTTATCTCTTTTTACAACTGAAAAAGGGGCCATGAATGTTTTAAAAGTTGAGATGAAATCGAACTATTAAATTTTCTTTTTTTTTTTTTAATTTTTAACCATTTCGACCTTTTACCAATTAAAGTGTCTATTAATGTTCAATTACTGAATGATTTTGTTATTCTAAAAAAATAATAAATTGATTCCAAAAATGGTTAAATTTTGCTTAGGAAAAGTTGAAAATATTGGAAAAAATTTGAATTTTTTTATTTATTTTGAAAATATACCAAGCGATTGAGACTTTCGCGTGAAAACAGACACCTAAAAATTTGGAGGCGAGAATTGAATTTTCTGCGGAAATTTCGTTGAAAAAAAATTTTTGAAATCTTTTTTCCCCCGAAAATTTTCTGAAAAATAACGAAACCTATGGTTGTGAAAACCGTAATCGAATATAATAATGCTCCTGAGAACGTCCATTGAAATGTCGGTCTTTCTTCGTCGCGTTCATCATAACCTTGAAAAATAATCAAATAATTTTTAGCGGGCGAGAAAAACCTTCGAAATTCATGGCATGCACAAGAAGCATTTCAAATTCTTTCAATGCCCATTGAGACTCATTTTTCACCGCATTCTCCTCGATCACATTTTTTGTGTTGATAAACTGATAAATGTCGTTGACCACTTTCCATGAGCCGTTTTTCACTTTGTCTTGAAGACCCAATTCATACGGATATTCGACAGCCTAAAATGGGCTTGTCGAAATGTACAATGAATGTGTGAAACCTGGAACATGAAGGCTCCTGCGACGGCATATAAAGCAACGAGAAAACATAAACCGACATGGGTTATTGTGAAGATTGTCGCCTAAAATCGATATTATGTTCCTTGCAAATATTAATTAAAAAAAATAAACAAACCGATCTGATGAAGGTGGTCACTTTAAGGCACAATGATCGAACCTCGTCTCTCATGGTTCGTTTCTTCTAATTTTACTTGATTTCCATGATTTTTATTAGCAAATCGTGGAATTTTGCTGCAAATATGATGGAGGTTCTTATAAAAAAAAATATATCATATCGACGGCAGCGGAATTCGTGTGGATTTACGAGCATTCGTTATCCGCTATGGTCTCGCCACATTTGAATACTTTTTATTCGATTCTCGTGTCTATTTTTTTTTAATTTTTTATGAGATTGACATTTCCTTCAAAAATTTTTGAAAATTAAAAAAAATCATCGAGCATTGTGAATCTATTCAGTTCTTGCAAAATTTTCGAATTTTTCATTTCCAATAAAATCACACAAAAATTATCAAATTTCACTATAAAAATGACTATTTCGATAATTTTTAAAAAATAATTCTGAATAGGTCAATTAGAAAGGGAAAGAGCCTGTGATCAGAGCTCGTGAATTATTTTTGCCACAATCGGACAACGACTGAAATCAGATGAAATATGTATCAATTCAATCGGAGATAGAAGAGTTTTCGAGCAATTTCTCATCTCTATTGTGTTAAGAAAAAAAAAACGAAAAACACTTGCAAAATTTCGCGCTTCTTTTTTTTTTGAAACGCCAGGACACGGAAGTAAAAAAAATGCGAGTAAATCGAGTTGAGATTTGTTCTTTTTTTGCAGACAATAATGAGTTGAAATGCTTCAGAATAAAATCGAACACGAAATTTTTAATTCATTTTTAAATCCTATATTATTATTCAGGCGACATTATATGCAAATATTGCGATTATCATTATAACCATATATAGAAAATATAAAAATATAGAATCGGATAGAGAAAATGGAACAAATTTCTAGGTCTAAAAATTGAAAATATGGCATTTTCTTTTTTGGCAGAGCAAAAATATATTAATCAATGAACAACGAAGCATTTTGCATTTTATAACGTATTAATCAACTAGCTGAATCAGTAGCAATTTTTGCAACCAAAAAAAAGATGAGTTTGAAGAGCAGCTCAATGTCAAACTATATATGAGATAGTAAAAAGTGAATAGATATTTGGAAGCGAAAAGAGAAGAAGACGAAGAAAAAGACAAGCAAAAGTTATCTTTTCCGAATAATGTGTTGGACCGAAAAAGGCGAAGAAGTCGAAGTTTGAAGACGAAGAAGAAGAAGAAGAAGAAGATACACACGAGATTGAAAAAATGACGATGACGACGGGACGAGCGAGATATAGCGCTTATGGGGATTGCGGCTCAAACATTTCCCATTGGGAGCTCGCCGCCGTCGACGACGACGACGATGCCGCCACCAACTACATAAGACACGCTCGGGTTCTGTCGGCTGTGTGTGTATGTGTGTTGAGGCTCTTCCGGTTGTGAGCACAAGAATGGCAAGAGCAAGATGATGCTGCTCGGAGGACCGACAACAAACCCTAATGCGGGGGACATAATTAAACGAATCCGAAGTTTATCAGCATTACGAGTGTTGAATGTGAAAACGATTCGCTTATTGATTCCGTATTTTTAAAATGATTTTTTTCATTTTGAATTAAGTTGGTCCCAATTTTAGACCATAACATTTCGAAATTTAAGATGTTAAATTAACAGTTTAAAAAATAAAAAAATTTATTTTGGGAAAAACTATTGAAGAGAAGAGTCTAAAAATATTTAGGGATAAGCAGAAAACTGTCGGAAACGGAAAAAATATTTTCGAAAATTATTAGCTGTTGAAGACATTTTCACAAATAGTGCAGAAATCCGCGCAATAATTCATTTTATTTTTATTGAAAACATCTGCGTTTCGCATCAAAATTGCTCATTTTGACAGAAATCCTCAGCGTCACATGTGGTTTTTAGGAGAAATTTGTGCGAATTTCAAAACAGCCAAATCGTGAGTACTAGCAACACATAAAGCCGGCCGGACAAGACAAAAAAATGTGAAGTGTGTTATGTTTCATTCAGAGACAAACGAATTGCGATCCCTTGAGGATATCGAAAGAATGACTTGAGATCGGCATGAGAAAAAAATTTGGTTTTTTTTCATACAAGATTTTGACTTTATTTAATTGATGGCATCATTACAGCGTGCTCTAAAATAAATATTCACAACCATGAGAAGAATTTGGGAATCGCTTATAAAAATAATATATTTTTAAAATTCTTATCCGAAAGTTTTTTTTTTCATTTTTTCGAAGCAAAGAAAAAATTAGGCGAATCTCCACTTCGAATTTTTTAAATTCTATCCTTTCTGCATGGCTAACAATTATCTATTCTTCTTGGGAAAAAAAGGTATTATTTGAATGAAGCAATGTCAAAAATGTTCATTGATTTATCGAGAACGTTCCAATCAAACACATTTCCTTGGCCATGAGGGATTGAATTTAGCACCAAAAAAGTATCAATTGGACACAAAAAAATAGAAGTCATCAGTGGTAAACCCTCGAATTTTTCTTTTTTCTCAGCTTTTCCTGTACTCAATCAATAGCTATGCATATGGTTACCATCTCATATATTTTTATGCGCAGCCATTTCACGAATCGATTCAAATCCAATAAATCTTTCTTCCATTTTTCCCCATAATTTCGCTTTTGCAAGTACGCAGCAAATTTGTTTTCAGTTTACCTGACAAGGTGTCGGGAGCAGTTCGCCCGGGTGTGACGCCAATTGCCCTTCTGGTCTAGTCGTCCAAGACCTGCACCTTTGGGCGATGAGCTTTGAGTAAATCGGGCTACCTAGAGGGGAAGAAGGGGAAACGCGAGGAAATGTTTGCTCCCCCCCTCGGGTTAAATGCTCCGAAATTCGCTGAATAGTTATTACAGAAAAAAAGTGGCAACTGGTACATTCTCAATAATATTTGAGTGTAATTTGCCAAATGATTTCACCAAATGATCATATTTTCAAATCCCAAAAACGAAATCGTCTTTGTCAATCGATTCAATCTTTTTATTCCTATTTACTCCGAACAAATGTCCTTTCTTCTGGTGAAAAAAAATAAATTAATGGGCGGGTCAACTGGCAGCTGTCGGCGATTTTCGCGTCCACACCATTCGTTCATTTGAGCACTTTTTTTCGAGTCGAAATGAAGCGAATCGCTTTATTTTTGGCTCTGATTCCTATATTCCACGCGATTTTTCTTCGCGATCCCGTTATTCTATCGGATAATCAGCAGCTGAAATCCGGAAAAAATAGATATGAAGAAGGGTATTTGAAAGTGCCAATTGATCATTTCTCGTTCAATAATGACTACGAATTTGAACTCAGGTTTGAATTTCAATAATTGATTTTAAGACCAAGAAATGATTTTCAGATACTTCTTGAATACTACTCATTATGTTGAAGGTGGTCCGATATTGTTTTACACTGGAAATGAAGGAACCCTTGAGGCGTTTGCTGAGAACACTGGATTTATGTGGGATTTGGCCCCCGAGCTCAAAGCAGCTGTCGTATTTGTTGAGCATCGATTTTACGGCAAATCGCAGCCCTTCAAGTAAATTGATACATAAGGGATTGAATGAGATCAAAATTGGAATGTTGAAGGAGCGAAAGCTACAAGAACATCAAGAATTTGGGATATTTGTCGTCACAGCAAGCACTTGCCGATTTCGCGTTGGCAATTCAGTATTTCACAAAGGAGAAAATCGCCGGAGCGTCGGAATCGCCGGTGATTGCGTTCGGAGGATCGTACGGCGGAATGCTCGCCGCGTGGCTTCGATTGAAATACCCGCATCTTGTTGACGGAGCAATTGCCGCTTCAGCTCCAGTCTTCTGGTTCACCGATTCCGACATTGCCGACGATACCTATGATTTTGTAAGCAATGAGAGTTCAACACAGCTCATTCGATTCCGGTTCTCTAGATCGTCACTCGCGCTTTCCTTGACGAAGGCTGTAGCAGAAAAGCAATCGACAAGGGATGGTTGGCATTGAACGAGTTGTCGGCAACTGAGAATGGCCGGAAATTCCTCAACGAATTGTTCCGACTCGATGAGAAATCATTGATCGATAAGAAAGAGGACGTCGAGTTTTTGAAGGTTTTCCGAATATTGAGCAATCAATTTTGAGCATGAAATATGACATAGTTTAGGCTTATATTCGCGAATCGTTTGAAGCCATCGTTATGGTCAATTATCCATATGAATCTTCGTTTTTAAGCCCACTTCCAGCATGGCCTGTTAAGGTTTTCATATGAGCCAATTTCGAATAATCATCGCGAATTGTTCAGGAAGCTTGCAAGTTCGCTCAGGTGCCAGGAAAAACGGTTGAAGAAAGTGCTGAACAACTCTATAAGGTTCGAATTTCTTATTGTAATAATTGATATATGCTTAGCAATTAGATTGTTAATCTTTACTACAACTACACGGGAACCAAAACGACGCATTGCGCGAATGCTGAAAAATGTGAGAACGCGTTTGCGTCTCTCGGCGATCCGCTTGGATGGCCATTCCAGGTTGATCAACAATGCTCGATTGTGTGTTCAATTATTCGGTGAAATTCAGACATGCACTGAAATGGTGATGCCATTGTGTGGAAGTGGATATCCAAACGATTTCTTCTGGAATGATTGTCCATTTACAATTCCAAAGTGGTCCGAATATTGCAAGAAGACATTCTCATCGATTGGATATAACTCGACACTTCTTCGACCAACTGCCGGCGGCAGAGCATTCGGAGCCAAAAAGATGCCAATTTCAAATGTCGTATTCTCGTATGTCTCATTCATCTTCTAGATCATCATTCCGTTAGTTTAGGAATGGATATCTTGATCCATGGTCTGGCGGCGGTTATTCGAAGAACGATTCGGTTGAAGGATCAGTTGTCTCAGTTATCCTTAAAAAAGGAGCTCATCACTATGATTTGCGTGGAGCTCATCCTCAAGATACCGAAGAGGTTCATCGAATTTGAGATCGAAATAAAAACAAAATTCATTGAATTGGGTCGGTTTAGGTGAAGAAGGTGAGAGCAATGGAGACGGAGCAAATCAAAAAATGGATAAGCGAGAAACTTTTGGGCAAATTCATGAACGTCAAAAAATGGGATTATAGCGCTGTGGGTCCTCATAATAATTCGCTTACTATTTAATTGAATTAAATTTATATTTGATTGTCGTTCAATAAAGATTGTTTAATTGGCTGAAATTAGTTGGCGAAAGTGAAAACGCGAATTGTCTTGATTTAAATCGCGTTATTCAATATTGCAAAATCAAACAAATTGGGCATTGTTTGTGTTTTGTACACGTTCCGCCAATAAATATGTACATCATATTTGAGGACACTTGAGTGCGTATTTTCTTCGCAACTTCGAATTCATTTGCATTTCTTCTCCTCATCTCAATTCGCTTTTTTTTCCTGAATTTCTTATTCTATTTTTAGATCAAATCCTCTCAATAGTCGCATTCTGCTTAGCCGTTTTAGGTGTGTATTATTTGAATTGTCCCTCAAGTACAAAAAATATCAGCCGTCGGTCGTAGTTTTCCGAGGATATCGAATTTTAAATTCCAATTTTTTTTTGAAAATAAATCATTCAAAATAAAATAGGATGTGCATTTTCCTGGCGAGACCGCCCGTCTCCCCCAACAAATGTGCCAAATGAAACATATTGGTCACAACGCCTCTTTTTTTTTCGAACATTTGAATTTTCATAAATCGAAATGCCTATTCAATGAATAAATGTCATTGTCAAACAACGTGAGACTCGTTTCCAACATGTTTTTTTTCGTATCATTTTTTAGTTGCGAAAACTCGAGAATGTCTCTCATCGTAGCGGCGTCAAAAAATGAGTGTTGGTCAACAATTGGCTTCATTTCGGAACCGAAACGGTAAATGAATACTATTTTCGCGCAAACTTGAACAAGCGCAACTCGACACCGAGCCACACCTAGCTGTCAACTGGACGACGAAAATAGTTGGTTGGATCGAGAGACGCAGATAATCACCGTAACACTTTGACGCTTACGATTTATATTCATTTTCGTCCAACATTGGTGTTCATTTACCTGTAGGTGTCGGCAATCGAACTGATAGTACACATTGTATTTGGGTTTTACAAGTTTCCTGCCTTTGCGGAGCCCCATAATTGCACAGCTCTCTCGTAATTGCACACTATCTCATTGAATTCTTATCAGTCCAAATTTGGTATGCATATTGGCAAGGGCATCCATTGTGTGTTTGTTTCCCCCCTTTACGTACTCATTTTATTATATTTTGCACCTTATCCATATTTTTCTTTTTTTAGGTATGCTATGAAGGCGGCGAAATCGAAAAATGGTTTTCTCTCGCTATTCAAAAAGGTTTGGTTTTTTTTTGGTTTCATTCTCAACCGTTCGTTTTATTCCTCCAACAACGTTCCGTTTGCGCGCCGCAAAACCGGTCAGCGGATTGTCATAATCCGAGCCAAATTGTTTCTTATTCGAACAAAAATTCTTGAAATGTTAACTTGAAATGCTTGTTTCATTTAGCCTTTTTTTGCAACCAATTGATACAAAATTGTACCTGCTTGTGTCATTTTCCATCGCTTTTTTCTTGTTATCAAAAAAAGTTTGATAGATTGATTCAACCTTTCATTTAATCGAACACTTATCTCTCAAATTGATACAGTTCGACTCGTTTTATTCAGTTTGCTTTTGGTTTTGTCATAATTCAAAAAAATTGTCAAATTTTAAAATCTCAAACAAACTTTTCATAGTTTCTTGCTACATTTCTAAAAGTTTCGATTTCTTCTATAGTTTACATTTTTCTGAGTCATCGTAACTGTACTTTTTTTATTTCGAAACAAAATTTGATCAGCATAATGATGATGTCACACTGCTCGCGAATTTTTCCGACAATTATCAATTTCGTCGTTCAAATTTTGAAATGCATGATTGAATTTCCAAAATGTTGATAACAGAAATTCCAAAATATCTTTTTTTTTGGAATCGAACAACTAATTCATCAAATTTCCAGAAATCCGCTCCCGCTCCTCCACCGGTCGTCGAATCAGAGAACAATAGCAACGGGAAATTAGTAATCGACGAACAACGGTCAGTGGCTGAATGAACACACTCGATTGTGTGTTTTCGCATTATTATTCGATTTCATTCGAAGTCTGATCAGTGTATCTACCCGGGACAGGATTTCCCGGGATCCCGGGAATTTCGTTTCCCGGGTTTATCCGGGAAATCCCGGGACTCCAATCCCGGGTCTCGTCCCGGTTTCGTCCCGCAACTACCCGGGATCCCGGTATCTCGGGATCCCGGGATCCCGGGAAATTCATTTCCCGGGATGAGCGGGTTCCCGGGAAATCCGGGAAATTCCCGGGTTTCCCGGGAAATTCCCGGGAAACCCGGGACAATCCCGGGACAATCCCGGGAAAGTCTGCAAACACCGCGCGCGCAAACGCACACTCTTTGAATATTGCGTATTCTCGTTTCTTTTTAATGAATTTTCTTATTTTAAAAAGATTCCAATGCTTAGAAAATGGCGTAGGAAGTCCCTATTTGGAATTTTTAAAATTTGGCAGAAAAATGAGTACAATTGAAATGTGCAAATAACGATTTTTCCAAATTAGCAAGAATTTTATACGAAATAATGGTTTTAAACTTTTTTCAATATACTTTTTTCAACGAAAAAACTTATTGAAGATCGATCAAGTAAACAATAAATTATAATAATAAATAATATCGCTGATTCGATCTGAAAAGACTGACTGAAAAGATTCGATTTGAATATGTCGCGAATCAGAATGACAAAGAAAATAAGAAAACTCATAAAATTTCGAAAAAAAACGACAATACGCAATATTCGAAGAGTGTGCGTTTGCGCGCGCGGTGTTTGCAGACTTTCCCGGGATTGTCCCGGGATTGTCCCGGGTGTCCCGGGAATTTCCCGGGAAACCCGGGAAATGAATTTCCCGGGATCCCGGGATCCCGCGTTTCCCGGGAAACGAATTTCCCGGGATCCCGGGATCCCGGGAAATTAAGTTTCAATGAGTCCCGGGTCCCGGGAAAATTTTCCCGGGAATTTCCCGGGAACCCGGAAATTCCCGGGAAACTTCGTCCCGGGTAGACACACTGAGTCTGATAGAAGTGTTCAAGCAGCATTTCGGAAATCCCAGAGTTTCGGATTGTCTGGGCCGACTTTCGCCTCGTAATGCGCACCCATTTGTTGCCTCCTTCGATTCATATTCGTTGCCTTTTATATGTCAACACATTTCGGTTTTTTTATTCTTCTTCTTCTTCGTCTTCTTTTCCACATTGTCGCTTTTGTTTCCGAACAACTCAAAAACAGTACAGTCGTCCGAAAACCGTTCAACACCACTGCGCGTTTCGCATAATTATGCACTTTCATCTGTGCTGCTGTATGCCGTCAGCCGCTAAGCGCTTTCCCATATTTAGTATTCGTATTTTTGCAAAACGTGATTTCATTTCAGACCTGACCGAGTTATGGGAGGCGATGTGACGGAAGAAACGTCGAATCCGGTTGGTGTCTGTTTTTTTTAATCTCATATGAACCCTGTTCAAATTGTTTCTGATTGTGTAGCTGAGCAAATAGAATCAATTCAGTTGGAAACTGTTGGCTGCAAGAATTGCAGCTTTCAATTAACTCGATTCTCATAAAATTAATCACACACTTAACGATTCAATGTAGAAATGTTGGATAAATCAAACTTCAAGGTTAGAATTCAATTGGCTTTTTCTTTTGAGATTGACTACAAGTTATTTATTTGCCGCATTATTTTGAACAGACCTCATGGATATAATCAATTTGGGTGTTTTCTAATAAATGCACAAGTTACAGTACGCCAGCAGCAAAATGGCAAAGACTAGCGTGATCCACTACTCTCCGCCTGGATCAATTCGAACTAATCCGCCATCATCAATCAATTCGCAATCTGCCGACGATTCGGTCATCATCATCAAGAGGAAATCGAATATTGTATTGGACGACGAGAACTCGTAAGATCGCTTCTCATTCGGATTGTTCGCTTAAAGCCCTCATTAAATCATCTTGCAGCCTCGTATCAACTCCAATTAGTCCGTACGATGAGACAATGACGCCGTCAACGGAACGCCGCCACAGACCGAAGCATAAAAAACGAGCAGCGCCGCCGCCGCCGCCACACGCGCCAAAACCGGAAGGTTCGATGCCGACGCATTCCCATGGGCGAGTAGATAGTGCCGATGAGAGATTTGAGAAGTTGAAGAATATGTTTGATGAATGGCAGGCATGTCGACTCGAAGAACTTGGATCGATCAGAGAACGCGAATTGCATGCGCTGGTCATTCGGGAGCATCGGGAGCTCAGAAGCATTCTTGACAAAGAAGATGGTGTTCAAGGTTTCACTACGATAATCACTTGATTTTACTATTAAATGAAAATTTCAGGAAGTTCGACAACAACTATACGAATTACCCCAAACGACAATGCGACATCAGTAGCTTCGAGAGCATTCGTCCGACCGTCTCCTGTGTCGCCACCGCCTGTGCAAAAGTGCATTTTTCTATTGAATCACTAATCGCAAACGTCATTTATTTATAGAAATCGCATTTATGCTCCGCTGAAACCTGTGGCACCGGAACGATCTAGAAGTATCGATGAAAATCGAAATGTTGTGTCGAAAAATAAATTGATCGACAAACAGGTAAAATATCCTTTTTTTTTAAATTCAATTCAAAAATTCGATTACGTTCTCAATAAATTATATTTCAATAATTTATGATTGTTAAAATAAAACATATGATTCTAGGCGGCACTTGATCGAATCCAAAAAGAAGCTGTAGAGCAAATAAGACGAGAACGGGAATTGAAAGAAACGCAAAAGAACCATGTTGAATATGTCGCGATTCCGGTGAGAATTCAAAAGAAGCCCGAACGAATCTCCACCGAAATTGTTTATGGGCCCCGATTGAACACGACGAGAGAAGAGCCGCGACGACGAATTATTGAATATCGACCGATGCGAAAGTCGGAGATTTATGATGATGTTCCGCCGCCGATTCCGTCGAATCCGCCACCGAAAATGGCGGATCATCATCGAGAAATGAGGATGACGTCATCGCCTCTGACGAGACCAACAGCACTTCCACAGCGGCAAATCTCGATGCCCGAATATTCACGATTGCGTGAGTTTTTCGAGAATTCGACGAAATAAAACGAATTTCAAATCAATTTTTAGCGATTGTCTCGAAATCGCCTGCTGTCAATTTCAACAACAATGTCATTCCGAATGGGGTGAAATCGCCGAGAATGCAAAGACAGAAGACAGTTACATCGCCTGTGGAGACTCGAAGAACACCGAAACCACAACGGATGACGTCTCCAGAGATTCGAAGAGCTGAGAATTTACCAGCGCCGATTGGTCGAAGACCAGAGAGGATCCAAGCAGAGCCTCAACAAAAAGAAAATGGCTATCGTCAAATATCTCCAGGTGTTAAGCATTCAGAGACGAAACCAGCGAATTCTCCGAAGCTTCAACGAGCCGACAAGAGCTCAACGCCCGTTTCTCCACAAAAACCTTCGCCGATAGCACTAAAATCCCCAGAAGCTCTACGAAAGAAGGAAGCGCAACCATCTACTCCGAGTCCATCGAAACCCGTCACTAACATTGCCATTCGTCCGCCGCCATTGAAGAAAACAGTTTCAAAAGAAGAAAATGCGACAAAGTCGGAACAATTTAAAATCTCCGATATTCTAAACGGCGCGAAATTGCGCAAAGTTGGAATGCCCGTTGAAAAATCCGGAATCTCATTGGGAAAAGTTGTCGATGGTCCGGCAGTTTCTCCTGCTCAACAAACGAATGGAACATCCTCCTCAGTTCCTCCACCGCCACCTCCACCTCCTCCTCCACCTCCACCATTAGCTTCATCCTCATCGACATCACTTTCGACTCCCGGTAAAGCACCCATCAATGGGGACATTCGAGATAATTTAATGCATGAAATTCGTGAGGCTGGACGACTTCGGGCAGCACGAGCATCGCAGACTGCTTGAAAATCCACTGGTTTTCGCCTTCATTCATAACGTTTTTTCTATTAAAATCCAAGATTGTAGCTTACACTGGTAGTATGAATTTTGAAATTTCAACTTTTTTTTTCAATAAATTGTTATGCCATTCATTTGAAATAAAATATCTTGAATTATTGTTATTATCAACTAACCAGCGAATCAAACTACTCAAAAGAACAACAACAATCCGCTGGTTGGATAAAAAGATGAAAAATCGCAGAATCTTTATCTGAATTTTAATACGGCATTAAATTTGAACTATGCAGCAGTTTAGAAAAACATTTAAAAAATAACAGCTTTTAATTCTTCCCCAAAATTCTCAAGTTTCTATTTTTCTTCTTTCATCGAAAAAGTTCGGAAATAAAAATTAAAACATTTAAAAAGAATAAATTACTAGGAAGACGTTCTGTCACGATATACAGCAGGGTTGCGCGGCAATGGGATTTCCAGATATCGGAATTGCTCTGTTAAATCAAAATAAATCGGATCTGAAATTGACAAATTTTCTAGATGCAGTAAAGGGGTGGTTTTTCATTTACGATACAAATCGCATGCGAGAACTATCATATCCGAAAACTTGAAGAAAACTTTGCCACTAATTTATTGTCGGCGCCGCGTGACTGCAGTAATTTGGCAGCGATCTTGGAGCAAATTAGGTAAATTTACTGGCTAAGAATAGATTAATGGCCAACATCAGTCACTTCACTAATTTTTTTTGACAATTTTTGACGGGGACTGATTTTCGGTGACGGTCGTGGACTGCTTTTTAAAAATAAACGCTGGCGGCCACCGTGCAGTTTTGCGTAGCAGTGTTGACACCGTAAATTCTCGTATCGTACTTGCGGTGCCTAAATTTTTATTTTCTTTTCGCCGGCCCCAAAATTTTCAATTTCAATGCGTTTTTGATTCTATACTTGCTGGATATTTCCACACTTCTACACGAATTTCCTATACAGGTAGGAAGTTTCAAGTACTTGGAAAATATCTTATTATTTTTTGATTGCCCTAAAATATTTCTTTTTTTTTTCAAATTTATCTATCCCAAAAGTGACCTGTTCGGAATAAATTTGCAAAAAACCTATTATTTTTTGTTGCAGTAATGGCGGATGATTGGGGGTGCAATGTAGAGCTGTTCGGTGAATCAAAAAATGGCGAAAGCTCGACTAAATCGCTAACGGAGTTAGTGGATCTCCTTTCTAAAAAGAACATGGTAATTTTCTTTTTTAAGACAAAATGTTAAATATTTAAGTTCCAGAACGGACAAAAGAAAACGGAAAGTGTGAACGTTGTTTCTTTTCATCCCAATGGAGCTACAAATAAGATATCAATGATCCGTGCTCCAAAGATTCTAAAGAAAAAGAAAACTAACAACATCAACAACAATAATAACAAGATCTTAAACGAGACTAACGTGAAGAGAGTGACATTCGAGGTATTTTTCGCCACAATTAAGTTGACTATTTGTTTTCTTAGATCGAACAGTTATTATCCCGCGAAGCTGGCAAGGATGATCGAGATAAAGCTAGAGAACGAATCCTGGTACACGTTTATGACAAATTACTAAATGAAATCTTAATTTGTAGACATCTCTTGGTGCTGCTGCTCCAAAGCGCGATTATGTCAATTATAAGACATTGAAAACAGAACTCGCAGCAAAAAAAGCTCGCGAAAAACTCGAAGCAGAGATGCACAGTGCGAATAGTCTTTCGATGACGACGATAAAGAAGAAGAAAAACAAGAAAAAGTAATAATGATCTTGCCGCGACTTCCTTGTAATCTCTGTTAAATTCCTCATTGTTTTATTATTTCAAATTTCTTTTGTGCACGCTGGTCGTGAAAACAGACAGCGGGCATATACACGTTTTTATGGTCTCATTTACACATATAAAATACAAATATACATGTTTTAGTAGAGACGTTCGAGTAGATTTCAGTTTGTGTTTCGTTTTTTGTCTGCGCGTGTTTATTGCTTGTGATTCGTGGTATTCTGTAATAAGTCGCAGCATCTTAAGCCTTTATCCATAAACAATTTTACGTGTTTGATAAAAGTGTTGTTTGAAGTTGTTTTTATTATCGTGGTTATACGAGAACGATTTATTTTTTTAAATTCTGTTTTTATCCCTGAAGATTATATTTGATGTATTATTTTTGCCGCAGTGACGTTTGTATTACTAATGTTTAATAATAGGACTCTAATAATGCTGATTAGCGTCATTGGCAATATAATACAGTTTGATTGCCTATTATTTGTATTCGAAAGAATTCTCAAATATCCTTGAGAATTTTTCGCAAATATTCTATTCCCAACTATTTATTCTCCGACCAGCAAATTTCCCGAGTACATCTCACAATCTCTCAACGACACTTTGAGGCGTGCAACAATTAAAACTATAGGCCTAAAATTTGTTATTTTGGCATATTCGGGTCTTGTTTGGAAATTATACTTATTTAAGTCAATTCCTAATTTTTTCGTTTTAAAATTATAAATAAATGTAGACATTATAATCTGTCCAGTTTTTTAATTTATAAACATTGCATTTAGCTCAGAACATTCGTGAACTTTTTTATTTACCGTTTCGTCAACATTTAGTGCAGCAATCGCGCTCCATCGCGACTCCGTTTCTCGTAGCAACGTAGTCGACGCTTCCTTTGGCGTCTGTCTCTCCTTATCTCATTCGTTGTTTGTTTTCGGTTAGCCGTTTCATTTCTACTTTTTTTCAGTTGCAATGCCGCGTTCGCGTAGCAATAGCCGTTCGTCGTCAAGATCTGCTTCCAGAGAGGTAATTTTTGTCATTTTGCAAATCAACTTTCGATTATCACCACATACCAATTTTTGTTGAAAAAGACTACAATTTTGAAAATCTACAGAATAAAAAATGAGGATGAAGTTCATCAGTGAAGAAAGAATAACTGAAGGAAGGGTTCTATTCACACTGTGGAATGAAATTCGGAAGAATTGATGATGACGTATTCATTAGAATGTGTGTCAGCGTCCGAAATCAAGTGAAACAGAATTCTTCGCATACTAGGGGAAATTTAAAGAAGAAAGAAGCCTGCAAATTTTCCCCAACCAACGCCTGTTTCTAGTTCACTGCATTCCGTGTTAGTTAAAGAAAATTTTGACAATGCATTAGACCACCGCGCTCGCCCCGTTTTAAGGTAAACTGGCACAAAGAATCCTCTGTTTGAACCATGACTAACATACGAGAATTATTGTGAATATTATGATTTGGCCCATTTTTAATTAATGAGAATTTTAGAATTCCCGCTCTCGCAGCAGAAGTCGCAGTGCATCTAAATCACGTTCGCCATCCGTCGACCATAGACGCCGTGATAGTGATCACTCGTAAGCTGAAACTTCCAATTTTCTTTAATAATAAATCATTCAGCCCGCGTCGCTCGAGATCTCGTTCTCGCTCGCGATCACGCTCTCCACGAGGATATCGAGGTGGACGTTACAATCGCGAGAATCCGGCTCCGTCGAGATGTCTTGGAGTTTTCAATTTGTCGACCTATACCACTGAACGGGATCTCCGTGACGTCTTTGGAGAATTTGGTGAAATCGAAAGAGTTGAGCTTGTCTACGACAGACCTTCTGGAAGATCGCGCGGATTTGGTTTCGTTTATTTCAACGATGTTCACGATGCAACTGCGGCTCGTGACAAATTGAGTAATACTGATCTTGACGGACAAAGAGTAAGAATAACTATTGTTTCACGTTATATTTTCTCTATTGCAGATTCGCGTTGACTACTCGCTCACAAAGCGTGCACATTCTCCAACTCCTGGACAGTACATGGGGGCTGGAGGTGGTCACAGGGATCGCCATAGGGATAGAGACAGCTTCCGTGACCGTGATCGCGATCGTTTCGATCGTGGAGATCGTTTTGATCGTGGCGATCGCGATAGATTCAGATCGAGACGTGATCATCACCATCGGCGTCCTTATGATCCCATGGATCGTCGTCGTGTTGATTCGTACGCTACCGGGGTTCCAATTCGTCGCCGTTCCAGATCTTAAGTTTATCACACCAATTATCCGATTTAATTCTCTTTTCACGATGGTTTTTAAAACAAACTCCGCTGATCTTAGCCTTCAACATATATTACGTTTACTCTGCTTTATTGAATAGGCATTTTTACTTTACAATCTGTACCCTATACGCCTATACCTTTTGGAAGAAAATGATTAAAACTTTCGAAATACACGATGTTTTTTTTATGTAATCGCTGTTGTTGTTGTTGTAATAAAGAGTTCCAAACAAATTCGATTTCCCATTATTGAAACAAAAATTGTCGATTCCGAGAGTGTATTTGATGGTCACGCCACAACGACGCTAAATCAAGGGCACCGCATTCAAATTTCGCGCGCGCGTTCAAATTATGGTTGTATATCTCCGATTTTGAAGGTTACGATGGCTCAACTTGCACCAAAAGTTTCTTCAAGCCTCTATACGTTCAGAACTATTATTTCAGAATTAAAGAAAGTCGATAAGGTATGATTTTCCAAAATTATGGTCCTTTTTTTTATTTTCGCAAGAAATGTTTAAATAAGAACATTTTTTTTACAAAAAAGCGAAATTTCTCAATTTGATTTTCTCAGAGTTTCTCTCGATCATCTGAACAATACAAATTCCTCGTCGAGCAGATGCGCGGAAATCAAGTAACTCAAAGAAGATTCTCGAAATCACCGAATGAGGCTGAAAGTGTCGCTGATTTGTATTTAACCTACATTCAAAGGTATCTCTCAAATATTTTATTCTATTCAACAATTTTGGTTTTGTTTTCAGCACACGAAAGCTGAACGAATTACAGCATAAATATGCCGGCGGAGAGAGAAGTGTCGAAGAAAGTGCGAGACTTGTCGGATTGCAATTGCCACAAAGAAAATATTAATCAAATTATGTGTAGTTTTTAGAAATAGAAATAAATATTAAATCCTTGATATTTTCGTTTTGATACGTATGCAATTTTTTTGGTTAAAACCTAATATTTATCTGATTCTAAAATTCATTCTTTGAAAAATATGTTATAGATTTGAAAATGTCTAAAAAAGGAAAAGATGACGAGAATAACGGAGCTGATAAATACGCATATCTGCTCAAACCGGCAAAGGATCTCATGGAAAATTTCTCCATTGATATACTAACGGTAATTTAGAAATAATGACTATTAAAAAAAAGAAATTTGCTAATTGACATCGAAATTCGTTTAGCATCTCAACAATTATTTGAATGAAATTCGACAGCCCGAAGAAGGTGATGAAATTCGTGAATATGAACCTGAAGAAAATTATAAACTGTAGCGTTTGCATTGTATTTCATCTCCAATGATTGATTTAGTTTTGATTTTGCTCGAGCATGTGTCGTTGTTCAAGGAACCGCATCAATCTACGCCAAAAAAGCCGATTATTACATCGATGAAGTTTACGCATTCATGAATTTTTTAGACAATGCAACTGATAATGAAAACGCGCAAAATGCTGCAAAAAGAGGTCGAAGAAAGAAGGTGCGAAAATCAATTTTTAAAAATATGAATAATATCTATAATCTAGGTGGATATTGGATCAACTAATTTCGATTTACTGAACATGGATGAAGTAAAAATGGATTTGTTAAGCAAATTTGAAAAAGTTGAAAAAGAGGAGAAACGAGCGAGTAAGATTATACTTTAGACTACCGATTATACATATCTAATTTATTCCAGTTGATGATTTGAGACTTGTCGACAATGCGGACATTTCTGAAGCGCAATACGAACGGAAGTATGTGATGGCGGTAAAACCTAGTCAATTCATGTTTGGAAGGAATTCCGACCAATTAATGAGAACTAATGTGAGTTTTTTTTGCTTTCTCAATTTCATTCACATTCGCAAATTTTAGGAACAAATATATAATTCGAGAAAAAGACCAGAAGTTATTGGAAAAATTCGAGATTTGGACTTGTGCAAATCGGAAATCAACGCCGAACATGTAAAGTTGTTCGATTTTTTAAATAGTTTATCGGTTAATTTCAGCAAATGCTTCTCGTCGATTATTCATATAAAAATTGCATCTCGCAGTTCACACTGCCTGGTGCCAAATGGATCCCAGATAATAAAGAACTCGCCGCCAATTTTGGTGTTGCGGATATTGAAGTTGAATTGGATTCGGAAGCGAAAAAAGAGAAAATTAATGCATATGGACCATTCAAAGATCGTGAGTATCAAATCCATACATGAAAATGACGTTTGGTTTTTTCAGCGCTGTCCGGACGCGATATCATCGCGCCTCCACGTTGGTACATTGAACAAGAAGCAGTCAAGCAACAACAGGAAAATACGCGGTATTCTGCTGGAACGATAATGGCTGGAAATCGCGACTCGCAAGGATTCCAAATGTCGCAAGGAACGCGTCTTTCACAACCTCTAGTAGAGCGACAGCGAGATAATATTAATAATCTGGTGTCTTTTGTTGAAGGCCGTCTTAACAAAAATCGGTATTACATTTATTAATCGTTTTCATTTAATCATTTTTTTTTCCAGAGCAAGTACACATTTAAACACGGGAATTGTTGATATGTTTGTTGAAAATTTCGGTGGAAAATCAATCGATAATGATGATAATATGGATTATGGGGGCGGATTTTCGGATGATGACAACAGTCGACACGAGCAAGAGGATTATGTGGAAGGATTGAAGAAACAATCTCAAAGGCGGCCTCTCGCGCCGGTTTTTCTTTTATTTCTATTAAAAAAAAAACGAATATTCAAATTTAGTGGAATGATTTCAAAAACGATCCAATGATTGGAAATCTATACACGGGAGACGAAGATATTCGAGTGAGCCATAAACCGATCAAAGTCATTGAAAAGATGCCGCCAAACGCTGTTGATATTTTGAAGCGAAAATTGGCTGTATGATTTTAGTTGCATGATTATTTTTTTTAATTTCATATTTTAGAAAGAAGAGAAAAAAGGAACGACGAGGTATGAGAGTTTCATGCAGACACAGGATTACTTGCAAAATCACTATTTCTGGAGAGTTGCGGCCAAAATTAATCCTGACAATGATTGGGTTCGCCGATTCATTATTTCTGTGGCAATATTCATAAATTGTAGCGAATCGAAGCATTGCGGCCGAAAATTCTTCGAGAGCAAAAGCGACGAGCTCGTGAAAAAACACAAAAGATACGATTGGCTCGAAATGTGAATCAGGATAAAACCATACGAAGGAGATGTGCAAAAATGACTATTCAAGAATTCGAAGATGCTCTTGCAGCAAAATCGGATGGTTCTGACGAAATGGTTGTTGAAACGATCGAACCAGACGTGGAATCTGCCCCAAATGGAAACAGAAGAACTCTTGGAATGGAATGTATGGGGATTTCCTTTAAATAATAATTTTCAATATCCACATAATGGTTTTAACGCTTGAATTTTAGACGTTGATGTTGCTGATGAGGATTTGGCAGCCGAAGTGGAACTCTCAATGCTCGGAGCGAATTACGACGACGATGATGAGGACGTGATGCCCTGCCGCGAAACTATTCCATTGCCTACGAACGATATCGATGTTCAACCAAGTTGTTCGACACCCCAGCCACATAGATTACGATTCGATGAAATCGACGACAATGAGCTTGCTTCGGTCGTGAATTTACCTGGAGAACTTTTCATTACAAGTCATTTTCGACGTGATGACTCAAAAAAATAGCGAAAATTCTTTCAGAAGCAATTCCTTTACTCAAAAAATATGCCGAAAGTCGTAGTTTGAAGGACCAAATGGCTTACGAGATGGCCAAGTAAGATTCTAATTGAAGCTTTTCACATAATTTTCTTAGGGCTTATGAGAATATCGATGTTATTACGTCGAAACGACAAGCTGAGATCGATGCGTGGCACGAAAAGCTCATACCAATGCTGGAGGAAGGTGAAACTCGCAAAGAATACAGTGTAAGCTAATCATTAGAAATTTTTACAATTGGAATTTTCTGACGAAATATTGTTAGGTGCATGAGTACAGCGGACACGTTTTGGATCGTTTGGATAAACCAGGGGAAGAAAAATCGTTCATCGAACTTGTATACGATAAACCGTGGTATGAAATCAGCCGATATTTCTTATCATGTCTTTTAATGTCGAATACGAACAATGTTCGGGTTAGTTTTTCATATCAATTTCGACATGCACACATTTTGTTTCTAGATTTCGCAAAGCGATTCAGACGATGTCGTTGAACGATTGAATAGTTTGAAGATTAAGCTACTTTCAAAAGAAAGACATCACGAAGTTTTTGACAAAGAGGGCGCCCTGTAATTGAAGACTCGTTGCGTTATTTGTCTATTTTATTTGCTTATAATTACGTTTTTTTGTTTTTGACTCATTGTGTATTATCTCTTTGTAATTTTTCGAAATGACTTGTACTACTAAAATAAACATTTTTATTCCTTTAAAATTGTGGTCTTATCAAAATATTCTTCTATTACCACCCTGCAACTGACCGTGGAGGTTTTTTTGCGAAATTCGGCTAGAAAATGATTTTATTTATATTTACATGGTGCGGCAAGATTGCGTGTGCATCGAAAAAAAGAAATAAGTTTTCCAAAAAACAACAAAACTTTTTTAGCGAATTCAAATTTGAGTGTGGGAAAGTAGATGTCTTCTCTTGCAAGATATAAAGTAATTCTTTTGAAAAAAAATCTTTACATAACTACTGCACTCACTTAACTTACTTAGTCGGTTCATCCTTCGCCTGTTCAGGCGCGAACCACAGCTTTCCAAGCTTTTCGGTCCTTGGCTTGGGTGGACCAGGGGGTGATAACGGCTCCTTCAGCTGTTCTTGTAGTGATCTCCTTCCGAAGCGAGTCAGACCATCTCATGGGAGGTCTTCCTCTTGGCCGGGTCCAATTCCACGGCCGCCACTCCGTTAGAAGAGTAGTCCATCTTCCATCTGTTCTTCTAGCAACGTGTCCAGCCCAGGTCATCTTCCTCTTCGTGATGTGGTGTAGGCAGGGCTGTGCGGCAATCGGAAATTTCGGCAATCCTGCAATTCGGCAATTTGCCGATCGAACGTTCTCTTCGGCAATTCGGCAATTCGGCAATTTGAAAAATCGGCAATCGGCAGTTCCATTGCCGCACAGCCCTGGTGTAGGGGGTCCCGAACTTTAGACATGATGCGGATGTCCTCGATGGATTCGAAGAGCTGTGCTCGGGTTTTGTTACAGGGAATCAAATCGGTGGTGTTCCTGATTCCATGAAACGTTATCCAAGTTGCTCTTCAACGAAAATCAATTAATTTTGCCGTCGGCGCATATACCACCGAATACAATGATCTGCTAAGAATGGGAAAAACGATGAATGGTTCTGTCTTTGTTCATAGCTTCCTCATGTGTCCTGGCGGGAGCTCGGTGGTTTTGGTGATTGAATGCAGCTTCTACCATGAACAGGTTCTCACAGTCTCCTCTCTTCGTGCCAGCTAGGAACGAATTGCACTTTTTCAGTCGAGCTTCGTTTTTTTCAGTTAAAATGACGACCTTTCTTACACAATAAGGTTTCATGGTCAGCTCATTTTTGAAAACATTTCACACTTTTTGCACTCACATGAACATCGACCTAATTTTTCTCATGATCCGGAATCTCGACGTATTCTCTGAATCTCGACGTATTCATTCCCTGATGGTCTTGACTCGCTGCCACGGAAGGTCGTTGTTTTCCTCTTCTAAGACGACTAGAGAGTCCTCCTGTCTCCCAAAATTGTTTCCAAGTGTTTTGCAAGATGTTTCGGTGCAGATCGAGGATGTTTGAAATCTTCTTCACCGATGTTCTCCCTTTTTTCAAGTCCATGATTGCAGCTCGATGGATTGAATCAACTGTCATTCCTGTCATACGAAACCAATTTTCATAAAACTTTCAAAAAATGATTAAAAAATCACAAAAAAATTATATAAACACATAAAAGTGTTCAAAAAATTCGTAAGTGGTGCATGAGCTTGCGCTAAATTCATGTACACGTAATTTTGCCGCACCCTGTAATGGATCAATTCAGTTAATGTAAATTAAACAAAATCGATAACATTTCATAATGCAGCGATGGCGTTTTTGTCGCAATAAGTGCTTAAGTTTAGTGAAGGGTACTGTAGATCGCGGGTCGATATTTCAAAAAAATGGCACGTGTTCCTTGCTGATCGTTTTTTTTAAAAAGATTTTTTATATTTAAGTTTTCTTCTTTCTCTCGTTTTTTAAAAATAATTTTGGTTTCTAAGAATAATAATTATTTTATATGAGTAACATTTGGTAAATAATATGTTGTTTATTAGCTTTTTACCAATCAATGAGAATTATAAAATTTATAGGCAGGAGCCAAAAACTTCGTATTGTTGAAAAATGACAAATGTATCCAGGTGTCGTAGGATCCTGCGTTTTGTACGCAATGCCAAGAGACAGTTACCGTAATCCTCGCAGCAATTTACGGGGACATTTTATTTAATTTCGCATCTTCATTTTTTTTATTTTTTGTTCAATTTTTTAATTTTCTTTCGAAATTTTTTAAATTAAATTTTTAAATTTTGCAGAAACCGAGTTTAATAATGTATTTAGCAGAATAAGCACTTTTAAACGATATTTTTTGGTAAAAACAGCAGAGATTTAAAAGAAAACATTTTTGTCGTTAATAAAATTATTTAATCGTGTTTTGCTTTTTGTATGCGTTTCTATTATCTTTTTTGTATTCTTCATTTTCAAAATAATTTTTAGAGCGTCAAAATCTTCACAATAATTCCCAACTCAACTAGACAAATGGAAAAGTGCATATTCTGAAAAATAAATAATTAAACTCTTTTTTCTACAGGTTTTAAATATAAGATTTCTAAAGAAAATTAGAAAATTCAGCAAAAAAAAATTGAAAGAAAATTTTTAAAAAAAATCTCCGTAAATCGCTGCGAGGATTACGGTAACTGTCTCTTAGCATTGCGTACAAAACGCAGGATCCCACGACACCTAGATACATTTGTCATTTCTCAACAATACAAAGGAAATCGGAGTATTCCAATAAACGATTTCCCGACTAGTTAGAGAGACAATTGAGGATATCGCCCAAGTTGCCAGGAACATATCCGATTTTCACAAAGCCGAAGAGAATTGATTCTTCTGGAAGAAGGATTTATGAACTTTTCTGATCGATATCCTCGTCAAAGAATTCCATGTTTTGGCTCATTGCCATTCACTCCCAAACTTCCCTACCACCGATTTTTCACCCTCAGATTTTAGCCTTCATTTTTATTTTGGCCAATATCATTTTAATTTTGGCCATGATTTTTGAGTCATAAAAAATGGCCAATTAGTAGTGGCTCGTGAAAAGTGGCTTGGCTCGTGATTTTTGGCTCGCAATGAAAGGCATCATGTTCACGCTATGTTTTATTTATTGTTCAATCTTTCCAAATTTAATGGTACCAAATTTCGCAAAAAAACGGTAAAATCATCAAAAGCCGTAAAAAATATCAGAACGCGTCAAAACCGGCAAAAACCATAATAATTATGATTATCGCTGTTTGAGTTTTTGGCGAAATCTGCATAGTACCTCAACAGAAACTAAAGAAACTCTATACTTCCAGATTGAAACTTTATCCCAAAAATTCGCGGCAAAGCCAAACAAAAAAATGTGAGTATTTTAAAATTTTGCTATTCTCTAAATTGAGATCGACGTGATCGCCGTGATCGCCGTATACAACCCTGAAGCTCTTAAAGACGCAGAAATAATTATTCGATCACTGGATAAAAGTGGTGGGTTTTTTGTGTTTCTAAAGCTTTAAATTTGTGTTAAATTTTTTAACAGAAGACATCAATGTCGCCCAAAAGAAAAATAGGCCAAAAATAAAATGAAAATTTTCGCCCTACGGTGTATATGTGCAATTAGTCGTAGAGTGTTTACGGACTGCGTGTTTTCATCAAACATTTTTTTTTTAATTTTCGACCTATTTTTCTTTTTAAAATACTTCTTTGCTGTCTTTAACCGCACAAAACGTTTTCAAACATTACTAAATTTAATAAGAAATAATTTTTACACACACTTCTCGTTTTTTCGCAACATTGTTCGTCGTTTTTAATGTTTTTTTATTACTAGTTGGAATTTTGCGAGTTATTTATATTAAATTTTACAGATTGAGCGATTCGAGGCCTTTACTAGATGCGTATTGGATTCTTTTACAATATTTGACGTTTCCAAAGGTAAATTTCAGTTTAATCTATGAGCACACTCTTTCAAAAAATAATTTTTCGCATACATTTTTTTTTGAAATTTAAAGATTACGTTAAACTGTAATTATTTGCAGGAAGAGAGAACAAGTCATAAGAAGTAAAAGCCACAGATAGTTCGAATAAGGAAGGGAAAGGGATTGAGTAACGCGATAAGTGAATTTTTATTAATTTTTTTTGCAAATAAATGTTTTATTAATTTTAAAAATTGTTTTAAATTAAAAAAAATAGAAAATAGAAAACAAGAATCGAAGTTCGAAAATGTTGTCGGGCGAACTTTGGCAACACACTTCGTCACTTTTCTGGATGAGATACCAAATCCGCGCTTCCATTTGTTAAGCCAAGATTTCGAGGCGGAGAATTCCATGGTCATTCGAAGCTTCTTCATTATATCAGCGACGAAAAATCGGAGCGTCTTATCGTGGATCATGCGTTCTTGCGCCATGTGATGTTTCACAACATTTCCAAGTTCAACAGATATAATTTTGAGGTTGTTGCGCCTATCTTCTAGCATGAATCCTACAGAATACAATTACAAAACGATCTTTTTCGACTTCATTTACCGTTTTTCTCAATTTGTCGAAGCTTCTCAAGATGGTTTTCGCTCTTTATGAACCTGAATAATGCTCCCATTGTGCTCAAAGGTGAGCGAATTTTGCTTCCGTTTTTGTTGGTCCCTTTTTTTTGCAATTCCGTCAGTCTGGTCCGTTTTTCGTTTTCAGAAAGTAAATGGGGTTCGTATTTTTGCGAATACACGTCTAATTCATCTTCGGCCAAAACAGCTTGATATAGATGATCTGCATCATCTGAATTACTTTTTTTTTGAGGTTTAGCTGAATATGCATGTTAAAAACCTGCAAAAAAATTTAGAAAGCTTTAATGCCAGTTGGTCAGCCTTCATCGAATTAGGGACTTCATGACGAAATCGGGTGTTTATATTTTCGATAATTTTCGTGGAGGCGAAAAAAATACGACTAAGCCCGTTGTATTATACGCTAAATTTCATGTTTTCTTTTCGGCTATTCCGCTTCAAACGAAAAAGGAAAAAAATAAATTTTGGCCAAACA